CGTAATATAAGGACGCCTACTCTTCTTGTAATAAGAGTAAGAAGCTATATTTCTTTTACTAGTCTTTTTAATTAAATTTCTTAAAGAAATATAGTAATAATTATTTATTCTCTTAAGTAGTATATTAGAAAGAAAAGAAGTCTATAGCTACTATATAATTTATTTCTTAGTTATACTTAAGTATAAAGATATACTAGTCTAAATAGAGAGTAGTATTACGTGCGCGGTATCTAGAAGCCTTACGACTCTAGAGTCGAGAGAACTCTAGAATATTATATCTAGAATATAATTAGATCTAGAATAAAGCCTTTAGGACCTAGCCTAATCTAAGATAAGTATTCTAGGTCTAGAGGGTTTCTAGAAACGTCCTTCTAGATACTACTAGGTTCTAGAAACTATAAGTTACTTATTTATTACGCGGGTTATAGGGGTAAACCGTAAGATAGTTAGTTAACCCCTAATTTCTTAGTTAGAAAGAAAGTTACGTATTATAGTCGACTAGGTCGACTAGCGACTTAAGCGATTGTCGACTTAGTCGACTAGCGACTAAGTCGACCAGCCTACTATAAAGGTCCTATATAATAATTATAATTCCCTTAGATAGAAGCCTTGTACTTAACTTACTATAGTAATAGTATATTATCTATTTAACTTACTCTTATTATAATAAATAGATCTTTAAATCTATAAGTAATACTTTATACTACTACTTACTATATACTAACCTTATAATACTCTAGTCTACTATTAGGTAGAGAATTAAATTATTATAGTAAGTTATATATAGAAATAGTATATTACTATTAGTTATATTTATTTTTAGAGTAAGTTTAGTATTAAAAGTATTATATTACTTAATTAAGTTAGTAGATTATATAGTATAATATTAAGACTATAGTTTATAAACTTTAATTAGCTCTATAGAAAATTATTACTTATTATAACTATAATACTAAATCTACTAATTATAAGTTATAGTAGTAGTAAGATAAGTTAATTAATAAGTAGTTATAGTCTTTATTATTATAATAATTATTTTAAGTTTACTTAATAGCTTTAGAAAAGTAATTAGAAATACTAGAGTTTCTCTCTTTATCTAGTTATTTAGATATAAGTTTACTAGAAAGATAGAAATAACTATATAGTTTATTATTATAAAGATTAATTTTAGCTATTATATAATTTTATTTTAAGCTATAAAAAATATTAAAAAATATTAGGCTAACTTTAAATGTAAAGAAATTAATTTAAGTACTTAATTTATAAAGAAAATAAAGTATATAAGTATAGATTATAAGGTTAATTAATTATTAAATTTTAAATTACTAACTACTCTTATTATCTACTCTTTTATTTACTAAAACTTAAGTATTAAAACTTATATAATAATATAAAGCTATAGAGATACTATTAAGTAACTTTAAAGCTTATTTAAAAGATATATTAATAGTTATAAGACTAATTTAACTAGTAACAAATAGCTTAAGCTCTAAATAACTTAATTTAAAAAAAAGAAAATTTATTTAATAGATTTTCTTAAATATTAACTAAAATTCGAGATAACTAAGATCTATAAACTTAGTAAAATAATATTTAATTTTAATAGAGTTTTTACTAGCTAATCTACTTAGTATAAACTATATAGAGTAAGCTCTTATAATTTAAATAGTATACTTTATCTAAGAAAATATAGCTAGTAGTAAATTCTCTAATTTATATAAGAGAAGTAAAAAGCTAGTTAAAACTAGCTTTTATCTATATTCTTAAGAATAAAAAGTAATAAAAATTAATACTTTTAAACTCTCTAGACTCTATAGACTCTATAGACTCTATAGACTCTATAGACTCTATAGACTCTATAGACTTTATAGACTATAGACTCTACTATCTATAGATTCTACTCGCTATAGACTCTATAGACTCTTATATTTAAAGTACTATTTTAAGACTTATTATATAGTTAAGACTCTTATTAGAGACTTATAACTTACTAGATTATATAGTTAGACTATTATAAGAGACTTAGACTTACTTTAAACTCTACCGAACGTTAAGAATATTATTATAGAATTTATAACTATATTCTAGTAGCAGAGTACGCTCTAACTTAACTAGTATTACTATTATTTCGATTATCCGACTCTAAACCCTAGTAACATCCTCTAAATCTAACAACCTAACCTGCGGCCAATTCCCAGCCGCAATTTAGTCGAACATCGAGATTAACGTCGGAATAGTATGCTCCTGCATGCCTGCTATACGAGTCCTTTTCGTCCGATTATCACCTTCTCTCTTTGGATCGAGCAAAGGAAACACCGCGAAGGACTACAAGAATGCTTCTGCTCGTAATGCCGAGAATCGTAAGCGAGGGGCTTCGAGTAACAAGCTGGGAAGCTTTGCGAATGATGATATGCAAGGGATATTGTATGAACAGGCATTTAAGGTTGAGGTGGACAAGCTTTCTCAGTCTGAGTTCTCCTCAAAAAGTGCCGATGAATTTTCACCCAGAATCATGCTATCAGCAAGTGGGAGGCATGATTCGGCATAGGAGAGTGAGTGCCAAGTTGAGCTACGAACTACTGCGAGTGGAGTATATAATTAGCGATATATATCCAACCTAGTGGCTTTCAATAAAGCACATAAAGTCTCACATGATCCATGCCTGCCATCTACAGGTCTTCGGACGTAGGTGCTAGAGTGTTATCAGGTCTGAGAGTTGCACGTAAAATTTCTTATACACAATACTGTCATGTACTATATCTCGACTCTACAAGACACGCCTTTAGGACGCCACGTTACAGTCGAGCCTATCTATAAGAACGTACTTTAGACTATTAATTTAAATTAGATTAACAGAACATTTTTGCATATACGACTTTGTCAGTAAGAGAAAAATACTTTTCTTAATCTACTTTATCTAATTATATAATAAATTAAACCTTTAATATTTATAAGATCATTCTACTACTCTTAGTAGAGTACTAATTAGTATATAGAATAAACGAGAGATAGGCTATTTTTCTATAGACACTGTCTAAATACATCTCATCTATAGATACAAATAGAAAGAAATCTAAGATTACTCTCGATCTGCTTTCCATAAGCCAAACGGACCTTTGCAATTCTTCCACATCTTGATGGTCCCATCTTCACTGCCTGTAGCATACAGTTTTCCATCGGGTGAGAAGCTAATGCTCCAGATTGGGCCATGATGACCCTTATGCAAGTCTATAGTCGTTAGTGATTGCTTGTGTTTTTGTGATCAAGAGCCTACCCAGTTCCAGTTCCGAATCGTAATCATAGACTTTAGCCCAAGTATCTTTGATTCCACCAGTAACAAATTTCCTCTGAGCCGGGTGTAAAGCGGCACTTGCTACATCATAAGGCAGAGCTACGGACTTGATGAGGGTCCGAGAATCCTGCCCGCCATAGAAATAGACAGTTTTGCCCGCGGCGATAACAAGGACGGGAAAGCCACCACCTATATCTCCCGACTGAGGTTGAACGTTCGTGAACTCGCAAGAGCCAATGTCACCCTGAACCAATTGCTCTTGGACAACAGACTGCGTGCGTAGATTCCACCAACGGATAGCCTTGTCATCACAGGCAGTGACGAGGACATTGGGATCCTTGGTCCATACAATAGACTTGATGGTACCCTTATGAACGCCCACCCCTACTTCAAATCCCTCCTCAGCACCAATGGTAGACCGATCAGCTGTCCCATTCACCTTTGCGTCCGAACTACCTACCATCCTTTTCTGAGTTGGAGCTGCGGTCGGATTGGAGATGGCCCCAACTTTCGATAAGTCGAAGATCCGAAGCTTCTTCTCCACCCCGCCGGTTGCGAGCAGATGGCCCTCATTTGGTGGAAACGCAATGGCGCGAACTATATGGCCATGCTGGAGTGTACACATCACTTCGCCGCTGTGAGTGTCCCACACCTTCCTAATTTTCGATCAGCTCTGAAGACTATTTAATCCACGATCTGCTCACGCTGTAAAATCTGCAGAAGCCGTTGCAGCTGTCGCGGCATCCGGAGACAGTCGTGCCTGATAGACCGCACCTTTATGCCCAAAAAAAGTCCCAATCCTATGTTTGTTAGCGACGGCCGGCTCAGTATGGAATCGACAGGAACACCTACCAATCGCCAGTGACTCCATCGCGGAGCATAGGATTATTATCTGCCAAACATTAGCTGCCATCTCTCGCGTTTGCCTCATGGTCGTGGTCACCTTTGCATGCGGATATCACATAGTAATCCTCCTCTCCGTCGACAAATCCAGAAAAGCTCAGATGTGTCACGGGTCGTGAGTGGCCATGGCAGGTTAGAGGAACAAACTGCTTAGATATCTCTGGTCCGCCCATGGTTGAGAGCGGATGCAACCTCTTCCACAACGTATAGCATGCGGGTTAAACGCCCAAGTACAATCGACAGAATGCTCAAAAACGTAGCAGAGCTTGAAGACACCGTCCAGGTCGGGAAAACAATAGATCCGGCGGTATGTGTAGTCTTGCAGTGACTGGAGCTCGAAGGTCGGATGCGTGAATGAAGTGATCAAAATATCGCAACTGAAAGACAATATTGTTCAAGATAGAAGATTCGTAGATATCGTAACGGTCGTTAAAAGGTAATCACTTCCAGAAGCACGTCGTCTGCAAAGCTGTCCTCAATTTGAAAGACTCAGGAAACGTAGTTTTGTATAGGCTCTCAGGACCAGACTCCCCTTGATGTTTGAGGAAAGAGGGTCGTAGAAGTTAAGGTGCCGCATGCGTCCACATCAGGTAAGGTGCCTCTTCTCTTTGGGAGATTGGAGCCGATGCTAGTCGATCGATAAGGATCATGTGACTCTTATCATAAACGCCCCGCCATTCCGGTACACGCAATGTTCAAGACCTAGAACGAGAGAGAGCCTCTGATTTATTTGTCAAAAGGACGAGGTCAAACCTGACGAGTTTCTCGAGCGCCCAACTGTTGTTTTTCTAGACGCGAACCCGACATGAGCGAATATAAGCTGTCTGCCTCCCTCATAGGCCATGAGGATGATGTAAGTAAATACATGTTCAGTTGCCTCTCCTAGCTTGTTCTGAGGTTCGAGTATAATCAAATTTAACGAACAACGAAATAGGTCCGCGCTGTCATATCTCCTACAGCAAACGCTATAATATCCGCGTCACGCGATGGAACAGTACGCCTGTGGAAGCTTCTCTCGAATAGCCCGCCACTATACGATGCGGTGATCTCCTCGAACTCCACAAGCTTTGTGAACAGTCTTGCATATCTTCAACCAAGCGACGATTTCCCCGATGGTTTGATCATATCTGGTGGAAAGGATACGGTTATTGAGGTGCGGAATCCGGCCAAAGGTCCTGAAGACAGCGCTGAGGCGTTGTTGCTCGGGCATGGGAACAACATCTGTGCACTCGATGTCGCTTCCGATGGAAAATACATCATTAGTGGTGGTTGGGACTCTGAAGCCAGAGTGTGGCCTGTTGGCAAGTGGGAATCCGAGGTCGTTCTGAGAGAGCATCAAGGAAGTGTTTGGGGTGTCCTAGCCTACGATTCGGATACGGTGATCACTGGGTGCGCTGATAAGTTGATTCGAGTGTGGACCACGAGCGGTAAACTGGTGAGGACAATTCGCGGGACAGAAGATTGTGTTCGAGCACTATGCCGCATACCAAAAGGTCATCCATCTGGGGCAGATTTTGCTTCTGCGGGTAACGACGGCAAGATCAGGTTTTGGACGCTTTCTGGACAACAAGTTGGCCAATTTCAAGCACACGACAGCTATATATACTCTCTTGCAATGTCGAAGTCGGGTGAAATGTTTAGCTCTGGAGAGGACAGGTCAGTCCGAGTCTGGAAGGGTAGCGAATGCCAACAGACGATCACACACCCAGCAATTTCGGTCTGGGATGTAGCTGTCTGCCCGGATAACGGAGACATTGTGACTGGAGCCAGTGATAGAATAGTCAGAGTTTTTACACGGGATGTGTCTCGTGCCGCTGATGCTGAGACCACCAGACAATTCGAGGATTCAGTAAAGCAGTCTTCAATCCCTCAGCAATCTCTACCAGAAGTCAACAAAGAAGAACTGCCAGGTCCTCAATTTCTCAGCTCTAAATCAGGTACGAAGGAGGGCCAAGTGCAAATGATTCGGGAACCGAATGGGTCCGTTACTGCACATCAATGGTCTGCCGGTAAAAGTCTCCTTGATATTTGGTCTAATGAGCGAGTCTTGCTAACTATTCAGGCCAAGGACAGTGGATTAACGTGGGCACCGTTGTGGATGCAGTTGGCAGTAGTGGGAAGAAGGTTGATTACCTTGGGAAAGAATACGATTACGTATTTGACGTTGATATTGAGGATGGCAAGCCGGCCCTGAAACTGCCTTATAATCTGTCTCAGAATCCGTATGAGGCCGCCACGAAATTCATTAATGATAATGAGCTGCCAATTACCTACCTCGACCAGGTTTCGGATTTCATTACTGCAAATACCCAGGGAGCTACTATAGGCTCACAGCAGGAGGTTGTGTCGGCACCTGATGCCTGGGGCAGTGATAACAGATATCGCCCTGGGGATGAGGCTGCTGCCAGGACTACCACCGGAGCGCCGCCCAAGATTGTTCCACAAAAAGAATATCTCAGTATTCTGGCAGCTCGCGTCGCAGCGATGCAAAAGAAAATCGTTGAGCTGAATCAAGCACTAATACAGGATGGTCATAAGGATGTCTCCTTAAACCCAGCCGAACTATCCGCACTTGCAGGTATATGCGAAAAGCTAGGCTCAGCAAACGAAGCAATGAAGTTGAAAAACGTTACCGATGGACTCCAGTTGGCGGTTAAGCTCGTCACTGCGTGGCCTTATAAGGATCGCCTCCCAGGTCTCGACCTCCTCCGTCTACTGGCGACCACTTCGGAAATGGCATCGTACTCATACAAAGGTGGCTCGATACTTGACGTTCTCATTTCTGCGTCATCAGAAAACTCACCACCGTCAGAAAATCATGTTATGATGGCGGTTCGTGCCTTTGTCAACCTTTTCACGTCTGATGAGGGACGAGTGTTGGCCATGAAGCGATTTGAAGAGGTACAGACATTCATCACCTCTCACCTCGCGAACACCAGTAACCGCAATCTGCTAGTAGCTGTTTCTACGGTATATATCAATTATGCCGTGTACTTTGCTACTGTACCCGAATCCACATCCTTTGAGCATGTGGTCGCCATATATGATACACTCTCCAAACTTCTTACCACACAATCAGACAGCGAGGTCATCTACCGATCTCTTGTCGCTACAGGAACACTTCTGACATTGGATGAAGACAGCAAAAATGCTGCGAAAGAAGTTTATGATATCAAGGGAGCCGTCGATAAAGCCTTGAGTAAAGCAAGTGATCCCAGGGTCAAGAATGTCGGAAAAGAAATAGGGTTGTTACTTCGATAATGAGACGACAGCTCTGATCCATGGCTGTGGTTGATTGCCACTAGTTGTTGAACACGGAGCTGCATTGCTTGGAGCATAGTAAATAAATTAAAAGACAAACGATGTTCAATAAAACCTGTAGGTTTGACGGATTGGGGATTTTGCAATGCAAGCACTCTCTGGCACACTTGTCTTCGAATTAGTCATTCGGGAGGAGTACTTTGGTGCACAAACGAAGCGGAGAGTTTCCAATCATTCATCGGGACTGTACTACAGGCGTAGAAGCCTTGTTGATACCATGGAAAATCACATATCCGCCATCGAAATTAGATGACCTCAAAAGAGTCTCGGGGGCTAAAGCCTATAGTTGTTAAATGATTGGAATCATCAAATGGTGAATGGCTACTTTGTCGCTCCGTACCCTTTCCTGTACAGTTCCTACTCCTTGCCTCAAATATCCGACGCCCTCGACCTCGAAACAATTACAAAAGGAATATATGCTCCCACAAAGACCATTTCCGAAACTCCAGATATACAAATCCGCTAAGGGACATTGAAATGCATGCGTCGAAATATCTACACTATCGCTCTTCTTATAGTCTTCTCTCTTTAATCGGTTTTCCGCCTGGACCCTCAGGCCTATCACATTCCGACCCAACTGGGTATGTTGCACATCCTGCTCACAACTGCTTATTATAAAAGAGCCCACAACGCCAAGGCAAGTAGAGGTAGGAATGAGGCAACCTCCATCGTCCTTTGAGCTGAAGAGGCAGAAGCGGAGATAGAATAGACATTGTTGAATGCGAGATCGGAACTATTGAAGCAGTTTGAAGCGTTGACCTCATTGATTTCTGGATCCAGCGGGTCGGCGAAGGTAATGTCTACGCACTATTATCAAAGTATTAGCATTGATAGGTGATAGGATAGAGAATTTTGAGATTGCTTTCTCTACGTACCGAATACAACGCCGCCCCATGCAAAGCAGTCTCTACCACCTGAATGGTGGCATTGTCGCCAACTTTTACAGATGCGTTCACGGGAAGAGGTACCTGAGGTAGGCAGAAGGTTCCTGGGTAGGGATTCTTGCTAGGACCAACGATTTGGAAGACTGGCACCATGGGGAAGGACATATTGGGTGGACCGTGATCAGGACCGTCTGTGCCGAAGCCTAGATTCATGTAGAAAAACGCCGTAGCATGTCCTTGAAACCATCCTGGTTGAATAGCGATAGCGCCACCGGTTATGGGCCATTTGGTGCGGTTCGTGGTTGTGAAGTGTCCGCCGCCTAAGCAAGATTAGACCACTGTCTTCTAACGACTTATGGATGCCAAAGAAAAGGCGTATAACCCCTGCTCAAAAGAAATATTTCCCCGTAGGAGGAAGAAATAAGAATGGGAGCGATAGAGTCGATAGAATGGTATTGAATGACATGAGTTCTAGTATGAAAATGGCGCTAAACATGCTCATCGAGGACTTGTGGACCCAGGAACAATACAAAAAGAGGAATACTCACAAGGATACATCCATTGCATCCCATATGGCCATGTCTCGTTCGTGATTAGATTGTCTCCTCTCCAGCCCGGGTATGTGATAACGGTATGTGCTTGAACTGCCGACAGGATGACGGCCGTCACCGCAAGGGCGCGTGATATCCTCGAGAACATGGCGAGAATCGTGTGAGGCTAATTCTTCTTTCGTTGTCGTTTTTTATGCTGTCGTTTCACTGCGTCGCAAAGACACACAGGAGGCTATCTTCGTGGTGGTAATCAAATCCGGTGGGTGAGGAGGCGCGCAGCAAATGAGTCAAAGGCGAGATGCTCAAGACAAAGAGACACAATCACAGTCGACTCAGTGGGTTGAAGGTAGATGAAGATTACCACGGCGCAGACTCTAGGAGAAAGGTCAGAGTGAGATGGAGAGGAGAGGAGAGGAGAGGACAGGAAAGGAAGAGACGAGGTGGGCAAGCGGTCGTGAAAATGCAGCCATCTTGGCTGTCAGCGTCCTTAAGTTCGAGGGCTCACATTGGGCTGGACCAACAGCACCTGGAAGCCAGCGACGAGTAAGAAGAGGGGAGCGAGGCAGAGGGAGGGTTGCGAAGTTGTGTGAGAGGGTGCGAGGTGCAGTGGCAGCAGATGGGCGGCTGTATGGGGCCAATGAGGGCAGTGACTCTTTCCCCACCCACCGCATCCGTGCCTTCACCGGGAATAGGCTCGAGGTGTCTTGCATGCAACATTCAATCGTTGGCCCAATCAGCTCATCTACGCGCCCAGCGGGTCTGGAGTGCATGGATAAGTCCAGATAAGTGCGGGCGCGAAGAGATGGGCAAATCATTCAACCTCAGGTAGGCGAGGGTGAAGTTAAGCTTCGGGACTTCGGATGTGCACTGAGAAAGTGATTCGGATAGCCGCTGGGTCTGTTTGCTGTCCACGCAGAGCGAAGAGAAGACATTGGAGATGTTGGGGAAGATCAATACTCCCGCCTTGGTCAGAATTTATTTGACTGGAAATGGTTATCGACTACCTATTTGTGGATGCTCTAGCTCGTGATGCTTGAGCCTTGGTGCGTGGAGATGGACTGCAGGGACCGAAATAGTCACAGTTGACTGTCAGTACGGCAGCTGCAGGGACCGAAATAGACCTCCATAGAGAATATTCTTGTGCGACCGTTTTCTTTGCCGACGGTGATATGGATACCTCGATCGATGGTGTAAGCAGAGGGCTATAACATTATACTTTTTAATGGGATAGTATTTCTACCAAATCAAAGTTTTGCTAAGAGCCCACGACTTGTATTAGAGAGCAATAGTAGGAGAGCAACACAGTACCTAGGTAGTTGCAATAAAATGCTATGCCTCTCTTTAGTACGACCATTGACTTACTGGTGACTAAACTACCTCTCCAATTAAACTCAAACTCCTTACCTAGGTAGTCAACTCTGAGGTTGACCTTAAAGTCACAAATGTCAAACTGCTCCGTGCCTAACTACCTATAGGTAGGTACCTACCTAGGTACAACAGGAATGGTACTTGTAATTCGGATAGCTAGCGACGGGAGTTATTTTACGGCTGACAAGCACGTGTTATATGCTGGTCCTAAATCACATGATATGGTACGCCCCACTGCCAGCCACCTGTACCAATGATCCCTGCTTACAAAGCAGCGAGCGCGCTGGGAACGAAAACTGCGATAAACAGTTCGACGATACCAGCACCGTAAAGCGGCATGTATTGTACTGTATAGGATGGATCCTCTACATCACCAATTCAGTAGCCTCCAACCACAAGCTACTCGAGATCTCCAGCATGGCCACGGCCAGCAACACCTCTCCCATCATGCCTTGACCTCGCAAACCGCCGGTTTGGACCTCAGCGGTCTCGACGATACGGACCATGTTTACCAGGAGCTGAATCGCATGCAGGATGGACATGCTGCTTTCCAGTCGCAAAACCCCTTCGAGAGAAACCATCTACACGCGCCTCTCCATGACCATTCCCCCCTCCATGCCGGCCATACTCTTCACGACAGTCACCCTCCTCACACGACCCTTCACGATTCACACCCCCCGCTTCACGATCCTCATCCTCCCTTACACGACTCACATCCTCCTCTGCACGATAACCAGACTTCTCTCCACGATGACCATGCCTCAATCCACATCCAAAACAATGGCAGCCCTCACCCGCTGCCCCATACCCCACAACATAGCAATGGCGGTCAGTTCGGCATGTTGACTGGAGGTCCAGTCCAGCACAATGCGATCAGCCGACTCCAAGAAGAAGAGCTATTTGGGCCACCCCCTCCGGTACCTGAGGGTTCCGACCAGCAGAGCAACGGCCACCAAAGTAATAGACTGGTTGATAATCCACCAAATCTGGACGAATGGCGACAGAAGCTCTTTGACGTTGATCAAATGATTACTTTAAGCGAGGACGAGTAATCATGGCACCCCGTAGTTTGCAACTGATACTGACCTGCCTTGGTAGATACAACACATATTTCCCCCATGTCGATAACGTTTACTCTCATCGATCCACGCAAAAGTACAAGAAAAAGCCCTTCGTATCACATTATTGGGATTGTCGTCTGAAGGGACGGCCACCAGGAACGCCAAAGTCAGATGATCCAAACAAAAAAAAGCGCAAGAGGACAGCTCGCGAGCGTGATCTCTGTGATGTCAAGATCAAGATTACCGAATACTTCCCCGGTGCCTTGCAACAAGCTGGATTCGAGCCGGAAAACGGTGGTCAGCCGGCTTCAAGTAATGGCTTCTTTGGATCAAATGAGGCCGCTCAAGGTTCCCAATTTGGCGTGTCTATTGTTAATCCAACCCATCCAGCCAGCCACCCAGGTGCGAATAGCGCGCGTTATTACACTATCCAGCGTGTTAATGGCAATGGTGGCAATGGCAAGGGCGACGGTGTTCCAGGACCTCACAAACACGACCTTGCCGAGAGCGATAGAGTTAAGAAAAACAGCGTTCAACGTATGATGTCTAAGAAGGAGAAGGAAGATAAAAAGCAGCAGGTAAGACTTTTCTACATCCCGCTTCGATGAACTTCCAGGAACAATTTTGGGATACGCATGATTTATATCCCTGGGTGGTTTCCGCTTCTGTTGTAGAAATGCTTCGCTAATTTCTTACAACGCAGAAAACATACCATAAGAAGGCTAGCGGCACTGCCTTGATGACCGTTAAGAAACACTCCAAGGACCATGAACTCAAGCTTTATGGTAGTTGTCATTGGTAGGTCTTCTTGGCTCCCGCCTCGCTTTAACATCCAAGGCATGTCGCTAATCTATCTTGCCTTTAGCCCTTTTGTTCAGCGAGTCTGGATCGCGTTAGAAGCCAAAGGGGTCCCTTACCAATACGTAGAGGTAGACCAACTTAAAAAACCACAAGCTCTTCTAGATATTAGTAATGCTGGATTGGTGCCTGCGTTACGCAGCAATAATTTCAGCATGAGTGACAGCACAGTCCTCCTCGAATACGTGTGTACAACCCACTTTTTTTATGACTCGACTAATGTATTGCAATAGCTAGAAGACTCTATGCCCAATGTCGCCCCGATGATGCCACCCCATCCCCAAGACAGAGCCATAGCTAGACTTTGGGCCAGTCATGTAGGTGTTAGATGTCCTTACTAAAGCACTATCTAACCCTTGACAGATTGATCGAAAAATTATACCCGCGTTCTATTCCCTTTTACTGAATCAGGATTTTGCCAAACAAGCCGAGTACACAAAGAAACTCCAAGATGTTATTCAGACGCTTGTGCATTCGTCGGATGCAATAGGCCCGTTTTTCATGGGCCCATACTTGTCTTATGTTGACGTTATGTTTGCTCCTTGGATGCTCAGGCTTTCAAGAGTCATGAAACATTACAGAGGTTGGCAAGATCCCGTTGGTGGCACTCGATGGGCAGCCTGGATGGACGCTATCGAGACTAACGAACACATTCGTAACACAACATCATCGGACGATCTTTACATTGACAGCTATGAACCTTACGCACAGAATCGTACTGGCACGACCGGCCTTGCTGACATAACGAATGGTGGGATCAATCTAACCCTACCGGCAGGACATTAATACTCTTAGCATGGATCTATAATCCGAATCTGCCGGCTGAACATCAGGATTCTTATTAGGGCTCGTCCTGTACAGCCGGTTACTGGTGGATTGGTCATCTAATAGCGGCAAAACAGAACGCTAACATGACCATGTATGATATAATAAACTAAGCCATGCTCGAAACTTAATCGATGAGACAGAGGGCTCTTTGCCAACTACAGGGCGAGCCGAGCGAAAACCGACTTTGCTCTTTTAATTATTTTCATTGATCATGAATTAGCTGTCTTCAACTAAACAACTGCTCATCCGTGGCACACAATCTCGCCATCTCAAACTGCTCATCAGTAGCACACACCAGTGTTCGGTGTCGTGCGTCTCTTGCTCCAACATCTTGCACGATGCCGGATATTTCCTTGTCATTCTCTTCCTCATCAATGGTAAATCCCAGGCAGCCTACGTCTTCTGTGACTCGTTTTCTCAGTTTGCTACTCTTTTCCCCAATGCCACCAGCAAAGACGAGGGCATCCACGTTTCCATGTAAAGTCACATAATAACTTCCAATGTACGAACAGATTCTATCGACTAAGATGTCGAATGCAAGTTTGTGAGACCTCTCCGAGGAGGATGCAATCGTTCCAAAGTTTGTGGTACCGGTCAATGATTTCCATCCACTTTCTTTATTGAGGATTTCTTCAGCGCGCGAGATGTGCAAAGAAGAGGTCGAGGCTGGCGAGAGTTTACCAACGTCGGAGGCGTAGTGAAAAACCAGACTTTTTACGAGCAGACATTAGTCGGTATCGCTCCGGCTCGGAACGGGGGGGTGGAACAACAAACCTGGGGTCAACACTACCACTTCTCGTTGCACCAGGCAAGCCCGCCAGAGGTGTCAGTCCCATGGAAGTATCCCAGCTCTTTCCATCCTTTACAGCGCAGGCAGATGCGCCGCTGCCCAGATGGAGGATAATCAAGCTGGTTTTCCCGATGTCTTTGCCCAGAAATTCAGCTACGCTTCTAGTTATAAAAGAATAACTGATTCCATGGAAGCCGTATTTTCTCAATTTATTTTTCCGAGCGATCTCTTGGTTTATGGGGTAAGTGCGTATGTGCTCGGGAATTGTATGGTGGAACTGGGAATCGAAGACTGCTATGTTCCGCGTATGGGGAAGATCCGAGATGCAAAAGCGTACGATTTCCAAAGCTGAGGAGTTGTGGAGCGGAGCGAGGTCGGTGAGTACTTCCAGATGGTCGTATGTTTCTTTGTCAATGATCTTTGGCTCCTCGTAGTCTCCGCCATGGACTACGCGATGGCATGCGATGCCAACATCTTCTTTCGAATTGATCTCGCTCAGCTCTGGATCTCCTATCAACATGTCCAGCATGTGTTTGAACGCATCATTCTGACTCGAGATTTTGCTCGACACTTCTTCGCCCTTGTGGATTGGTTTGGAACCACGCGTGTACTTCAGTCGAGGCGGAGGCGATGTAAGACCGTCAATCTGAGTCTCAGCAATCTGTTTTGGCGACCGGCCTTGACTCGCGGAGAAAACGGATATCTTCACCGACGAGGATCCAGCGTTAATGGAGAGTATGATCTTCGCCATGTTGATGCCGAATGAGTGCGCAAAGTAGGCGGGCGGAGGATCTACGATGTAGTGGGATAAATACAACGATGCGAATGGGAAATCGCAAGTCGATGGGAAAGCTACATACTAGACCAAACCAACGGCTACCGCTGCCCAAGCCCTCGGAATTCGATGGGAACGAACGAGTTCCTCTGAGGATGAGACGGATGGGAATGGGACCACAAACGGCATGACGCGACATGCCATAGACCCCTCCGAGCCCTCGGCTTCCCCCACCTCATCGTACTGTTTGCGGTCTGCGTGCGATAAGCCGTTATCACAAGCGAGTGGGAGCCAGCGATCTGGAATATGGGATGGGCAGGGCACGGGCCCGCTTCGGCACGAACGGGATTTTCCCTATTCCGATTACATCAATGAGCACAGTACCTGGGTATATCTTATCTTGGCATATTGTCTAAGCATGTTACAGTGTAGTGCAAAGAGTTTGCACCCATGTCTACATAACTATTCATAATAAAATTTAGCGAACCAATAGAAAAATCAGAATCCTAGACGCTAATTCATTATTGGTTCGTTTATTTGCATAAAGCTGACATGGGTGCAAACTCTTTGCACTGCACTGTAGGTACCTAGATATATTGCTATTTCTCCCTTCATGTCGTCGACTAACAGACGACAGCCGAATTCGATTTCTCAGATGGTCAGGCCATAGCAAGCTAAGACCCCGTGCTGACTATGGCACCGCACCTCTGAGCCCGGATGTTTGTGCGCCCAGGCATCTGTTTCTTCTCAACTTCTCAGCAACTCTTATACTGAAGGCTATGACGTTAGCCTTGTTTTCACACGCCGGCCATCCTGCGGGTCGTTCCAGCAAGGCGTTGGCTGAACATTAGTTGTCGACCTATGTTTGACTGCTTCTAGCCCTCTAGCCCTCTAGGCCATGTAACCGGAGCTTTCGGCCGTTGAGTGACGTCTTATCCTCTGTAGCTCGGAGTGGTGGGTAGAGGACGACTGTTTTGATCTATCTCTTCACGTACAAGTAAAATCAACATAAACGTCGTGCCTGCTGTTGATTCTCTGATCTCTTTTTCACAGCCTTCTTCCTCCGAGTACTCCTCCTGCTTCACCGTTCTTTCACTCCTGACCGGCCACGGTATAACACGCGTAAACATGCCTGGGGAAGAGATTGACAGAGCAAACCCGCAGGCCTTGGCCTCGCTGATTCCGGATGCGGTGCTTGAGCTATCAATCAAGCTCCAAACATTGAAGCTGGAAGATGCCGATCTGAAGGGTCTTGAGCTGTTCAGACGCGCGAGTAACTACATTGCTGCTGGTAAGTCAACCGATCAGGATCCAGAAAGGAAGAGATGCTAGGAACGCACTAACTGCTAAGCTATGATATTTTTGAGCGACAATGCTTATCTGGAACGGGATCTTACATTTGATGATATCAAACCCAGGTAAGTAAACAAGTACCTCGCATAGTCCACAGAATGTTCAATTAACTAGGCTGCTAGACTACTTGGCCATTGGGGAACATGCCCAGGCCTCACTCTGGTCTACGCACATCTCAACTATCTTACTCGCAAAAACAACCTCGACACAATCTATGTTGTAGGTCCGGGTCATGGAGCACCAGCTATCCTCGCCTCTTTATGGCTTGAAGGAAGTCTTGAACGCTTCTATCCCCAATACACTCAAAACAAACAAGGGCTCCACAATTTAATCACCGGCTTCTCTACTCCCCATGGTTTTCCCTCGCACATCAACGCTGAAACCCCAGGAGCGATCCATGAGGGTGGCGAACTAGGTTACGCACTTTCGGTCTCGTTTGGTGCAGTTATGGATAACCCTGATCTGATTGTAGCTTGTATCGTGGGTGACGGTGAAGCCGAAACTGGTCCTACTGCTGCTGCGTAAGAACCCTTTGCCCCCCAACGTTTCAATCTAGAAGTAGGTGCTTACATACTCTTAGATGGCACGCAGCAAAGTATATCGATCCGGCGGAAAGCGGTGCTGTAATCCCCATTGTTCACGTTAATGGGTTCAAAATCTCTGAGCGTACTATCTATGGGTGTATGGATGACAAGGAAATGGTGACCTTGTTTACTGGGTATGGGTATCAATGTCGATTCGTTGAGGATTTGGACAATATTGCAAGTGTTGTTATCCTGAAGATCTTGCAAGGGCTAATCTTTACTAGGATCTTGATCTAGCAACAAGTTTTCAGTGGGCTCTTGACGAAATTCACAAGATCCAAAAGGCAGCTAGATCTGGCAAGCCTATCATGAAGCCACGAGTTCGTGATGATCTTCCGCTTCGATAAAATTCATGCTGACAGGTTCTAGTGGCCAGTTCTGATCATGCGCACCCCTAAAGGATGGTCTGGTCCAAAGATTGTAGACGGGGAATATGTCGAAGGCTCATTCCATGCCCACCAAGTCCCCCTCATGGCCGCAAAATCGAACAAGGATCAGCTGGCCGATCTTCAAAAATGGCTCTTGTCCTACAAGCCTTCAGACCTCTTCACTGAATTGGGGTCACCTGTTGATGCAATCTCAAATATCATACCATTAGAAAATGAGAAAAAACTTGGCCAACGGGCCGAGTCGTATAAAAAGCACGAGACTTTGAACCTCCCGGATTGGCAAAAATTCGGTGTGGAGAAAGGAGGAGAAGAGAGCTGCATGAAAACTATTGGAAACTTCCTCGACCAAGCCTTAGTGGATAACCCAAAGTCCCTCCGTATTTTCTCTCCAGACGAGTTGGTTTCAAATAAGTTAGACGCTGTACTTAGACATACTGGTCGAAACTTTCAATGGGACGAATTCTCGCACGCACAGGGTGGCCGTGTCATCGAAATCCTCTCCGAACATACATGTCAAGGTTTTCTTCAGGGCTACACCTTGACTGGTCGTACCGGAATCTTCCCATCCTATGAAAGTTTTCTTGGAATTATTCACACCATGATGGTGCAATATTCCAAGTTCAACAAAATGGCACGGGAAACTAATTGGAGAGCAAATATTTCCAGTATCAACTATCTAGAGACGAGCACGTGGACACGACAGGAGCACAACGGGTTTTCTCACCAAAATCCCAGCTTCATTGGAGCGGTTTTGAACTTGAAACCGGATGCAGCGAGAGTCTACTTCCCACCCGATGCGGTTAGTTTTCCTCCTGTCAACGTGAAGTAAATACTGATATCGATAGAACACGTTCCTTTCCACTATCGCCCATTGTCTACGGTCGAAGAATTACGTCAATCTTATGGTTGGCTCGAAGCAACCACAGCCAGTATTCTTGTCCGTGGAGGAAGCAGACAAGCATTGTCAAGCGGGTGCTTCTGTGTGGAAATTCGCATCGACAGACGAAGGACTAAACCCAGACGTCGTTTTGGTAGGCATAGGTTCCGAGCTGACCTTCGAAGTTGTAACTGCAGCCGCCATTCTCCGGCGCAAATGCCCTTCTCTCCGTGTTCGCGTTGTGAACGTGACCGACCTTATGATTCTCGAGTCCGCAACACAGCATCCCCATTCGCTCTCCGATGACGAATTTGCCTCTCTGTTCACCCCAGATAAACCGATTTTCTTCAACTACCATGGCTACTCCAACGAGATTCGTGGTCTACTGTTCGGTCGACCCAACTTGGAACGTGTGAGTATTGGCTGTTACAAGGAAGAAGGATCGACGACCACTCCTTTCGACATGATGCTGCGCAATGGTGTTTCTCGATATCATATCTGTGAAGCGGCTATCAAGGGTGGCGCCCGCGTCAACGAGAAGGTGGCACTCGATATGGTGTCATTATTGGCAGAGGTGAAACATCAGGTTGTCAAAGTTCAAGAGTACATTATGGCGACAGGGAAGGATCCTGAGGGAACTTTTGATATACCCAAGTTCCCTGGTACCGTTTTCGAGGAGGGGAAGAAGGGGAGCAGTGGCAGTGGGAGTAAAGAAGATGGTTTCTTTGTAAACTGATTTCTGTATATAATTTATCGGGCCACACTGGGCCGTTTGAGTTCATGTAAAAAAGTTTTAGCATATTATCTTGTCTTACGTTTGGTACCAGAATAATGAAGCTTGTGTTCAGTTATTTGGCGAGACTTGGAATTGTAAACTGAGTTCACGGCTTCAGAGTTAGTTACTTGATGACATGGGATCAAGACGGCGAACTGAAGATAGCTTCTCCCCGAAAAAGTGACAATGCCATCACGGACTATTCCCAAACCTTGTCCAATCATATGCCGATAAAGGGGATGAATGTCCTCCTCTGACCCACAATCTACACTGACCATAGAGAACGAGCACAGGCGAAAGGGGTAATGGTGTCTGTTGGTATTATGCTAGGTTCTAGCACATACACCGTTCGCCTTAGATGTAGATTTCCAAAGAGCAATGGAACTGCTTGAAATCCACCTAACCTAGACTATCCTTGCGACATGACAACCAAGCCTCGGAGCATCATGTAAATTGAAACTTTTAACATAGGTTGGATTGAATTACCTTATAATTATCACCTGCACACAAAACACGGAACACATCATTCGAGATAATTAAATGTATTATTTCCTTCCAATCCATCGCCGAGAGGGCAGACGCATTCTAGCGCGTCCACACCGGCGATAGCAACCTCAATCTGCTTTGCACCAGAAAATAGTACAAATGGGTATCATCCACCATGTATTCAGAAGCCCTTCCTCCCTCCAATCCCGCGAGATCCAGCCTATTTTTAACCTTCCGAGCGCGTAGCCCTTGAAAACAATAAGCATCGCAATTAAAAATATGTACATCTTGTTGACAGCACCCACTCATGCGCTGAGCAAGAAATTTGAGAAGAAATATTCTACCCGCCAACGCCGGAACCAATGCACCAAAATAATTCAGCCGAAATGCGTAACGTCGTAAAAATGTACAAAGTAGAGGTTGGGTACAAATCTTGATGACAACATCAGCATGCCCCAATCTCTTAACTCAGACGTGATGAATGAACAATAGGAGGTGAATGCGCAGCATGGTATCCTAAAAGCTAAGCACTTTCATGACATGCATCGTACAGGCAGTGTGGCTGTACTCGCAACTATTAAACGGTTTAAATCTTGGCTTTGCACGTTTCCTGTCATTAACGAGAAGGGTGGCTTTGTAGGTCCACAGCGGCAGCGAGGGCGTCAAGCCCGCTGGACGATGATGTTGGGCTTTGGTTGGCCATGTCCGGCACTGGTCTCGAAACCAGTGTTTGGGTGATGAGAGTGTTGTATGGTTGGGAGCTGAAAGCCGGATGATGTCGATCGATAGGCGAGAACAATGCAGGGTCTATGATAGAGGTCATGCCGGTGTTGGATGTCGTCCTGGCTGGGGTTTGGGGACGGCTGGTTGCACGTCCGCTTTTCTTCACGCCGGAATGTATCGTCAAAGCTGGTGGTTTGGAACCAGTCTTGTTGGAATGCGATGCTCGTGCTCGATCTTTGAAATGGGTTTCGAGATGTTGCTTCATGTTATCGTTGCGTGTGAATTTCTTCTGGCAGCCTTTGAAGGTGCAGGGGACGGCTTTCTCTGCCGTATGTATTTTGGAGTGTCGAGATGCATGACCCGACGTCGTGAAGGTTTTGTCGCAACCCAGAGTGTCCCTGTAGCGACAATTGAACCTCTTCGAGGCCCGTTCGGAAACGTTTCCGTTTTCGTCGTGGTATAGATCCTCCTCATAGACTTGCATCTGGGAGCGGGGGCTGCGATCCTCGAAGGGAGATTTCGCTGCGACACCGTAGTGGGGAACTGAGAAGTCTGGGTATGATGGCATTCGCTCTTGGTAGTCGAAATGACTCTGGTCCTCGTACTTTGACGCGGCATTCATGTAAGAATGCTGACGGCCCAGCTCTGAATGGGGGGTGATGGGCGACATGGCGTCGCTGGTATTCTGGGAGTCGAAGGAATCCGCTCGGATCAGCGCGGGAATGGCAGGCGAGCCGGAACTACTGGGTGCAGAGAAGCTGGACGCTGATCTGTTCATATCCGTCCCGGCGCAGGACGATTGCGATTGATGGGAGTGGCTGCTGAACTGAGAAGAGTTGCGGCTCTGCAAAGGTTCGTCGTTGAGAAGAGAGACTTTTCGGCCAGACGAGTCTCGCGCGTGCATGCTGGGTCGGGTGGCCATGGTTATGCGCGGTCGTTCACGCAGGATATGCGGGGAGTTGGAGGACTTGTGCGGTGGCAGCCAGCGTTTACGGCACTGGATTGCGAGTTGAGGGACGGAGAAGAGTAATGATGCGAGGAGTAAGATGGACAATAATGGGTGGTGTTGTGGGGAGCTCGTGGGCGTGGGTGTGGACTCCACTGCAGCGAAGTGGCTGTGACGTCGTCGCAAGTATAGGTAGGTAATTATGTACGGAGTACGGGTTGGAGTTTAAGACTGCGAGGATGCGAAGATGCGAAGATGCGAAGATATCCAGCACCTGTGGAGGAGTGATAAAATGGTTGCAGCGGAAGCGGAAGCAGTGAGGCGCAAAGGGGAGGACGACTCGCGGGTTATAACTTATCAGTCGTTTTTGAAGGGTCGCCGAGCTGTGTAGAGACGGGGCAGATGGGGGGATGGGAGATGGGAGATGGGAGCAGATGGGAATCTTGTATGGGATTTTGGGCGCACGCCGGAGCGAGTGGAAGGAAGTGGGCGCACCCCTGCCCGCTTTTTTCCTGGTCTTGTTCCCAGGCCAGGTTCTGAGGTTCTGAGGTTCTGAGGTTCTGAGGTTCCTTGCGCTTGCGACGCAGGTAAAGCGGAGACTGAGCAACGGCACTAGCGATCGTTGGCGTCGCTAGTCATTTCTACTGGAGATACTCGAGCACTCGCAGTCTCGCACCGTCAGGACTCAGGACCAAGCAGATCCACTAAAACACCAAGCGATCTCTGCGAGGGATCTCGGAGAGTCTGCGCAGGCCACTTGGAGGACAACCACAGAGCCAGCCAGGAACACTGCTCCATGGTGAGCGGCAGCAGACGAACAAGTGACAAGTGAGAAAAGAATAATGATGAGAGAAGTGATCAACGAGAACGGTCCGTCTCGACGTGACTGCGAATGACGAAAGCTCCATTCCAGACGACCTGTCTAGACGGACCATTACATCGAAGCATATCTCGGCCTAGCATGGAGGGGTGGGGGTGGTGGGAGCGTGCAAAACTTTGGAAGTCTTGTCCTGGCCAATGCTGTGAAGCAGTGACTGGAAGTGGCTCGAAACCTCCTCCAAGCCGAATAATACTTGAATTGACGTCCAGGGAAGTCGTCGACGTGGTGTGCTTCATGCATCGCTTGATACCAGATGCAGCTTAATTGAGCTGGCTTCGTAAGGTAGTTCAACCCCCCCCCAGTCCCCGCCCCGGTTCGCAACCTCACACCCGCTCGGAAATATCTCTGCACGTCCAAACTCAGGAGAAGACCCTCCGGCTATGGGTCAACCGTTGACCATTATTGACAACATCACCAGCCGAACAGGAACGCGTTACTCCATCGACAACCCGAATATGAAGCGAAGCCGATTTTTGTGAATTCGGCGGCAGTTGTTGTGTAGGATGCGCTGCGCTGCGCTTTCGTCTCAGGCACAACCCCGCCGTGGTCCCCTCTTTCACAACGTCACCAGAAAAGGGGTCTCCTCTATACGAGACGAGTGTAGCTACCTACGAAGTACTCCGGACGTTGGGTAGATCTTGCTGCCACAGTGGAATACTACGAAGTAGTATACGAAGTAGACAGCAACAGCTACAAGTACCTAGGTACCGACCGTGCCTTGCCTTTTCTCTGAGGTGCCTTGTCTTGTGTTCGTTTGAGCAATACTCAAAGTACTTGGCTAAGTCGGCCGACAAGAATCTCGTATCTTACCTTTGTTTGTACCTCTCGTACCCACAGGTTGAACAGACGTTTCACGCCTCATCACCGCCAGTTCGTCTGGGTCCCGCCAGCTTCACTATGGCGCCCTCGGTGTATTGATGCTATCGCAGGGACAACATCCATTAAATCGATCTCATAGCAACCTTCCAGATGAACAAGAACCGTTTCCTAGATCTGGCCATCGCGATTTGGCCATCCCCACTCGCCGTCTCCAGCCGGAACGAAGAGTAATGATTGAAGCAGCCATCTACGTTCATTCTGCATCACCAAGCCACGTCTGACTCTTAATTCCAGCCGGTTCAAGCGCGTGGAAAGAGTTTGAGAGTCACATATCAGTTGCAGGTATCGTCGCTTGTTTTGAACTTTGTTTACTTCAAGGTCACTGTCAAAGGGGAGGGTGAGTTCCAGCGACTGAAGGAGCAACGGAGCCGTCTCCGTTGAGAGGATCGAGCAGTTACAGATCTCGTCCCAAGAGGCGGGGCGCCGTAGAGTGGAGCGGCCAACTCCCTGCCAGCTCCCTGCATCTGCAGGGACATATGTCTTCCCGAAATGGAAAGTGATCAACCGTCATCAGTGGGCTCGCAAGAGAGACCCTCTGCCAAGAAGCAAGAAGCCCAGGAGAAAGTTTAAGTTTCGGGGTCAAGTTTCCACGAGCCACACCGACCCACACGGGTCAGGAGAGAAATAACCTGGAAGAGATTTCCGAAAATTCGAACTTCGTAGGGTAGGGGGGGGGAGGGGTCGAGGGGAAGGGGATCCCTTGGGAAGTCTCCCAAACGGGAATGCACGTGTAATGCCGCATGACATCATTCCGACGACTGCGATCGAGTTCTCTGTGGGGGATCGATCCAGTGGTTATAAGACCGTTCTAGTCCAGCCCATTCTTGAACTGTGCTCGAGTACCTTTCGTACACCTGGGCAGCGAACAATGCCCGTGATGTGAGGACTGTACGAGTACCAGACTACCAGTCCCAGTCGACCAAATTGGGAACAAGCAAAGTACGGCTGCAACGGCAAAATTGCGGGCAGAGCTCAGGAGTCTTGATGACTTGACTTTATTATTAGTGTGTACTATAACATTAAGTTCGATCACTTAGGAGTAAAGTAAATACCAATACTGTAAGCAGTTGCCCGATAGAGAAACCGTGTTAGTCACATTTCATTCCGTCTGCGGACAAGACGCTCCTCAATTGATTACTTGAAAAGTATTATTTGGCTAGCACGAGCAAGGAGCAAAAGGATGTACGACGGACCCTGAAAGGTCGGATTGCCTCACCGGAGACCCTTATCTAATGATTTTTTCAGGGTTGAATGCCGTACAATCACGTGCTCTCCGCCCTAACATCATGCAATTTCAAAATGGCATGTCTCTATGCCTCTCTAGAGGGAACGAGAAGTAGTAGATTTTTAAGTATAGGCTACCCTTACTAAGATTAGTACTATAGTAACCTAACTACCTTAATTATTTATCTTTTTACGACTATAAAGCTATAATATTAGAGTATATCTTAATATTTAATAGTTTAAGTATCTCTACGTCTATAATTATAAAATCTCTTAGTATAGAACTTATACTAGTACTAGATTTTCTCTTAATTAACCTTCTCCTTAAATATCTTCTTAAAACGTTTTATTCTAGCCTTAGTAGAGACTATTCTTCTTTTATAGAAACGAGCTTTATAGATTCTTACTATAGTCTCTAGTATAGAGAAATCTATAGATATACTAAGAAGAGTAATAACCTCTATTCTATTCTTCTTAATCTAGTTTAGTATTTTCTTAAACTTATAGATAGAGTCTTTATTCTATATAAGAATAAGCTCTTAATAACGCTATTCTAGATCTTTAAATAACTTCTTTAAAAGCTAAATATATATATTACATTATATCTTATTTACGTTATTATTAACTATATAGGTAAAGACTCTTTTATAGTTATATTAGATTACGACGTAGATATCGTATTTATTTATTATCTACTCTTCTACTTTCTTATTCTTTACTTTTATATTTTTAGAGATAACCTTTTTATATTAAATATTCTTAAATACCTCTCTCTATTCTATACTAGTAGAACGTTTTATTCTCTTAGTTTTAATAGTACTAATCGAGAAGTAGAACTTATTATAAAAGGTAAAGTTAAGCTAATCTTTAGATATTAGATAAAGCTTAAGATATATAGTGATCTAATTAAGTCTCTAGTTATATTAAGTATATATAAGCTTCTTCTCTTCTTCTTAAATATAGTTTTCGATATTCTTATCTTTCTTAAGGTAGTACTAAATAGATAATACCTTAACGTCTTAAAAACTATAAAGTTTAAAGTAAAGAGTTTTTAGAATCTAGTACTTAGCTATTTTAATAAAATCTAGATATAGTATACTCTTCTATTTAGAAGAAATATTTAAATCTCTTAATAACTCTCTAATAACCCTTATAATTTTCTAAGTAACTATTTAATTAGAACTATAAGAATCTAGTCTAAGATCTTTCTAATTATAGAGGTATTATACTTTACTAGACTTCTCTATTCTTATCTATAATTATAGTAGAACGTTTATAATATCGAATATTTAATACTAATTAATTAGTTAACTAAGATATTAAGTTATAGCTTTAGCTATAAAGATAGTAGATTATTATAGAGTTTTATATTATTTAGTAAAGTAAGAAATAGCTCTAGGTAGAGTATAGTATTTTCTTCTTACTAGATTAACGTATTTTAGAGTAGAAACCTATATAGAATCTATTTAATAAGTAACTAATTAATATTTCCTCTTTATTTAAAGTATCTTAAGTAATTAGAGTAGTTATAATTAATTATTTATAGGTAAGGGGTTACTATAGTACTAATTTTGGTAAGGGTAGCCTATACTCAAAAATCTACCACTTCTCGTTCCCCCCTAGAGATGCCTCCATATCTCCTGTGCAGCTGCGCTCCGCCCTACTGCCTGCTTCTCGCTTAATCTGTCCACCGCAGTCTGCAATGTTTCCCGCGGGACTCCGTACTCGACGATAGGTAATACAGTCATGGCCCGGCACAAATACCTACCTATGCAACCACGGTCACATACTTCAGGCCGATGATGACAGGTAATAATATATCTCACTTAGTTAAGCATACCTCACCTTGCCCCCTCCCTAGCTATGCTGATGCTTTCTCTCCCTATCCCGAAGCAGCTCGACGAACCTGCGCTGCGCTCCCGCCTCGCGGCTTCATACGTCTTTCCGATAGGCACGGCACGATTCCAAAAGGTAGTGTCACTTGGGCTTGACTCTGGCCAGCTCTTACCTGTATTTTCCGTAGTAGTTAATGTGTATCAAGGTCCGCGTTAAGTATTTACCCTAGAATGAACCAAATCTGCTTGGCGCCCTCGTAACAAGATGCTGTCTGGACTCTGGACCCTTATGGTAGACCTCGAGAGGGTTTCCGTTGTTTACAAAGCACCTTCAACACATGGCGCACCAAACGGCTCAAGTCCCAGATTTATTAACGACCCTCAGTGTGGTTCGGAAGGGTTCACCACGTTCCTAGGTCGGCAATTGCTATCCATCATTCTTTACAACAACAACAACAACTCAAACTATATAGTTTTACATCATGATTACATCCTTTCTAAATACACTTGCTACTTTACCCGTTATGTCCGGACGAATAGCTGTTGGGGACGTAATCATAAGCAGAAGCTGGAGGCATCTGAGGAACAAGCAAGATTCGGCGGCTGCATCCCTTGGTTGGTCGCCCCTTCCCTTTCCCAAAACCAGCACTCCCACATCTCACAACTGCTAGCACATTATTGCTTGTTTACTCGCGACAAACGTACGCTGGTGTGTTCGCAGCTTTTAACGCAAGTGTCACCCTACTGATCTTAGTCAGGTCCGAGACCCGGAAACCTGTTATGATATCCCACTAAAGGCTGATGGTGTGAGCAATCAGGACAACGATAATTAGAGGTGGTTGACTGGCGGTTATTTTATCCTTGAAGACAGAAAGTTCGTGCTAACGACAATATTTAGTTTACTTTAGTAGTGCATGCAGTTGGCGTGATAGTGCTAACCCGGAACATACCTCTGTATATAGGAGTCTCGCGGAACTCGTGGACCCACACAAGTGGCATTCGAAAGACGAATCCCAATCAACTAGACACGATATCGTATACTAAGTCCATTGCTTTTAGCTCATAGCGCAATTTAAACTCTGTCGGAAAACTACTTCGACCTCCCCTGAATAAACCGCAGTGGGGAAAATATAGGCTTTACTTATTACACCAATGATAAGTATATCGTCAACTACTTATTGGCCAAACAGCCTAGTTTACCGTAACTTCTAGAAGACCCACTGCGGTTTATTCAGGGGGGGGTCGAAGTAGCAAGATTAAAAGCGTCTATCCTTCCCCAGTCCATCTAAGTTCAAACTTGACAAGCTAGTCAGAAGGTCAATGCTGCTTATCTTGTCCCTGTGATGGGACTCATATCTTGATAGATAGGCACTCATCCGAACTGTCTGTATATTTTGGGTGTTTATACAGTCTATTGCTCAACCTAATCAAACAGAGCGAAATCAGCCACCGATGTGTTGCAATTAGCTGATTTTATCTCACAACTCGATCCAGTGAACTATCAAGCGCCCGGCGAGACCATGGTAGCTCCGTCAAGAATGAGGACCTACCGACACCTCTCACTTCGGAGTAATGTGGAGCACTCGATTATTAGAATGGATCTTATTCAAGTGCTATAGTGCATCTTACATATCCCTTTAATTTATATTAATCGTGTATGTGCACCATGGCGCTACATCTCTCGCTTGCTTCTGAGGCAGCCTTGGAGCTGTCGTGTGCGTCAAATTAGCAATGTATCAGAGAAGACCCTTCGCGGGTAAATCACCAGCAGAAATGCACTTCAATCTTGTCAGTTTTCAGCTCACGTGGTAGATGAGCAACGTCCAAGAAAGGTAGCAAAATCTCCTTATTGTCAGAGCTCAGAGTGCCTTGTTGAGCTGAACAGTTATTGGACTCAAAAGCTCTATCTACAGTCTCGGACACACGTTGGGCCTGGCAATAGATGGTCTTCCTTTCAGCGAAGCGGCACTTGGCTCGCGATGGACGAGATGAGTAGCCGACGAAACTCGACAATTTGTCGATCAGGTTGAAAATATTTGGTGTGTTTCGTCCATTTGTTTCCAGTAGATAACCATTATCAGACTTCTGTTTGGGATGAGTTAACAACCGAAAGCAAATACCCGCTCCGATTCATTCTTTAAGTTGGCAGATAGTTAGTAGATACTGCCATTCATTTTATGCTTTGCGAGGAAGTGTACAACAAAATTGTGAGTAGCTTAGCTTCTTTCCACGAATCGAAGTAAATCTTCACACTCCACCAACAGGAATACATGTATCTTCTTGTCCTTCAGAGATGATTATGTGGAATAGGGACCTCGCTCGAGATCATCCATTTTTAGACATATCCAACTACACCCAATCCTCCGCGCTCTTCCTAATATTTGATGTTTTGCTGAAAGTTTCCGTTCCTGTTTGATGCGAGATGTCCTGTGCCGCAAGAAACTCAACACTGCTTCTAGGTCATGAACAGTGTCCAGGAAGGGAAAACGAGTAACCAGTAAGTTTGAAAGCACTATTATGGTGTTTGTGTGGTCATTGCAAGAGCCCGATCGGATCTTCTGGTGACATGTATTCTGAATGTAGTCGGTATTGTCTGACAGACGAAAATTGTGGTGGCGCTTCGAATGCAGTGGCTAAAAGCCAAAACATCCCAATCTAAATTATAGAAATGAACAAGGTTTGTGTCGCGCGACAGGGCCAGAAAGAGGTCTTGACTTTGTACCCCGAGTAACATCAAGTTATTAGTATAAAATGCTTCCATGTGTCTCATTCCACTCGCGACAGCATGCTGTTTCAATCCTTACAGAAACTACATTTGATCGAGTCATTGGTGAGATTTCAAACATTGTTGGGCTGTCATTGGGTACGCCAAGACTAAACTGTACCACATGGTAATATATTTGCACTTCTGTAGTAGGTTGACATATACTCGAATACTGGCTTTGCAAAAAGTAGAAAACATCCGAAATACAGACAATGGCGTCGAGAATTTCGTACAAACCCTAATCTGAATCATACAATTTGATTAGTAGATCCCAAAGTTCAAAACATCGAGAACCATAAATGCTTGCTCGCCAATTATGCGGATGCTAGCCTTCATTATCAAGAAATTGCTTTCACCAAATAACGTCCAAGGGTGAGCAGTGTATTTCCCACCAACAGAAGCTTCCGAAGAAATGAATTAAGGAAGAATCAATTGTCAATCTCATTATGAGCTATCTAAATATTCCTGGCGTGTCTGGGCGACTCGTTCATAAGACAGCTAATTCATGTGCCCCCACAACGAACTGGCATAGTCTTAAGAAGCTAAACAATCCTCGACGCTCACTTGTCTTTCTTTCGATCTCGCAAGCGACAACACCTGGCATTATAAGGCTCCCAGTGGAGTACAAGCCATTCGGATCTAACACGGAGACAACCTACTTGATTGCCTTGACTATATCCACGTGGCGCAACAGAAGTGTATATTATGAAGCCGGAAATTGGCAGGCACTGAAGCAAGGCCCTCCAAAGACTCGGCACTGTTGTGTCGGAACTTAGGCAATACACAGCGGGAAAGCTACATAGTAACCACTATCCGGAGGTCGAGCCGTTCTCAGGTCAGGCGGACCTACCTTCAGACCATATAAACAAAGATGATGATCAAGTTGTGGAAACCATACGACGCTATTCCCTGGGAACAATTGTATTATGTTATAGCTCAAGTGAACGAAGAGCACAAGAGATATCCTGAAGGATTTTGTACATCTGGAGTCTATAACATGAGTTAAGATATAACTCATTCCCCACCGCCGGCTGGGCCAGTAAGTGTTCCACCCGCCTGCCTCCAAGCCGCAGCCTTGGCCAGAAGGTTCGAAAGAGATTGTGTTTGTTGATCATCAGCTGGGAAAACATAGTCGATGTACTCTTCGTAGCTGTCATCATCCAGCTTGCGACGTCGCTTAGTCTTACGTGGCATCTGTTTCTGCACCGATTCAATATCATCTGCCGAGCCATGGGTACGTTCGAAAGAAAGCCAGGCATTCAAAAGGGAGACCCGCTGTAACGAATTAGCTTCTTGCACGGATAGAAAGAAAATACATAGGGCTCTTACTTCTTCCTTCAGGTCCTGATCCTTCATAGTATCTAAGGCCCTCTCGAATATCTTTCTTGCTCTAACTTTAGCCCCTTCACTAACCTCCCTCTCTTCCTCCTCCTCTTCCTCATCATCTTCTGGTACGTTGATCTCGAAATGTGCGTAACTAATCCAGACTTTGACGTGCCCAGTCTTTTCTAGTAGTCTCTCATACAACGCCCTGGTTCTCTCGTACTCTCCTTCCTCCTCCTCAAAATCAATGTATGCCTTCCAGAGAAGCTCGGGCATATCAAGAACAGTCTGGGCGATTGCGAGTTCGAAAATTGCACGCGCACGTTCCAGATCATCAAGACCGCGTTCAAGCTCGGCGAACTTTATCCATGCTTGGCAGTTCGACGGATTCCATTCAATATGCTTCTCATAAAGAGTCCTACAGCGAACGAATTCAAATAGCTTGAGCTCCAATTCGATATACCCTTTAAACAACTTGTCTTTCGGACACATTCCAATTGCTTGTCCCAAGGTTTTCCTGGCGGCTTGGAGTTGTTGCTGGCGTATTTCGAATTGGGCTTTCATAAGCCAGATTTTGGCAAATGTGAATTTCTTATGCGGGATTAGTTTTAGACATTCCTGGTAAATTTGCTTTGCCCTTGAAATGTCTTTAGACTCCATTTCCTCCCATATAGCATAAAATACCCAAAGGTATATATATCGTCGCCAATGCCTCTTTTCCTGAGTGGGTGGAATTTGAGCTATTGCTCGCTCGTACACATCTCGGACCCGATCGAAATCACCGGACACTTCCTCCAGTCTGGCGTAATCGAACCATGCATCGTAGTTTTTAGGGTTTTCTTTGACCTGCTCCTCATACTGGACTCGCCGTTTTGATAGAATCACGTCCTCTACACCCTCTCGATTACCGAATTGCTTTTCGAATGTTGTATACGCCTTATGGAGGCCAATCGATTTCGACCTTGCCAGGCGATCTAGAGCATATTTGTAGATAGCCCTCGCGCGCTCGTATTCCTTGAGTTTCGCTTCATATCTCGCATATGCGATGAATAGTCGCTCATCCATAAAGTCGTCGCCCAGAGCTTCAATGGCATTCCCAAACACCTCCCTCACAAGATCAGTCGTGCCATACTCTTCTTCGAATCTAGCCCATTTAATCCAGTTTCTCGGTTCAGGATGCACCATGGTAAATCTCTGGAAGATGTCACGAGCTCTTTGAAACTCCCCGTACCGCTTCTCCAACTTGATATAGCTGCTCCATGCTGCCTCATCTGGCTCCCAAGCCATCCATCGCTCAAATACCTGTCTTGTGCCTGGTACATTTCCCAGCATTTCCTCCATATAACAATATTTGTACCATAGTTTATCCACCCGCGGCAGAATAGTAACCGCTCGATCGAGTAGATTTCTTGCATGGTTGATATTCCTCGATTTCATCTCCGCTTCAATATAGCGAATCCACAGAGTCACACTAGTTGAATCTACATCCAATGCTCTCTCGAATATCGACCTTGCACGCTTGAATTCCTTCTGCTCAAGTTCCCATTGGGCGTATCTCATCCAATTGTTCATGTTTATCCTATTCCTCTGCACATACGCCTCAAACTCCTTCCTTTTTCTGCCTTGAAATTCATGGAGTTCTTCGAGATCCGCAAATCGCTGCGTCGGCGCCTGTAATCCGGGTTCCTGGCGATCAACTGCTTCCCGTAAGAGCTGCTCTGCAGAGATCTGGATGGCACTTGCGGCCTTGTTCTTGACCCGTGGAGGTCCTCGAGCGGACTCCATGATTGCGAATGATCGATGTTTCCTGAATTGAAAATGCGAAGGGAAAAGGTCAGATCGCCGAGTCAATATGGCTGAGTACCCGGTCTGACGCAAGACGGTTCTCTTCTGTGTTCGCTGCGACGCCAAGAACGACAGGTGTTGTATGTTGCTGAAGCTGTCTAGTGTTGCGCGACGGTCGAAGTCGAATAGTCGCCAAGGAATTTATTTGGCCAGGCAAGGCTGCGCTAGCGTCTCAGCCTGGCAAAATATTAGTGACCACAGGACTAGCCGCTGTTTGAATAAACAGACTTTCACCGAATCGAACTGTCCATTCGCGCGATTCATCGCCATCACATAATGTCGACTCTGGCAGATGAGCTGTTGCAGGACTTCGAAGATTCTGGTTCTGAGAATGGTGAGCAACAAGACGACGGCCTACTCGCCGACGAAGATGGCTCACATGCACCGAACCCCCCAACCTTACACGCAAATGGCGAAAGCATGGAGCTCGACGGAGACGAAGAGGATGTCGGAGATGACGAAGAGATGAGTGGTCTGAATGATACTGGCGTCGATGTAGAAGATGAGGAAGAGACCAAAGCCAAGGTGGAGAAAATGGAGCTCGGCGGCGTTGACGATGTTAGAAGTGTCGCAAAGCTCATGAGAACTTTGGAACCAGTTTTAGAGGTTAGTCTCCTATCTCTCTCAATACGTGTCACATGGATATCTATTATTTACATTGCCACATTGTGTGCTAGTCCTGACACCTAGCTACGTATAGAGAATCGGCCACTTCCAATCGTTACCACCAGAAAAACAAACTACGCATGTCGGTTCTATCGAGGACAACCCAGAATACAAACTTCTCACGCAATCTAATACACTTTCGACCTCGATAGATACGGAGATTATGATAGTCCATAAATATATACGCGATCACTACTCAGTGCGGTTCCCCGAGCTGGAGACGTTGGTAACCAACCCGCTGGATTACGCCAAGGTTGTTACGATAATTGGAAATGGACCTATGGATGGTGATAGCATTAAGGCTCTTCAGACTTCGAAGGACAATCGGTTGGGCGCTACTTTGCGATCTGTACTAGATGGCCCCTCAGTCATGATCGTGACAGTAGAGGCGACTACCACGAAAGGCAGGGAAATGACGAATGAAGAGCTAGACCGAGTGTTGCGAGCTTGCGACATGACTCTCGCACTCGACAGGGCGAAGAAAACGTTGACGGATTACGTCCAGTCTCGCATGAACTTGTTTGCGCCTAATTTGACGGCACTAATCGGATCCCTCACTGCAGCACAACTTCTCAATTTTGCGGGTGGCCTGACTGGACTTGCAAAGACGCCAGCATGTAATCTACCGCCTCTTGGATCGAAGAAACAGTCGGGTACAGGCTTTGCCACCAATGTTGGAGTGCGACAACAAGGGTTCCTATATCATTCGCCCATCATTAGAGGCATCCCTAACGACTTGAAAAGACAAGCCATGCGAATCGTATCAGCAAAGGTTGTTCTCGCGGCTCGTGTAGATCGGGTACACAACAGTCCAGATGGTTCTACTGGAGAGGAGCTCAAGGCATCATGTTTAGAACGTCTTGAGAAACTGACTGAACCACCCCCAAATAAAGGTCAGCGGGCTTTGCCTGCACCAGACGACAAGCCAGCTCGTAAGCGGGGAGGCCGAAGAGCTCGCAAGGCCAAGGAAGCTACAGCCATGACGGATCTTCGTAAAGCTCAGAACAGGATGATTTTTGGTAAGGAAGAGAAGGAAGTCGGGTATGGTACAGGCGAAGGCACGAAAGGACTCGGCATGATTGGCCAAGCCAATGAAGGTCGGATTCGGAATCTCCAGGTCGATCAACGCACAAAAGCCAGACTGAGCGCGAAGAATAAAGGCTGGGGAGGGGCAACACCTGTTGGTGGATCTGCCTCTTCACTTCGGGGTTTCGGTCAAGGTGCGAGCGCTGGTATTGATCTAAGAGGCAAAGGGCTTCGTGCTTCAGGCGTCGGCAGCACCGCTGGAGCGGGTGCGGGAACAGCTTCCAGCATTGCGTTCACCCCTGTTCAGGGTCTGGAATTGGTTGATCCCAAAATGCAGGCTGAAATGAACAGGAAGCGGAAAGCTGAAGAAGATAGATGGTTTAAGGGTGGTACTTTTACTCAGGTTGGGGGAAGTATGGGACCTCCACCACCACCGAGTAAAAAGGTTGATACTGGGGCAGGAAAAATGGCGCCTCCCCCATTGCCTGCGCAGAAAAAGTGAGCGAGTGCTCGTGTTAACTGTAATTCAGAGGTTGATTTTGCATGGTGTTTCGGGCATTGGTTGGCGTTTGGAAGGTGTCTCTACGTTGAATGTGTACGATTGGTGGTCGTCTACCTCGTTGGGGAGGAAATCAAGTACTTACGGAAGTAACAAGCTTCCACACTCCCTGGATGTTGCTTTGGTCCGCTGTTTCTAATATTCTCTTTGCATTGTATTCTCTCCGACTCGAACTATATACTTCCCAAGCTGGTAGAGCTCCGCCGTGTGCTACCTGTATACCAATGTGTGTGGTAAGGGGAAAAGCTTGCGACTATGTTCCCTATAAATTTAAGCTATACCAGGAGCTGTCATTTCATGACGAATGGATAATTGTAGAGGTATATCATGCCCAGCAACCCCCAGTATTGTACGTGTTGGGCAGTATGCATCTTGCAGCAGCTTATTTCAGCTCATTCTTTGTCCATACTGCATCGTGCTAAGAAGCCTTGCGCGTCTTTTAACGTCTTAGGACTTTTAGTTCATCTATCTTTCTTCTAGAAGGGCGTCTTGCGAATCTACCAGTAAACGCTCTGACCCTGTTGGGGTCCTCAAGCTGTTTGGAACATTTAAGCGCGCCCGCAGCGTACAAGACGACCCCCGAGAACATCAAAGCCCGCACTAAATCCACCATCACCGGGATCCCAGGACTGTGCGGACACGTTTTTCCCGTTTCTCTGGCCGAGCGCGTGGCAAGTGTGCCGCTGTCCCATACTAGAATATACAAAGTAAGAGATACCTCCGTTCTTGGGGCGCCGGAGTACCTTCCTGACTCCTGACCAGCGCGGCTACAGCGAAGCAGACCCGGTTTTCTCTGTCAAAGTAAGCCTCTTTCATCGAGTACGGACGTTGATGCGCCCTGTCCTTGGTACCCTACTCATTGGCAGTCGGGCGGCCTAGGGTCTCTGTATTTCGCTCTACTCAGTCCTGAGACCTGCTCTTCACGTAGCCTCAACATGTATGAATATGGCAGACAAGCTGACGCTGCAGGCCCCAGGTGCACTCGAGACTCCGTCCAGATTCTCGAACCCATCCGACTCTGCAAACGAAGACGAGCCTCCGCCGTCTCCTGAACGAGGTGATTTTCTTTCTGGTGTTCGAAGAGGAATCAAGAAGTGGGGATCTGTGTCTGGCAATCGAGCGAGACCACCTACCACCCAACTCGGGGAGACCTCCTTACCAACCCTCTCGGAACCTGCGTCAGCGGCTGCAGATACCGAAACAAACCTACGAGTATCGAGGAAGCATGAGCGTAGGACGAGCAGTCTGAACCGTGAAAAGCCTTTGCCAGCACCACCACAGTCACCACCGTTAGCCGAAGAGCCTCCTCCTCAGAACATCTTCTCCCCTCCAGACACACCCAAGGCCCCCACAACGATGTCTCGACAAGGTGCGGCTGGAAGCCGTACAAGCACAATGGACTCGTCTACATCGGGGAGCCAGTCATATGGCGGAGCATTCGGCTCCAACCAGAGCAATGGTACTGGACCAGCAAGGCAGGTTGGGGAAGATGACTCGAAAGACACCACGACTCCGAGGAGCAATGGTCCTCCATCAGCGGGTCCATCCCCAGCCCAACCACGCTCTGCTGGGGGCCAGACAATAGGAACGCCCGGAACAACGCCAGCTACACATCTCTCCGGGCTTATGTGCAATGTTCACAGGACTACTGGAAGGGAACCTCATCCCTTGGTAGGTGCAACAACTACCATATTGGGCGACAAGCTGTACGTATTTGGCGGACGAATTTTGTCGAGGACTAGGCCTGCTCTAACATCAGACCTCTATGAACTTGATCTCATTCGTCGGCATTGGACAAAATTAGATGTATCAGGAAATATTCCACCACCGCGATACTTCCATAGTGTTTGTCCGCTCGGCGACACGAAACTGGTATGCTATGGTGGGATGTCCCCCGCCCCAGTCCAGGGACAGGCTGCAGTTGTTGCTACGCAGAGCGCCCAGGAAGCACAGCCAGAAGTGGTCGTGATGTCAGATATCTATATTTATGATGCACCAACAAAGGTGTGGTCGTATATTCCAACCCAGGAGAACGAAACACCCCAAGGCAGATATGCTCACTGTGCCACAATACTTCCCTCGTCTGCTACCTTTTCCTCTGTTAATGCACCCAATTCTGCTCTCCATCACAATCCAGCCGGAGCAAATCCGAACTCAGGGACCATTGGCGTGAACATTGACGGGAGTGGCGGAGCTGAGATGGTGGTCGTGGGAGGTCAAGATAGCGCAAATCATTATATTGAGCAGATTAGCGTCTTTAATCTGCGCAGTCTGAAATGGACCAGTACACAGCAGCTGGGGAAAAGTTGCGGGGCATATCGCAGTGTTGTGGCACCACTCCCAAGTAGTGTTTCCACTCGACTTGGAAAGAGTTCGCCGAAGCCAGACTCGAGCAATTTTAATCAAGATGTGCGGGAAGCCGGATCATCAATGTTAATATACTCGAACTACAACTTTCTTGATGTCAAGCTGGAACTTCAGATACGTTCTCCGGATGGAACGCTAGCTGAAAAACCTATGCATGGCACCTTTTCGCCACCTGGACTACGCTTTCCCAACGGTGGGATTATTGATACCAATTTTGTGGTGAGTGGCACATATCTCACCTCATCGAAACAGGAATACGCACTTTGGGCTTTAGATTTACGTACTTTGACGTGGAGTCGAATCGACGCTGGAGGAAATGTTTTCAGTCAGGGAAGTTGGAATCGCGGCGTTCTCTGGGGTCGGCGAAACACTTTTGTAATTCTTGGAAACCGCAAACGAAGCTTGGTGGAGGACTATAATCATCGAAGGATAAATTTCTCAAATGTTTGCATGGTCGAGCTTGAAGCGTTTGGATTATACGACAACCCCCGCAAAGGAGCGCCGATGTCTGGATTTGTTTCTGCCAGTGCTCCATTCACAGCACCCAGCTTGAGTCTAAGTCTGAAAGTTGGCTGGACTGCTGGTGGCCGCCCTTTGTCAAGGGCAGCAGAGGAATTAGGTCAGAGTGCACTTGGACTAAAAGAACTCGCTGATATGGATATCCTTTGCGTCGGTGGTGAACGAATCCCCGTCAACTCACGGATAGTAGCACGAAGATGGGGACCGTATTTCGTCCAGCTGCTTCGAGAAGGAGCCGCCACTCAAGATGGCAACGATGCTGCAACTGTTCGACCAGATCCCATGTTGAGACACAACCCGAGTCGAAATAGTAGTGTTACTATCACACCTAGTCTTGGGGCGTCGTCCAACATGTCATCATCATCTACCCTGATCAATTCATCGACGCAGGGTACCAATTCTAACCACCAGTCGATTGATCCATCTTCGCTCGCTATACCACCTGATACCATTAGCCTCCCGCCTACCTCCCGACCTCGCACACTTTATTTGCCGCATACACACTTAACCTTGCAATCGCTCCTTCACTACCTGTATACTTCCTCATTACCACACTCAAGCTCGCCGCTTTGTACGCCTCAAATTCTTTGCTCACTGCTCCAACTAGCTCGTCCGTACAAAATTGACGGGCTGCTAGAAGCAGTCGTCGAGCGCCTGCATGGAGTTTTGGACTCTAGAAATGCTGCTGCTGTATTCAACGCGTCTGCTATGGCAGCTGGAGGTGGCCGGTCAACAAGTTCTTCCTCGGCATTTGGTGAGAATTGGTTGTCGTCTGAGTTTGCTGATGTTCCTGGTGCGCCAGGTCAAGGTCCTCCGATACTTCAGTTGGGTTCGCTTGGAACAGACATGTCCCTCAGGAGTCAACAACCTTTACGAATCAATACATCAGTGGGAAATCTCAATACGGGTGCCGGAGGTAGGAGAAAAGATGATGAAGAATCGCTGAGTGCGACATCAAGTGCGGCCAGTGATGTTTCCGGCTCCGACGTCAGCGGCATGACGAATGATATTGATGCCAGAAACGATGCTAACGGAAAAGAGATCTGGAAAGGTGATATCAGTGCTGTCATTGGCCTCCAGAAACGAGGCCTTCGTGGGTTGATGGAGGGTCGAAGACTTAGGGAGCGAGGTGGGAGCGTTCCCAGTGTCACATCAGGCCCACGAGTTGGCTTAGGAATCGGTGCCAATTGATGCGGACGTCGATATGTGGACGAGCGCCTAGACAGAGTGCGCTCTAGACTGCTACCGTTGCCAGTAGTAGCCGTCATTCGTCGTCCGATCTCAGGTAGAACATGCCTCATGGGCTAGGGGACATCTGATGGTCATGTATAACGAACTTCACGAGGATACGGGTTTGAATTGGAGACAATAGCTTTATCTTGGGTTTTCACGTTGTCTTAGATATGTTGGAGAGCTTTGTTCGTTTTAGCTTCTCGTATTTGGCTGTCACAAATATCCCTAACGCAGATTCTGAATATCTTGGGCGAAGCACAAAGATATGTTATTCTGTTTTTTTTTTGGATGTCTCCCACTTTGTGAGACTGCAAAGCAGGCACAAAACGAGTATTTTTATACAACTCGTTATTAAATGAAACGTCTAACCTCTTTCTCAAGACGTGTGATGGCCACTGACGTTCGAAGGATGGATACTTGAATGAATACGGTTAGCTCACTAACACACAGCCTTCATAGCATCCAATATAGGGTGGTTGGTGTTCCAACGTCCATCGCTGATTGCCCCAAGAAGGTGCCTTTAACGTTAACCTATTCGAGGCAACTAGCTAGGCTGGTGCCGAAGTGCACGAGTACCTAGGTATTGAAACCTCGATTGGCAGCCCACATCCGGCTATGACACAGTCTTTTATCGTACAGCATAAAATTCAGATCCTTACTTCACATAGATAGACGCACAAAATCTGAGAGGAATTCACCTTAGACAGTTTTTTTTTTGGAGTACCGAGCTGGAGTTCCTATTTGCTTTCATTGTTAACTGAAGACGCTCAAGGAGCTAACCTCTTGCGAGACAGGGGTGTCGGGAGCTCCACTACTTAGGTACCCTCCCCTCCCTTACGCGAAGACAACACCAAACCTCTTTCCTCCCCAACTTCACAACTCCCGTCTTGTTCGCATCGTCATCAAGCACGTCAAGCTGACAGCGGAAATCAATATCGTTTTCACCTGTAGATCGTGGAGTGCCGCCTCATCATGTCGACCGTAAAACAAGCAGTCTTGGGTTTTACTTAATGAGCCGCGTCAGATTCCGAGCTCTTCGTACCCAACATGCTCCCACCTCCGACTCTGAGCTTTACTATTCCTTCCGTACACGATGATCTGGTACTTTCATGCCGAATATACCATCCACCATGCCTCTCTCCGGAAAACCTCTCCCAGCTCGAGAGTTGGGATAAAAAGGCAGCCATAATTGCCCACCCATATGCGCCTCTGGGGTATTTGAAATACGCTCTTTTGCAGCATGGTGTTTGGTCTGACCTTGGATTAGTGGTAGTTACGACGATCCAGTGGTCGACTTGATCGGGTCCACTATCCTCAAAGCTGGCTTCTGTGTTGGCACTTTCAATTTCAGGTGCGTCTTCAAAATGCTGCCAATGTGCGATGTATGCTGATCTTCCTGGTTCAAGGGGTGCGGGTCAATCCCAAGCACGTACTTCTTGGCGGTCACTGGCGGAATACAATGATTACATCTCCTTTATTGGTTTTATGGCATATTATATTCATCTTCTCGCGCTGCCAGTCACAAACGTCTCACCCATGAGTCAACCCAAGTTTACCGAATCCGAGCCCGAATTGCACAACCTAACTCCCGTTCCCTCACAATCAGTAGCTCCTCCCCACGTCGACAGATTTAGAAGTCCAACTATGAACCCTGATGGCTTGTCAAGTGCAGGCTTGGAGGCTAAAACCAGCGATACTCGACCAGTCTTCTTAATGGGGGGTTATTCGTATGGTGCAATGATAACATCATGTTTACCTGCCATACTTAGCTCGATTCTAGAACCATTCCAAAGTCCTGCTACTGGCTCAGCCTATGCCGAAATTCGGATGCGAGCAGAAAGTCTCGCTATGCAACAGAGCGAAGCAATAAGCGTTCAATTGTCGTTGTTCCACGCCCAGCACCATCGTGGTCGCAGTCTACAACCAAACGATCTTCTTTGTAGTCCAACGTCTCGCAAGGCTAGCGGTGGAATGCGCACTGGCGGCACTGAAGGAATACGGAGAGCCAGTCACGACTCGCACCGCTCGAGGAATTCGTTCTCAATCGAGACACAAGAGAGAGTTAGAAAAAGCGTAGATCGAGTTCGATCTCTGACGAAACAAACAAGGCACCAACCTCGTAGGGCTAACAGTGACGCCTCCTGGGCATCCTCTTGGAAGAGTGGTGAACTCGGGAAATCAAATCATTCGTTAGAGAAAATATTAACGGATAACGACATTGGATTATCGTCTGAAAATAATATCAACCCGATAATCGGGCTGGGAGATAGATTCAGAACCGCCTACCTCCTAGTCTCTCCCCTTCAAGGATTTGTAGGGGGGTTACTCACGCTCTGGAGTTTTAGACCAAACAAAGGGCTTCCTGACCCAGAATTCAAGTTCGGCGTGGAGCCAACATTGGCCCTATTTGCTGATGATGATGCTTTCGTGGCGGTAAAAAAGTTACGAACTTGGGCCCAACGATTCCAGGTGGAAGGGGTCGACAAGTTCAGGTACAGAGAGGTTAAGGGCGCAGGTCATTTTTGGCACGATAGAGATTGTCAAAGGATTTTGAGGGATGAGATCAAGGCGTTTGTCACGGCCTTGTGAGAGAAATTCCTAGTTGACTTGTACTTCGTACCACCCAGAGTAAACCGCAGTGGATAAAATACAGACTTTACTTGTTCCAGGAATGATAAGTATATCCTCAAGTCATTATTGGCTAAATAACCTTGTTTACCGTATCTTCTAGAAGACCCACCGCGGTTTATTCAGGGGGGGTCGAAGTAGATGTGAGCGGGTCACAATGTTTGTAGAATCTTCAAGAACACATCCCTGGATCCAATAAAAAGTATGACAGCTAACCTTGGAACTGGGTTGACGTGCTTAGCCATGAATCAAGTGTTGGGTGTATACGTCTCTTCAGGTGAGTCATGCCAATTTGAGAATAACCTCCGAATTACGACCGATGATAAGACCCAAATCAGAATTTGGGTAGAAGGTCAAGACCAGAAAGAAGGCGAGTCGACGCCACGACAAACATGCCATAACCGAACCCCATCTACAAAAATGGAGATCCAAAGGTTTCTTTACCTCCGCTCTTTCTATACGGTAGTCTGTGGTAACATGATCATAGTATGGCATCATGGACAAATCTGACAAAGCTGTAGGTTGACAAGTCCATTGTATATACTCCTGTTCGCACTGGAAAACACGACGGAACGTACTAAAAATTGGTATTGAGCTCTATAAACATTTCTTGCTATCATAAGTCATAGCGTGCGGTTGTTCCAGTAAACCACTTCCTTCATTTCCTTTCGGAATTCAAAACGGTTTTTGCAGACTTTTCGACAGAGCCCTCAACTATGAAATGGGCGGAGGTCAATTTGCTCGCACCAGAACCGAAGCCTATACAAGCGAGGTTTTATCGGGGTTTTCGATGATCTGATGGTCACTTTATACTTCAAGCCCGAGGTCTTTCTCGGCTTTGATGACACGAAGACTGTTCTAAAGTTAGTGGTAGCTGAATACAATGGGATTTCCAGGTAAACATACGTGTTGGTGTTACCCATGCCGCCCTTCCATCCCTGAACAACGACAACAGTCTCACCCTGTGAAAGGACGCCTAGCTTCATAGCCTCAGCAATACCCCACTTGATTCTGCGATCAACATCCTCCTGCCAGTTGACTTTGCTGAAATCTGGTTTTTGTTCGGGGAAGAAGAAAGGATATACGCCACGATACAAGTGACCATAGCGAGAAGCACTGGCGTTACGCGTGACCATGAAAATTGGGCAAACAGGTCTGTACTTGGACAGGAGACGGGCACTATCTCCGCTAGTGGAGAGGACGATTAAAGCACCAGCATTCATATCCAGACTGGCACGGACAGCGGCCATGGCACAAGACTCGACTATGCTTACTGGTCTCTTAGCAAGGGCAGTCAGTTCCTCAAAGTGAGAAACATATGCGATCGTGTTCTCAGCCTTGAGGCAAGTCTCGCTCATCTCTCTAACAGCTTCATTTGGATAGCTGCCCTTAGCAGTCTCTCCTGACAACATAACACAATCGGCTCCATCAGTGACCGCATTACCAACGTCACTGATTTCGGCACGGGTTGGGCGTGGGTTGTTGATCATCGACTCGAGCATCTGTGTAGCACAGATGACTGGCTTGCCAGCAATGTTACACATTGCGATCATCTTTTTCTGCGCAGCGAAGACCTCAGCAGCAGGAATCTCGATACCGAGATCGCCACGGGCAACCATGACTCCATCTGTTTCCTTGAGAATTTCGGCAAAATTGTTGAGACCTTGTCTGTTTTCAATTTTGGCAATGATCTGAATATTCTTGCCATCTTCACCAAGAATCTTACGGATGGCGGTGATATCTTCACCACGACGAATAAAGGAGGCAAACACCATGTCGACATTGTTCTTGACACCAAACCGGAGATCTGCCTGGTCCTTCTCGGAAAGTGCTGGAAGGTCTACATCGGTGTTGGGAAGGTTGACACCTTTTTTGGAAGAGATCTTTCCATTATTGCGGGCACGAGCACGAATCGTCTTGTCATCGATAATGTCAAGCACGTCGAATGCAAGAACTCCGTCATCCACGTAGATAATGCGGCCCTTCTGGATGACCTTGGTGATGTTTTTGTAGTCTACATACCTGGAAGTAGGTGATTAGAGGAACTGGATGCCAGAGCGGATCACCAATAACTTACATGTTCTCCACGTCGCACGCGGTAGCGTACTTCTCATCAGTGGTGATGTTGATCTCAGTTCCAGCACTGATTGGAATATCCTCGTCACCTTTGGTGTTTCCCGTTCGGATCTCTGGACCTTTGGTATCCAAAGCAATGGCGATCTGACGACCAGCTTGGACCTTTTCGGCCTCACGAGCATTGTCGATTACGGATTGATGGTACTCATATGAGCCATGAGAGAAGTTCATACGAACCACATTGAGACCGGCAGTTCGGAGCTTGTTTATAGCCTCGACTGAGTTTGTCTTGGGGCCGATGGTACAGATAATAGATGTGCGGCGATAGTTCTTTGCTGGCTTGTATTCAGTATTGAGAGCAGAGATCCATTCGATCTTTGTAGAGCCGGACGAAAGGTGGTCCATCGCGGTAGCCATGATTGAGGAGAAGGATGGAGGTGGAAGAACGAGGCTGTGGAATAGCTATGTATATTCTGCGATGCGGGGCAAAGCCAGAGGAGCGATTGTACGATTCGAGGGGTTGATAGAGATTTAGATCGTCAGGTTTGAATGATCAAGGAAGGAAGGTCTGCAATATTTTCTGTCAGTTGGTGGTTTGAGACACGATTGTGCTAGCTGTTACTCAGCTCAACTGTTTGGTCTTGGTGGGGGTGATAGCTTCGGAGACCGACCAATACAACAATCAGACGACACAACGTTTCACGTTGCGATTGAGAAAGTGATGGTGATGAGGAGACCACGAGTCTTGCACAGAATTAAATGAGCAGGGAAGAAGGAGGGAAGAAAAATACTCACTCGGGTGATGAGGGAATTCTTTCAGGAGATGGGGTGAGCAGAACTGGTGGAAGGAGTAAAAACTGTTGCTGCACAGTTTTGATAAAAGAAAGTATTTGTTTTGCGCCCATTATGGCGGACCCCACCCCCAAGGCCAGGCCAGCGTGCCAGCCCGACTCCAGAGCGAGGGGCTCAAGTCCTCAACCGCTTTGCTGCGACATGGTTGGCTGCGCGGCTGCTATCTCGGGGCGATTATTAGGTTCCCGCTATCCATGGATCTAAGTGCTGGTGGGGGTATCACGTGTCCATGGTATAGTTTCGAAGACCTATCGTCGGCGACGGTTTCTCGAAGACATTCCAAGGTCTTGCTGCATCCAAACCAAAGATCGTGAGTGAGTAAATCAATATTCTCGTCATTCTACGATCAGGTGATGAATACGACGAATTCGGTAAAAGGATGATAATGATTCAGTCCTGTAGGTGGTCACACAGCCTTTATTAACTGGCTTCTGCGGAGGTGGACCGGACCGATAATTCGGGAGCCCGGTTGCGCGTTCACCGGGTCGGCTAGCCTGATGGTGCTGGCAGGTGCACAGCAACCAGGCTCCGAGACTAAACAAAGCAAGTTCCGACGTACAACTCCAGCACACACGAGAGCTTCGACTGAGAACCCTTTCCCAACCTTTTCCCTGGCCATTACACATACCCGTAACCAACAAGCAAGGCAAGTAACCATGGTGGTGAGTCTCTAGTCCCTTACGCTCCTAGTCACTGCTTGATGCATACGGAACCTAATCGCCCCAGTTTCTCAACTTACTGACATTTGGGTTATGGGGAAAGCTCGGAAGGTTAACTCACTACGCATTTGATGCTGTTCTCAGTACGCCTACCTTTGGAGAGAATGTCCTTCGACTGTTTGCTAATCCGTTCTTTAGTCTCCACCATTCTGGCTGGCATGAAACGATCCACCGGCTTAACGTACGTTCTATCTCATATCTTGTTCCGACTCGTCGGCTGTCTACCTGTGAAGCAAACTTTCGCGAAACCATCCCCCTCATTAGGCACCCTTCTCCTAATAGAGACCGCATTTGAGAGCACACCAGCTGACGAGTCCCATGCTCCGGGACCTTAGGCCCAGTTTCAAGAAAGAATCCATCTCTGAGAACAAAGATGTCAATGTGTGGATTGGAAAATATCTGGACGTCGGCGAGTGGGTGATGGACACTTCGGTTGCATTAGCTGGGTCGAGCGGATTTTTCGAAAGGAAACGATAAGCATGCGCGGAATCAAGGCCACGACATACAGATAGCGAAGAAATCAACATCGAATCCACCGGCGACGGACACGCTCGCGAAGGCGGCGATTCCATAGTGAGAGAAAATCGGACAGCATGGGCATTTGGACTTGTAAAGGTCTAGGGCGTTAAGGTGTTGAACTTTGGACTGCGTTTGCAGATTGCGGGTATGGCGAAAGGCGATGTCTCTACTTTTTCAAGCAGTGCTACTCAGGATTAATAGACATCTCGAGAATGCCGCGTTCAATCAAACAGATGGCATACGAACCAGCGTTTATTTCCTTGGTCTAAAGTTAATGGCGACTTGTGGTCGATTTCAAGTTGCCAGGATGTGGATTCCTACACATCAATAAGAACATGCACTGTCGGCTAGGGATTTTAGGACTCTGAAATTGCAAACTAAATGTAAATCAGTAGCGGTTCACATTTTCATGGCGTAGTGGATTGAAACATGGCTGAGTTGGTATGGTAGTCTGATCCTAATGCTCTTCCCGAGTTATCTATTAGGCCAGATTCTGCCCGGTATTTTCTTTGCTATGGGACGCGAAGTAGTCCTACCTATCTATATCTAGTGTCATTGACATTACTAGTTGTAGCAATTGCTTCTATCCTGAGCGCTGATAGAGTATTATGTAGCGATTGTACTAAGGTGTTGTAGCCGCATATGACTATATCTTCCCGAGCACACCCTTAGGATTAATAAGGATTCTTCACGTATACTGGTGTGGTCTTTGAGAAGATCTAGGCCCTTGTTCCAGCACTACAATTTTGGATATTGACGTAATAGCTCCTACTGCCTCCCGAAGATTGTGTCCCATTAGTCTTCATACTATATTCCTCTCATACAACGTCTCAACTGGCCAAAGCAATGGAATTCCGCCACCTGGGCGATGCTCGTTGTTTCATTAATCAGCAAAATATGAAATCAGATCTTATCGACTCACCAAACAGCTCGGACAACTTGCCTTGAGACCATGAGTTATAAGCTGTGGATAGGTTTTGTTCAGGACAAGAGCTCTGGGGTATCAGTACTATTATTGTAAGACATCTAAGGGTATAATCAAAAGCCTAGAGATAATCAATGACTATCCTCAACCAATAACTCTGCCAAATTCGGACCCTCATCTTCGCTTTCGTCTGCCTCCACCCGCATATCCAAACTTGGGCTTTCCTTATTACTACTTGTAGTCCTATTCTCGGATTTGTGGTCACTTTCTTCAGCACTAACACCACTGACACTACCAAGGTCTTGTTTCACAACACTCTCCGCATGAGAGATGAACCCCGCAGTCTTTTGCAAAAGCTGTTTACCCTCTTTAAAGGCTTCGAGTTCGGCACAGATAGCACAAATCAAGAGGTTCCATTTGTTATCCTCTGCTGTTTGCACCGCGGAAGCCAAACGGTCTATGGCGCTTCCCATCTTGGTAACATGCCCCTGGAGCACTTCGACGTCATGGCCACCAGGGCTAGACATGTCTTTCTTCAACTCGTCCTCAAAGCTGTTAACGATATCAACCACATCTTGCCACAAGCCTGCGCCGTCTTCCAGCGCTTGTCGTTCAACTTCAACATCTTCATTCTTTGAAGATAATTGTGCAATTTCCCTTTCCCAACACTCTCTCGCCATGGCCAACGTCCTTCGCGCAGGAGGAAGAGACAGAAAGCCTTCTTCGCCGCTCAAGACTGTGCTAGTCTCAACTGGAGGTCTCTTCAAAAATCCTCGCACTTCTCTCTCCGCTTCTCTGATCGCCCCTCGCCAACTACTCAGTCGACTCTCTTCCCTATTTACTCTCTCTTTGATCCTCTCGGCAAGCCACTTCTTCCTTGCCTTCATCTGCGTCAATCTCTCCTCTAGCTCTGCTATCTCATGCTCTACAGCAGTTTCCTCCTCTCTCAACTCCTCTAGTTCTCTGGTCTCGTCTTGGGATTTGCCTTTTTTGAATTCCGTCTCTGCGGCCAAGATGCGCTCTTCCCAGATCGAAAGCTGAGAAAGAGCATCCTTACGGCGCGCGACTTCATCTGAAATAATAAGAAGTTGGCCTTCTTTCACCATAACTAGCTCGGACACGCCCCGTAATAAACCGCGACGAGCACCTCGAAGTCCTATTCGTTTCTGCCGGGGTTGGCGTACTGGTATGACGCCCGAACCATTCAAACCGTGATTTCGGACACTGCGGGATGTTGGTGTGCTGCTTCCAGCATCGCTTCCTCCTAGGCTACTCCTACCAGGGAGGCTCTCGCGGTCGAGCCCTTGTATAAGACCCTCGGACTGAGCGTCAAGATATGTTTGTAGTTCCGTCTGAATAGACCTTTCCCTGCGTTCCAACAATAGAAACTGATTGTGTACATTTCTTCTGATCTCCACTTTGTTGGGTTCTCTGCCATGTTCATTGTCCATATGCTTCGCAGGCAGCCCAACCCTCATCGCTATAGGCGGCGGTGGAGTAGCAAACTGGATCCTCCTTCCTGTGGAGGATAATGAGCTGACATTGCCACTATGGTATCTGTCGACGAATGGTTCGTCGAAACCCCCGCTTGCTGTGGATTCTTTATTATCGCTGTAGGGATGGTAAGCTTGGTACGTCCGAGGATTGGCGGCGTCATTTTTGGAACGATAGAAGGCAGGAGGAGGAGAGGGAGATGCCGGGCGACTCTCTCTATCTAGAGAAAGATTCTGGAGTGAGATAGAGTCGTCTCTGGGTGTGTGGTGCGTTGGTAGGAGAGGGTTTCGGTCTGCGGAAGAGGATGATCGAGAGAAGAACGAGGAGCGCGACATGATCTGACTCTTAATGCGGCCGCTCGCAATGGTCGCAGTGGTTCCGTAAATCCAGTATTTTCATAGAGGAGAATGCATCTCGGTTTCGCAAAGGCTACCAAGGTGGTGGATGCGGTAACATTTATGTCTTGTTCTCGTTTGTCTCACATGCGCATCCAGGTCGGTCATCTGCGGTTTGTGGTTTCTGGTGTAGCTTCTATCAAACGTGGTATGAGTGGTGACTCTGATTCCTGTAGTTGCGGGGTGGTGCAGGTTCGACGCTGTTTAGTCGAAAAGGGCACGCTCGAGTATCAATGTCCATGTTTTGCATCGAGCTTACCTTGTTTTAATCATGGTGATTCAGATGCCATTCCATGGCCAGCCACCCCAACCCGCATCGAACAGCGTACCATCAACATAGACTTTTGTGTGATCTTCAAAAGGACAACTTTTTTATTGAGATCAAAGGGACAACCTATTAACGACCTGCTCTATCTATTACGAAAGGTTTTGGAAGATGTCTTGCAGCCTCGGCAAAGTTGACCTCTGAACATTGTACAAACTCGGCATAGTTGCCTCAACTGCTTAAAACTCGTGACTAGGTACATACATCGAGATATATAAATCCAAACCAATCTACCTTTCATACTGACCTAGTACGATTATAGATAATCAATCGATGGTAAAACTCAATTCTATTGCTCTTCAACATAGAGAGTCTACTAAATTACCCGGGGAATCATTCTTATGGCCACCAATTTTGGTCTTTGACGAGAAATCTCTTCCAATACATCAACAAATATAAATAAGATACCGCACGATGCGTCCTTCACTTCTCGTTTGTATCAGGAAACAATAAATTCGGTCAATCTTGCAAAAAGTCGACAAAGGTATCGCGAGACAATGCACAAGAGCATACACGTCTAAGTCAAGCACGCAACCAGTCTCCGAAAATACCACACCAGATGAGGATTTGACTTCCCGAGTACTTCCGCAAATGAAACTCAGTAACGGAGACCGCCATTCTTTGACCCCCCCACCACGTATGCTGCAAGACAAGCTTACACCCAGGGAAAGGGCCAACGCGAGATTTCAAGTTGAGGGAAATGCAATGTAAGTCCCCTTTCATCACTATGTGTTCTTGAGGTGGACAAGAAGGGATGCCAGTGAAACGAATCTGGCACATGGCGCCTTGGAGGTAGGGTAAATGAGCCTGGAATCATCAACTACATTTTAGATTTCTTGTTGCGTGGTCTGTTCGACTGACCACATCCGTTTTCGCGGCGAGGGGTTCTTCAGCGAAGAATTGCACATTGTTGCAATTTCGATCGTATCCAGATGGAAGATATGAAATGGCTAACAAGTGTTCTGTAGAGTTACTGGGTGAGCTGGAACTCTAGGATTCGCGTGTGCCAGAGCTCTACTGGAACACGGTGCAAGTGGTCTGATGATTTTTGATGTGGAGAAAAACAAATCGAGAATCAAAGTCGAGGAATTACAGAATGAATTTCCAAAAGCTAGGCTCGGTTACAAGATAGTCGATATCACAGATGATGCAGCCGTTGCAACTAGTGTTCAGGAATCGGCGAAATTTCTAGGCTCTATTGACGTTGTCCTTTGTTTTGCCGGTGTCGTCGGATGTACACATGCCCTTGAAATGACAGCTTCGCAGTGGCGTAAGACACTGGATATTAATACTACAGGGAGTTTCTTTGTAGCTCAGGCCGCAGCTAGACAAATGATCGCACAAAAGACAGGTGGTAGTATTGTGTTCACTGCCAGTATCAGTGGGCATCGTGTCAACTACCCTCAACCACAGATCGCTTACAATGTGAGCAAAGCTGCGCTGTTGTCACTTAAGAATTGTCTAGCCGCGGAATGGGCAATCCATGGCATCAGAACGAACTCCATCAGCCCAGGATATGCTGATACGATTTTGAACGAGGGAGATGGCCTTGCGGGGTGTAGATCTATCTGGACTCCGAGGAATCCGATGGGAAGGATGGGTTCGCCGTCGGAGCTGACAGGCGCTGCCGTATTCTTGTCCAGTTCCGCAAGCACTTATATTAACGGTAAGAGCACGGCAGAGTTCGCACGGAGAGTGCTGTCATTTATGATACGTCTGCTGATATTCGCGTAGGCGCCGATATCGTAGTTGACGGCGGTCAGGTCCTCTTTTGAGATGGCTGCTTTGCCTCAGAACTACGGATTGTGGAGAGCACAGCATGAAAAGTAGGAGTGTCATGAGTTGGGTGTTGTTATGAACATCCGTAAGTGTTATTCTGGATTCTGTCTGCTCTAGATATGAACCGATTCCGGCACGTTGGCACCCTATCTATGCCTCTGTATGCCACGCTTCTCACGTTAGTAGACCAAATGCCATACAAGCTGAAACAGCGTCCAGTTCATCCTTCAGTAGTGTTCTAAGCCGCCTCTAGCAGTCAGTATAATGTTGTTTAAGGCGTCGAAATGAAACCAAGCGATGTTATATAAGCCATGCAACGGTATGTCCCTGAATCATGGAACTGCTGGATGCTTTCTCTCGGATAGATGCTTTCAGTGTATATTATTTCTTAGTCGCTGTAGATACATCAACATCTTGACTGAATTTGTACCAAATCCAGATTGATGTGCGACCATTTTGAGCGTACAGTGCTTCCAGATTCCATCCTGGGGTGACAACTAGTCGTCAAACTCTGGACTTTGGGTGGAAATCTACGTTTCCGATGTTGCGCTAGTGTGGCCTGGATCGTGATTAGGGCATCGTTTGACCGTCCATCGCTCCCACTCTTGCCATCTCAATTTGTTAATAAAAGGAACATCATCGCCGATGTCCCTCTCGCAATCGCATATTTGAGATGTAGAAATGCCTATATGTTCTGGGGATGCTGGAGGTTCCATCGCAGCATCGGGTATGTTATAATGATCATCTTCGATATCGTTGCCTTCCGTTTGGCTTTCTTCGCTCTCATCGCTTTCACTAGCCTCACTATCATCATCGTCCCCGTGAATATTACCAATGTCAAAAGCCTGGGGGTCGTGCTCATCTCCTTCATTATCATCCTCTGAACTTAGATGCCCTTCGTCTTCATTTTCGTCATCAGATGATGGTAAGTGATATTCTGATTCAGAAGATTCGTCTTCCACGTAATATGGTGCTCGTCCACCATCTCCATACCCAATACCAAAAAGACTGATCCAGTCGAGGGTTAGGTTTTGTTTGATTTCTTTCAACACATCTTTCCATCGCAATTTCTGGTCGCCCTCTTCGAGGTACACCTGTCTTAATCGGACGGACCTCAGCGTTGGCAATCTCAGTAATAGCCTGACAAGTTCATCGCCATTTAATGACCATAGATGTACGCCAATGTATTTGATGGAATGCCAAGACATGTCATGAAAGACGTCGTGCAGCGGAATTGAAACGACCCTTTCAAACGCGATATGAAGGCCAGATAAATTTTCTGTACACGGTAGCAGCTGTTGACAATAATTTGAGAGCCAATCAACCCTGCTATTCATAGTACTGCCGTTATCACTAACGAGTCTTAATAGCAAACCTTTGAGACGTCCCAGCGCCATTTTCAAAGGCTCTGATGCATATGGTAAACTTGCGGTCTTCCCTTCGCCTGTTGGGGGTCGTATATCTAGGAACCGGCAGTCAAATATGTTTGCCGGACTGTCCGAGGCGAGGAACGCAGCAATCAAAGTCTCCATCGCGTGCTCGCATGCGTGACGCCAGCTCAGATACTGTTGCCCATTGTTATAACAAAGGTATTTGAAGTATTCCTGATCATTTTCGTCCATAACTCTGAATAGCCTTAGCCTTTCGAGGTTTCGCAATGATTTGAGAGCGAGTGTCAGGCTCTTCAAGTCCTCTTCACTCATACGAAGCTCGGATTGCTCCATCGCCCTAATCATGGTGTTCTTGACCAAAGCCTGCTTCCCCACCCGCCACCTGCCACGGCCTGAGACCTGCTGACGCTGTCTCTCCTTTTCCTCGCCTTCCAAGTACATTTCGAAATGTTTGTCGCCTAGAATGACATCAGATACATCCTTTATGGCCAGAAGGTAAGTTACCTAAATGAAACGGAGGAACCATATAAGTTAACTTTTTCACATATCTGCTTATAGCTGGGTGCGAAGATATCTGCCTTAACGTTCTAAACCCCTTTTTGGAAAATCGAACACTAATTCGATCGAACAAACGCTCAGCACAGATTTTTGACAAATCCGAATTAACAAGCCTCTGGTAATTATAAGTGTTAGTAAAGATACTTGTTAGAACTATCTCCAGCCTTTTGGAAAAGCCGAATGCTGACACCCCTTCTTTCAGCGGCGTTCGCTGTCGCGGGCAGCATATTGCGACTGGGAAATGAGGTGAAATGAGACATCGACTCTTTTAAGAAAGTGGGTGTAGAATCGGGCAGTGGTACAGTTCAGCACAGTACGTTGCGAAATGCTACAAGAAGAGAGCACGTACAAGATTCTTCAACTCATGCAAACCACCAAGTGCGTCGTCAGGATTGCTGGGGGTAAGCCTATCAGGATAACTCTCCAAGCTAAGGCAGCTCCTGTTTTCGATTTGCACCATTCCTTTGGGCTTTTCTGACAAGTAATCAAGAATGATGATTTTTATCTCCAGCGGCATTCTAAGAAGATTAGGACGAGGGCCAAATTTGACCTGGTGGAGTTCATTGAGTCTTCTTGCGGTAAGACGGAAATTGAGCACGTCAAGCCAGTTGCTCCTCTGCAACTCTTTGTACATCGAAGTTTGAGACCTTTCGCGATGTGTCAAGGGAACTTTTTGAGCGTTTTCCAGTCTAGGGTCAATGCCATCGAAAAGGTGGAGAATGATGTTTTTGATAGCTCTGAGGGGCAATCGTAACAAAACTGGTGCGTTGCGGTCAAAGAGAACTCGATACAGCCCATTTAATCTTTTACTTGTAAGACGTAGGTTGACAACATCATCCCACCTTTCTCTTCTCACAACCAGTGATACCTCTTGTATACTGACAAAATGAAACCTGCCGCCTATCCTTCTGGGGTCCACGTTCCCAAGGAGGTGTACAATAATCCTGTCTAACACGTGAACCGGAATTCTTCTCGAGTCGAGCGATAGTGACATGTTGCGAGAGAGGAAGCAAGAGCGAGTAGCTACCAACAGCAACCAATCTTGGTAACTGCACACAGTCCTCTAGACTATGTTGCCGCTAGTAATCCTGCTCACTTTGTTAGACGCGAAATTTGCAGTATGGTTATGGAAAAATGCCTGTAAGATAGACGGCAGACAAGCTTTGGTACTCACACCTGACCAGCTCACACGACGAAAGCTCCACGGGAGATCAACGAAAGTAGCAAGATCGATGTCCCTGTCCATCGGCGGTGGGGTGCGGGAATCTCTCAACATCGAGACGTGGGGATCCGTGGCACACTTTTTCTTGCTGCCACACGCACTGTTGAGTTTATGATATTGTCCGAGAGGTGCGTTTTCTGAGGGATTTATGCATAGAAAATGGTGTGCTGGATAGTGACGGTCCTAAGAGAGCGTGGGATTTTGGCTGAAGAATCATGGGCCATCAATGTCGAGGGGACGACCATGCCCTTAATCTTCCTCGCAGCTTTCCCGAGTATAACTTGCATACATATGCAATCATGTGATGCCCGCATATGCATATCTGGTTCCAATCGAGGGCATTTGCAAAGGGGCCGCATAATGGCAGCGAATAATGGACGGCAGGATGTATGAGGGAGAAGTCCGCTGGGAGTTCGTGGACGAATGAAGTTGCATTGCAGCGCCGGACCAGGACTAGGAAGACTGGAGCGACGTGGAATGTACCCGTCGCGGCACAGTTGGCTGAAGAAGCGACATGTAAGTAGATAAAGTGCAACTTTTCCTCCGCCAGGTCTGAGTTTTCCTACGTGAAGGCAGGTATCTGGTCATATCATACGAAATATGCAATCATCGCCGTCTGCTGCTGCGTCTTATCAACACGGCGGACGAGTATAGTCAGCATGCATCCCTCTGCACCACGCCGTACGGAGTACCTAGGTAGGTAGGGCAGGCCATGAAACCGCATCGCTCTCGATGAGTGGTCGACGTGATGGGCGCTTAGCACGCGGCCACCGCTTCGCATGGCTGGCAGCTGGCATTGGGAGCGAAAGCGGTCTCGTGCGATGGGTCGCTCGTGCAGATCCGCAACCGCCAGGAAGTTTGCCACGGCCATGGCCGTGGCTCACGTCCCTTCGTTTTCTTAAGAAGTGGAGAGGAGTTGTGAGTTGTTGAGTTGTGAGCCAGTTGACCGTGTTGACGACGTAGAGGTTGTCCAGATTCAGATCCCAGATTCCAAAGTTCGCATTTCCTACTCCCCAGCTTAGTACTCCGAGTCCCGGAATTCCTTTTGCGCACGTACTTGTCGGGAGCGGCCCGAGGCTTCCAGGTTCCTATTTGACGCCGGATGCAGTTGCAGGGCAAAGCAAGGCTCATCTCATCTGGTCGTGGCTTGTGTGAGACGAGGAGATGCAGAACACATCACACTCCGAGAATGATTGCGATTCCGTTGTCTGCAGGCAAGTCTGCTTCGGGGCTGATGAGACGCTTTTGGACAATCGAAGAGCTCTGCCGTAGGTTTCGTCATGTCACGTCACGTCAGAGGAGCTGTATGAAGTTGAATGATCCTTATCGCATATTTGCAGCTTACAACAGTACTAACGCCATTCATGCCGCGGCTCTTCTGCCCTGCCATTACCTATAGCCATCTCGTCGCTTCGAAATCTCGACGAAGCGCTATCTAGGTATTCGTACCATATGGGCCCTTTGGGGCCCATCCAAAGATCGTCCGGGAGAGGAACACGATCTATGGAGATCATATAGCATCTGCGTTCTGTGGGTTTACGGAAGATCTGCAATATGGGTGTGAACCTTACTTTTGAGACACGGACCTTGATTCTTGGTTGTCCTCTATATAACAGTATATCCATCAAGAGACTGCTCAGCTAAGCTTCACCAAAGTCCCAGTGGCTGAGAGACATGCCGGAAAAGACGATAGCATTCCTTCCACTCCCTTCTTAAATTATGTAGACACATCATATATCCGTCGCCTTATTGGTTTGGAATTGGATGCAGCATCAGGTGGCAAAGTTAATGCTGACAAGGTTGAAATTGGTTGTAAGATTACCTGTAGCACTTCTAGGGCCTTATGAACAGACTGTTCAGCACCGAGGTGATTCCCATTCATGTAACAGCTTTCGTCTAGACTCCGTTGAATTGTGCCATGGGATGTGTTCAAAAAAACTCCCATCACTTTTGGTTACGCAATCCTCCACAGGCATGGCAAGCGAACCTTCTTGGAAATGCGAGCCTCTCCATTGATCCCAAATTGCGTGGAATCCTGGTTCATACCTCTTTGTTATTCAGCTGAAGTCTCGCGGCGACAAATGCATAGCCGTAGAAGAAGATGGTGGGGAGAAAGACAGATGCATCATGCATGTAGAGTTATACTCATGCCTTTAACTAATTTCAATAATCTTGATACTGTAACTCCGGTCCAGATAACTGATCGAAAAGGTGTCATCCTGCAAACTTCTGCTTATCCCGCAGAGTATTCATGCATGATGAGAATGCAGAAATTCTTATTACCCTTCTGAAACTAGCGATTGTGTACTGCACTGGAAATTGGTATCACATCGTGTCGAGCAAAGACGATTTTCATGTACTTCTCTTCAAAAAGACAACCCAAACTGCTGGTAGTGTATCGAGGAAACATAAGTTTGTCTTCATAATGACGAACCTCGCGAGGTCTCGGCTATTCGCTGGCGGATGGCTGAACTGCTGATCTTGGACTCGAAACTTGTTTCGCTGTGACCACTATCTTCTTCTGTGGCACGAAGAACATCGACCTCAAACACTTCAAGAGCTCTCCAGCCTTTTTCTGCTCGCTTCTCGTTGACCGCTTGGCCACCAGACTTTGTCTCACCGGACACCACGAGTGCCGTTACACTTTCGTCTGTGATAGTAGGCCCAAAAGGATCCTGAATCTCAACACATTCAATTGTCACCGAACAAGAGTTGAGTTTTGTAAATATTCCTTTCCCATTTGGAACGGGTTCGTTCACCTCCTGGATCTCGAGTTCTTTCTCGCGGCCAAGCCGCGTGAAAGAGAGCACGGAAACTAGAAAATCCACAACATCATCCTGTCTCTGCTTCCAGCTGCTCAAATATTCAGCATGTTTCTTGTTCTTCAGCAGTTGATCTCCGGTGATGCCAACAATCAGACGAAGTGGTATCCTCAGGGTGTCGTCGTGGGGTTGGAGTAATAACGCGGTCGCTGTTAGCAGAAGTTTGTGCCCGGCGTGTAAATGGTCGAACGTACCACCAACAGCAACGACTCTATGGGACATCGAGGTATTGGAGCTGGCTTGTACTGGAGCCGGTGTGTTGTTCCTCATAATGACTCCACCTCCAACACGATACAGATTGCCATTTAGAGGAGGTAACTTTTCGCTTGCAAGACCTGTGTAGGCCGCAAGAAGATGTTGGCCTTCCTCACCATCTACGTTGTATATGGTACGCCAATGTCGCCGAGTTAAAGCAAACGTGGGGAGGTCAATTATTGGGCCCATAGTACCGTTGTCGAGAGTTGCCTTTCCTTGCGAAACTACTCGGGTTCCATCATAATCCAGTAAGAGCACCCGAGCATCTATGGATCCGGGGGTACCGCAATCGACATCAACAGCAAGTTTCGCGCAAACTACACAAATGAGACTATAGATATTGGCAAGCAGGTGTTGAGCATCACTCCACAGTTCAGAACGGGGTCGACTGAGTCGACTTTGGAGTGCCGGACATGGGAGGACAACTTGAAGAGTTGTTGTGTGAGGCAGCCTCCCTAGAGCTGACACCACAGCCTCAATCGGCAATCTATAGGCTGCGTAAATCGTTGTCGCATCTATTTCAGTTGGCGGAGCAGGTAAGAGGAGAAGAGAGGTTGACGGTGTCATGATGGAGGCGTGGTGAGCTTGGAGCTGGCCAGCACACAATCGTAGCAAGAGAGCGGAATTATTCTCATTACTCGTTCCCAAATTGAAATGAATGGACCCAAATTGACGAAGAGTCCTTCGTGAGTGAATCAATCAGGCAGTCTCTGATGAAGGAGAGAAGAAATTCCCAGTTACCTACTTCTAGGTTGGAACTTGGGAGTTGCCCCTCCTCGCTAAGCCGCAAGCGCAGACGAACACATGCCCATACATCGGCCTCGTCGTCGTCGTCGGAGAGCAAAAGAGCACTACGCCCAAACGAGCATTGTGCCTGCTCTTGTTGATATCTTGACTTATGTGACCTAGCATGCCCTTTCACCACTCTAAATCCTCGAATTCATCGCAGTCACAGAATGCGCAGCAAAACCTGCCCTTGGGAGCTGTCGCTGGTATTTTGCAAGCAGCGCAACCCTTAGGATCAATCGGCGCGCCAACTGGCAACCTGCACCAAGCATTGTCAAATCGAACAAGCACCACCAGCGATCGTTTCGTGAACAACACTTCGCACTCGAGCGCGCCTCCAGCAACCCGTTCCGAATTCTCCTCAGCATACGGTTCCACCTCCCCAAATCCGAACGCAGTGGTGCCATCGAGCAGCACTGTGAACCAGCCGCCTCAATTTGATACCTCGAGACATACTCGGCCTGACGAGCGTCGCTCACTCCCAAGTGCCGGCGCAAACAATATGGCTTCGCAGAGAGGCGCCTTATCTCCACGGGACTACACACCAGCGGGCCCTCGCATTGGAATTGAGCAAGCCACGCCCGAATCAGCTCAATATCACAGTGGTGGGCAAGTCCCTGGATCTCTACAAGCCGGCAGGCCTGGTCCAGTATCATCTAACTCGGCGACCTCAGTTCCAACAGGCGCTCAAAACATGTCTCAAGATCAATACAGTACGCCTTCTCGTTCCTCGGGCATGGGATCATCTCATAATTACACGCGCTCGAGCCCAGCCGGGTTCGAGGGACAAAGCTATGTTGGAGGATACGGTGCGACAACCCCTGGCGGTAACGATTTCACCTCTCCAACGAGCTCAAAATATACCCCCCAAAATGCGCAGCGCAACGTGTCGAATACTCCTCTCGGTCTTGCGGATATCCGTCCTCGTGCGGATTCCGGTCTGGAAAGTCCATCTGGAGCGAATCCATACTCCTATGATGGAGCGAACGCCGTACCTACAAACAGTAACTACCTAGCTCCCTGGGCAATCTACGCTTTCGACTGGTGTAAATGGCCTGCTCAAGGTCGGGATGGAGGAAAATTGGCTGTCGGAAGTTATCTCGAGGACGGACACAACTTTGTAAGACATTCTTTACCTCCGGAACGCTGAATAGTTACTGATCACTATATACAATAGATTCAAATCCTCGATTCCCATATCACTCCTTCCCCTTCTGAATCATATACCCCAGGAGCTTCCAAATACGGTCTGGACTTTGTTAAAATCGCCGAAGCAACACATTCATATCCAGTAACAAGATTGCTTTGGGAGCCACCTTCATCGCAGAAGCAATCGACGGATTTACTTGCCACTTCTGGCGACCATTTGAGGCTATGGTCGTTGCCATCAGAGACACCACTTCCTTCTCCAGGGAACAATATAACCCAAAGGACAAACCATGGACGGGATCAGCCGGCGAGTAAACTCACGCCATTGGCTCTCCTCTCCAACTCAAAGACACCTGAACACACCGCACCATTAACGTCACTGGACTGGAACACCGTGTCTCCTAGCCTGATTATTACATCTAGTATAGACACCACATGTACAATTTGGGATATACCGACCCTCACGGCCAAAACTCAGCTGATAGCTCACGATAAAGAAGTGTTTGATGTCAGGTTTTGCGCCGAGAGCACCGACGTGTTTGTCAGTTGTGGTGCGGATGGGAGTGTTCGAATGTTCGACCTAAGGAGTTTAGAGCACAGTACGATCATTTACGAACCGAGCTCTAAAGACGATAAAGGTATGGGGAAATATATGTACTAAAGAGAGCTATATTAATATTCAGTAGATACGAGTCCCGGTGGTGGAAGAATAAGTCCTACGTTGGCACAACAAACAATGTCATACGCTCCACCTCTACTTCGATTAGCGGCATCTCCTCACGACCAACACCTTCTTGCTACCTTCTCTCAGGACTCCAACATCATCCGGATTCTTGACGTGAGGCAGCCGGGCCAGGCACTGTTAGAACTTCGTGGTCATTCGGCCTCCGTCAACTGCATTGAGTGGTCCCAATCCCGCCGTGGAACACTTGCGTCAGGTGCAGACGACTCTCTGGTTCTCATATGGGATCTACTAAGTCAAAGCACCGCACTTGCACCACCTGGGCCGGCTTTGAACGGAGCCCCTCTGCCAGACAACAGTAGAGGTCCTGCCGCGAGCTGGCAGTGCGATTATGAAGTTGGCAACATCAGCTGGGCACCACATAGTGGTCTGAACAATGATGGTTCTAATTGGTTAGGTGTTAGCGGAGGACGTGGTATCTGGGGTGTCAAGCTCTGAATATTCTCATCCTGTTGCACGTTCTGACACTAATCATTCTGCAAACGCATCCTTTCTATGCCAAGGAGGGACTTGGCACGTGGTCCTTGCATTGAAATGTTGATATTACAGCGCTGCGGGGAAGGGAACATATAAGGTGCTGAGAATGAGGATGATCCTTAAACACGATGAATGAAATAGCTGGCGTGTGCTAGCTTAATGAAGCTCCGAACCAGTTCATGATAGCGCTTGAGTCTGTTGACGGCATGGGAAAAGGACATGGAGGGGCCGGTCGCGCCCGATTCCCTCTATAGTATTGGAGTCATATTAAAGGCATAGAAGATTATAACTCCAATACCAGGTGCCTGAAAATACGCGCTGAGCTTCGTGATATCTCAAGTCGACGTCTTACCGAGGACCAGGCCAGTTCGTTCTTCTCTTTGCATGTAACCCGGATTCAGCATCGCTACACCAAATCATGTAATCTATTAGTGAGCAACTGCATGTTGCTTGCCTGTCTCATCTTTAAACTCTCCCAGGTATTCTGTCCTGTGTATCTCTATAATCCAGCAATACAGCACACTCTGTTTTACGCGGCTACGCCTTCAATCTACATCATCGTCATTAGTATAGCTCGTCTTCTCGTTCTCTTTACCCTCGGCCTTGGCATTCGACGCTGCAGGAGCAGGAGTCTCTCCATTCTTAGCAGCTTCATATCTCTTTTTATCATCCTCGCTAAGCAAATCTAGAGGTTTTCCTCCCTCCACACCCTCTTTCAAGGTTCCATCCTCGTTTACGTCTTCTTTCAGATATAGCGTGAAGAGGACGACGAATAAGACTTTGTCCGTGGCGCGGTTCTTGAGCACATATCTGAGCGTATGTGAGCGCTTTTGTTCCCTAAGAAGAAGCAAAGAGTGTTGGTATGATTGTGGTCGAAAATTAGCAACATTAGCAAATTAAACTTACCGAAGGCCTTGTCCGTCCCAGTATTTCATGATGGGCATTGTGAAGCCGGGCAGTCGAAGGGCGAAGTCTGGGAATATTAAATCAGCGCGTATCCAGGTGAGGCCGAGAAAATCGAAAACCTACCATTGAAATCCAAATAAGGATTATAAAAGTCACAGCCGTATGCTACCCCTTCCTTAAAACTCCAGGTTTTCCTGTTTTCCTCATTCAAGAAAAACTTCTTTCTCGCGGCAATTGCATCTGGAACACCAATCTCTTTCCTGGCTGCTATGCCATCGGCATCACCGCCTTCTTCAAAAATCAGTCCAACGTCTTCTACCTCTTCCCCGTCGTCATCATCCTCTTCATCGTCGTCTTTGACCTTTTCTCTGTCGCCCACACTCAAAATATTTACTGAAGATGCAGCAGGACCATACAAATACGGCTTATCAGCATAGACATCCCCGTCAAGTCCTGGATCAACAGCCCACTTCACAATTTTGAACGCTGTACTGAATCCTGGTGGCAGCCGATCGCGGATTGGGTGATCGAAGTCGTTGCCAAATACTAAGTCGTTGCCATTTATAGTGGATTTCGGCGTAAATTTGAAAGCAATTGAGTATTGATCTTTTGCTGTGTTGTGGGGTGGGAGGTCGAAATATGGAGAGGTCGAGGGAGACTCTCTGGGAAGTCCGCGGTAGTTCTGAAAAACAGTCAAGTCAGCCAGGTCTGACTCAACTTGGATATTCAAAACCCGAATTCTGTTTGCTAGTTCGCGAGACAATCTTCTGACTTTCGTTTTCAGAAATTCTCCGTCCCCCAAGACAGTGAGCTCCAACTCAAATCTCCTACAGATCTAAGGGCAGGTTCTAAATATCACATACCTGTATCCTAACGTTTAATTCCACAGTAACATCCTCACTTTCTATCCTAGTCGTCTTCGGGGAATTTACTGGAACGATTTGATGTTTGGTAATGTCATACTCCGTTCCCGTAGTGACCTGGAGGATGTAATTGTGCGCCATTTTATCTAATTCCCTGTATGTTCCAAGGAGTCGACTTTCTGCGGCTGGCTGCCCTGACTAAATTCTGTCCAAAAACTCGAGTTGCTACAAAGGTCAACACGCATCTAAACATGTTTCGAAGGTGTCTTACTGAATGATCAAGCGGCAGAAATTTGAGATAGCAAATGATTAGGAAATCACTGTATTCCTAACGTCTGTATTGTGCAAACAATAAATTGCACCTCGTAGACTCGTCAAAGCCGCTGTCGTCACGAAGGCAAAGCATCCCCTCCAACAAAAGTTTTGCCGTCGTGGGAACAAGGATGAAGGCGGTGACCTCATCGCAACTGACCTTAACATGTGACACACCTCCAGGGCTCTTCATCCCACGACACTCAACCACCGTCCATTTGAGCCACATTTTGCTGCATATCTGCAACAATCAATATCGAAGATCCTCAATTTAAGCTTAATCAAAAAAGCTAATTACCCAAATTAAGGCACTCTCGCCCCTTAAACAGCCGTTGTACACCTACCCAATGGATCAAGGGAAGCATGCAAACCACTATATTTTCGACTCCTCAACAGTGATTAGTTTCGACAACAAGTCTTGGAGCCGAAGGACCCCTTGGAAACACCGATGATCCATCAACAGACTAACTCCCACCTTCTCAATTTGTATTTTACGTGAGTGAAAACGGCCCTTGTACATATACGAACTTGCGGTGACCTGAATACCCGGCTTGTTTATTATGCGCATGAGATATGGAGAAGCTGGGCTAATCCACAAGCGAGGAAGTTGCCCGAAAGGGGCGCGGTACGATTGCATTTTGGACATGGGTTTCTAGGAAGAATATTATTCATGGTCGAATACTATACAATTTCGCTCTTGCGTTATCGAGAGCTAAGTATTCTCCTGCTCCCCAACGCCGTGGCTATGATCCCCGTCATTTCGCCATTCAATTATGTAGTATAATGCCAAAGATTATATCCAGAATCAGAGTTCAAGAAAACTGTACAAGCGATATGTTTACGATGTGACTCAGTGGTCTAGAAAAGAGCCCACAAGGTGCCCATCTCTCAGAGTGGCGGGAGGCGGGTCATTCAGAGGTGACAGGAATTGATCGATGTCAACCCGTTGATAGAAGCTGATGTGTCCAAATCCGACCCAATACTGAGCCAATCTGTCGTGGCTTATCATGATTAGCTGGCTCTCAATGTATTTGGGATTTCTGAACATTCGTGCTGCGATATGCCCTCGCGATTTGACCACTACGTCGTGTCAGTTAATAAAGTTATAATACCGGTGATTGACTGACCTCGAGCACCCTTGAACCTCTCTTCCGTAGCATTTCTGATAAAACCACCGGATCCAATGTCGTCGGCAACAAAGGTATACTGCCCGCGAGGGATATTTGGATCGCCAGTCAGTTTTATCGCCTCTAGTTTTCCACGATAATTACGCTCTATTTTCTTGCGAGCTTCCCACTCATCCACAGTTTCATCTTCTGCTTGCACCACAGATGTTTCATCAAAGGGCTCTTCATCATCTGGCTGATTCATGAGCAGAAACTCGCACCCGTGACCACTGTAGTCTCCAACCCAAATACCCCTGAATGGCTTTTCTTCTGTAGGTGTGTACAGGCTTGGGTCGAGTGTAGAATAAGTATGTATTTCCTCGCCGAGATGTACCCCTGGTACACTCCGCCCTTGATTATTGTTCATCTCCATCCATCTTCGAACTCGAAAGGCCTGGTCTGTAGCCTCAGACCGTTTTACAGGACGGTTACCAAGGGGTACAAAGCCTTCATCTTCTCCAATCCGCACTCTATGCCTTGCGGGGATGGCTTTAGGGGGCCAATAGTCCACGTTCTCGAGATCATTATCAGGCCACGGCCGAGCAGGAATGAAATTTGAGAACACGCCATGTGGCTGTCTTTCTGCGTCGATCCGCATTGGAACTTCTGTCGAGGATCGCTGAGCCGATGCCCTCAACCTCGAAGACCTCCTCAGCGAGTCGGTTTTGGGCAAGTCGAATTGGATAACAGGCTTGTCCATGTGAAGCCGAGGTCGTGGTGCAAAAGAGTGGATCAGAACTTCATCGTCCGCTTCCCACGGGTCGAAGGCGGTGACCTCTTTCTCTGCGAGCAAACGATAGCCTTCAATGCACCCACGTCGAGGATCGTATCGGCAGATGATTATCTTCCCAAGCAGGAAGTAATCCGAGAACCAAATCTTGTACTTGGTCAAAAACCAGCGAGGATCATGAGCCATGTACAGCTCTCGATAAGTCTTGCAAGGGCTTGGCGACTTTAGCTTTACTCCAGGAATGTTCTTTTGGACATGATGTTGCCAGCAAATGTCTGATCTCGCGTGCTGAGATAGTGCTCTACAGGTGTGAGAGGCAGAAATAAGGTCCTCTGGTTCAAGTAATTGCATAATAGTGTCTATCAGTTCGGCCGGCAATGTTGAGAGAAGAAAGCATTTATCTGGATGCGACGCGGCCGCTACATCTTTTGGAGATATCAATCGTCAGCACCGATACTCTATCAAACAGGCTCGTGCAGTAAAGAACGAGGCATAATCGGAACACAGATACAAGAGATCGGGGTAAGGAGGTCAGAAAATACGTACTTATTAATCCATGGAGGGTCTGATGGTTGGCTATTCCAACCGACTCTAGATCCTTCAGTCTTTGAGCGCGGGTTGATGTTTCTGGTGTGTCGACTGTTTCCAAAAGAGAAATGTTTGAGTCCACTGAGGCATTTGGAGTCAGCTTTAGTTGTATCTTGATATTTGTGATACGAAGATTCAAAACGTTTCACTTGAGACTGTTTTCGAGAAGCATAGAGAAGCGTTGCTGTAGGCAAAGGAGCTGAGCACACCAACAGTACTTACCACCGGGATCGACACGGCCATGCAAGTAGACATCGTTGTTGTTCATAGAGAAGACTTCTTCATCTGGCATGTTGGGCATGTTGGAAGGCTCTGGAGAAGACGAGGAGCAACGCATCTTGCCTCGTTTCTGGGTAGTTGCCCGAGACTTGTCACTCAGTTCTCTCTTTAAGATTTCTTCCGACTCTCCTTCTGAGTATAGTACGAGAGTTCCCAATGTGGAAGGTCCTAAGATCGGCAAAACAGCTCAAGGGAAGATTTTGTTTGATCAGCCTCTGGCGCTGCATCGATACATGACCGTCTCTCGGAAGCAATGACCTTGTCGCCTCGAGCCTGTGCGCTCGCGAATCTCAACAATCGCTCCGAGATATCTGGGGACTGAGCAGCGGTCCTGGGCTGCAGTACGCCACCGTTTCTTGGGGGTGAAGGGGCAGACGGCCGGGGGTGAGTGATGGTGAGGAGAGCGAATGGACGATGCTCGAATAGAATTGCAAAGATTAGAGGTGTTCTTCACCAGCGCTTGGCAGCCACGGTTGATGCTAAGTTGCAAAAGTGGTTTTGAGCTTCCTCTTTCGGACGAAGTGATGAAGGTACGACTTTATGCGGCAGTTCACAGTCGCCCGATCGGCTTTTGAGCGTAATTCCTGGTCGTCGTGCCCTTAGCGTCCCACTCAGAGCAAGTCTCCTGTGCAAGCACCCAGATGGGTCTCTTGGCTTTCGCTGGAGCTGGTGCTGGTGCTGGAGCTGCTGGCTGCACGCGGGGGGGCGACGGGCGTCAACGCGGTCGGATTTGGTTTGCTCTCCACGCTCGACGTTGGGGTTGTGGAGGGAGTCGTTGAATCTAGACTTGGGTTGAAGGATGGAAAGGGTGTACCTACCTAGGCCGTGCAACCGGGTTCGGAGCAGCAAAAGAGCAGCGATTTATCAGAGGATGACGATAAGTTTGTCGATTCCGTGCCATCATGCGAGACACACCGCCGTAGATAACAAGCAGTCGCGGCTTCGATTCTTAACCATCCAGGTTGTATCGAGTATGAGGAGAAATACGGTACGGTAAGGTACGAGGGAGAAGGTCGAAAATGGACGGCAGTACTCAGCCTAGCCTTGTTCTTATCAGCACGACATGATTATTGACTATGCCGCCGTCGTGCTGTCTCTGGCCGTCTTGTTGCCGCAGATGGATTGTGACGAGACAGCTCGCAGATGTCGTGAGCAACGGCAACGGCAACAGAACCATGCGACATGGTCTTGAATTTTTGGGATGCTGGTGGATGCGAGATGCGGTCGATGTGATTGTCCGTCCGTGCCTCTTCCAGCGTGGGCGGGAAGAAAAGAAGACTGCAAGGAGCTCTGACCACCCTCCACCACCCTCCACCGCTGATAAACTGAGAGACTGTCCCAGTCCATCGGAGCCGCGGAATCCTCGTGGCGAGCAAGCATGGGAAATACGCAGATGCTGTCTCGAGCCCGCGCCGTATCAACGCCGTATCAACGCCGTTGCCGTCTTTTATGACGATGAGTTGTTCTATTGGTGACGACTCGAGAATCAATATAACAGTCTTTCACAGCTGCATCAATCAATCCAAAAATAGCAACACGATGGGCACTATTCAACTGTCTTGATGTCGCGTATGCTCCCCGCTTCCCATTTCGACTGCAAGCCCGGCTGCCAAGAACAGGCAGGTATGCTTTTGCTTTCCCGTGTGGAAATCGACCCGCGGCGGCGGGAGAGCCTGGAGATTCTCCATGCCTGTCCCAGCACCTGCCACCGAGACCGGAAACCCTCCATTGACGTGCTTGCTTACTAGATATGGGGGTGGTTTAGACAAGTACTCTCCAGAATACTCTCCAGAATACTCTCCAGAATACTCTCCAGAATACTCTCCAGAATACTCTAACCTCCAAGCCTTAACAAGAGCAGCCGAGGTCTAACTACTCCTTCTTAGCTGATCAGACTATCACAATTGTCCATCCACGGCCTTGGTGAAAGACATTGGTGGAAGAACGACTGAGAAAATGACGACGCCACAAATAGCTAATCAGCAACTTGGACAACTTCTTAGTGCTGTACAATCTGCATGCACTTCGTTAGAAGCAACTTCCCTTCCCCAGATTCTGTAACTTCAACCCTTCAAGCTTCAGCAATTATTTCCGCTGTCACCCATGACCTCCTTACTCCCCATCATCAACGATATCATTCCAATGGTCATACCGCGTCCCGTGCATGTCACTAAGGCATCCGAGCTGGATGACAGCACTGGTCAGACGGAGGGGATGATTCGAAAGGGGGCCATTGTCAACAAATCTGACAAGATATGCGCATCAGGTTCGTTGCTTCTATTTTCTTGATTCTGCCGCCCTCCCATGTTGCCGAGATACAACTGTCAATGACCGCAGAAAGTCTACGTACCATGATTTTAATCATATACCTGCGCTCACTGCTATCATGCAACAGACCGCTGTCTTCAAAATGTATCGCTTTGGGTTACAAGCTTTCCATCATAAGATTGAGCCGTCTTGCACCAAACTTGGCTGTCTTGTTTCATTGCTTAAGTCTAGCCGTTGGATGCCTACAGTTTTCTACTGGCTATCTTGTACAACAATACTCATGTAGGAACCTTTACCCCACCAACACGGCTGCAACCTGACCAGATGAAGACATTACAATGCTCGGGCCCGCACATATGACTCCGCTCTGGAGATAAGACGACGCAGGCTCCCATGACTAACCATCATTTTATCTCGTTGTCACAGCCATTGTAATTTCAAAAGGCAAGAAAATCATCATCGCTAACTGTGGATGAATATCAATAGTCATGATTGCACATCCTCACACGGCGTCCGCGGTTCATCATCACGGGTAAGTTCTACGCTTTTTTAATATCTCTTTCTATCGAGGTGGTTCGGGCATTATCTTTTGGTACTATTTAACGAGGCGAGTCTCATAATATCTGCGAAATACGGCTGGACATCTACATGATTATCTGTCTGCGGCTCATTCATCGTTTTGAACGGAATAGCAAGAGCTTGCCAGGTTTCTTACAAGTATAAGACATCTTAAGATCATTTGATTCTGATCCTGAAATGATTGTAAATTTCTGCAATGCTTAGATTACCACCAAATCGTCAATTTAGTTAATGTAGTACCCAAACTCAACTCAACTCATGATCTAGTAAATCAAGAGTTGTTTGAGTAGTTTGTAACTCGATAGTATACCACGAATTGTCTCAGTACTTAGCAATCCGGCATCAAGAGCTGCAAGATATAGATGATATTTCAATTTCATCATCCTGTACGAAGCCTATTGTGTATTACATGCAAGAAAGTTTGAACGTACATTGTCAGAGGTCTGCTAGATCATTGATGACGACCACAAACTGAACAGTAATTTATTAGAAGAATTCGAGAAGCCTCGGAGTCTATAACTTAAATCGCAGTCCATATTCTTCTCGGTCAATGTACTTTCTCAGACGGTTTAGGGTCATTATTATGATGTGAACCTTTTCTTGAAAACCTCGACATGAGGGATGCCAGATAGCCCAAAAAATAAAAGTTTCTAGATCTTGCGAGTCGTCAAATCTAGTGTTGACTTCATCCGTGAAAGACACTCATAGACCCTCTGTCTATGTCTGTCGCGTACATTTGTATATGTGTAGCATGATTAGAAGCTTTTCCTAAGAACCAACAACTTACAGTCATCACCATTCATCACCTTCACATCCACACCTTGATTTTCTTTTCTTTTCCAACACTCAACCTCAAACTAACGAGTCTCCCAGCGAACAAGAAACCATAATCTACGCCGTCTCCGGCCACGGCACCAGTATATCCTCCCCTCTCCTCCCCACCTCTTTTCTCTCCCACCCCACTAACCACCCCCCAAGTAATATCCGACAACGGCAAATCTCGCCAGAACCTCTCGCCGGGTGACTTCGCGCTTATCCCCGCCTGGGCCGAGCACCAAGAGGTGAATGAGGGGGAAGAGGATGTTACGTGGGTGATTACGCGTAGTGGTGGGGAACCGGTGGTGGTTAATTTAAGTGGGTGGGGTGGTAGTGTTGAGGAGGGATAGGGGAGGATGAGAGGAGAGGACTGGGATGGGTGGTTGTGTTTGGGGCTTTGGGTGTTGTGATGTGGTAGATTCATGTGATATGGATTTTTTTGATGTGGTAGAGTTTGTTGTACAAATTCGGATGTATAATTGAGCTAAGTATAAGTTGGCTGTTGCTAGCAACCGAAAAATCGTCTGGTACTTTAGACTAAGTTACCACTAAATGACGTGTCATCTAGATTACTGCCAGCCCAGCGGTGCTCCTTCTACTAAAGTTCCAGTACGATTCACTCTCTGCTTCAGTTAATAAAAACAGTTGACTTTATAGGACAGTATAACATGGGCTATCAGTTCTGGAATTAAAACCATTGTGATTTCGCTGCTAGATATAATACACCATATGACCATGTTTGATGCTAAGTATCTTTTTGTCGGCCCAGAAAAACAAAGAAATCAACGCCTACCATGCGAAGTGTATCAGTCAAATCCCGGCGCAGCCACAGATGTCTATTCAACATATCTTGGTCCGTCGTCCTGCCAATTCGCCGCTGGAGTTTCTGGCATACCTCCGTTATAAGCTCCTGGCGTTGGAGCAGCATAATAGCCTTGTGGACCACCAGGTGTTGGAGCATCCATTGCTTGAGGTGTAGGTGCACCCCAACCTCCACCTCCCCAGCCTGGAGCAGGCGTAGGCGCGCCCCCTGGGGTAGGGGCACTATAAGGTGCTGGTGTAGGAGCAGAATAGGCGCCAGGTGTAGGAGCGTTGATAGCTGCAGGAGTAGGTGCTGACATTGCCGCACCTGGAGTTGGAGCATCGTACGCATTTGATCCCCAACTATTACCACCAGAGTGATTGCTAGACCCCCAATTGTCCGCTGCAGGTGTCGGTTGATAAGCTGGAGTCTTGGAACCCCAGGCATCTCCTCCACTGGTACCACCACTGTAGCCAGGCGTTTTAGAACCGGCATTGAAGGCATCATTAGACATCCCATATGCTGGAGTTTTGCCACCTGCTGACCACGCAGGAGTTCGATTACCACCACCATACGAAGTTCGGTTACCATCATAAGGGTTGACTGTTCGCGATCCATCAGCCCATCCAGGTGTTCGTCCTCCATCAGCGCCAGATTTCCAGGCTGGAGTTCGTCCACCATTGGCCACTGCGGGTGCTTTTTGGTGTTAGCTTTCATCACATTATCAGGATCTCGTAAGACTTACTTCGTCCAGCGCCCCATGCCGGCGTTCGCCCTGTGTCCCCACCTGGTGTACGACCACCGTCCCATCCACCACCACCAGGAGTTGCACCGCCAAAACCTCCCCTACCGCCACGCGGTGTAAAGCCGCCCCTGCCACCTCTTGTGCCTGGATCGATACTCGCTCCTGTCAGTTTGTCTTTAAATGCTAACGCATCCTTGGGCACATTGACTGTTTTGTTCTTGGTATGAAGTTCGACACGTGCGTTATTATCCGACGTTTCTTTCACAATACCGAGAAGTCCTTTATACGGGCCCTTCCGAATTGTGACAGTCTGACCGATAGAGCGATCTCTGCCAAATGACTTTGGAGGAGCCATGTCTCCTCCAGCGCCCCCAGCGGGGTTACGCTTCATTGCTGGATTCATTGAATTCAGATCAGGTCCAGCGCTGGCTTGAACAATACCCTTCGCGGTCACGCTGTTGACCGCGCTTGTGCGCGTAACAAATATACCGGCGTTAGTGCTCTGTGCCGGGTTGCGCAGGAAGAGGTACGTCCGGTAACTGTGTATGACCTTTCCTGTCCTCATTTCACCGCCATGCTCTTTGACATTGTCATCCATGTTGATCTGAGCCCCTCCGCGGTCAGTTGCAACCGCTCCTCTTCGCTGTTTTTCAATTTTATTAGAAATTTGTGAAGGCATGACTGTCCTAGTCTGGTTGTTTTGGTCTAAAACGACGAGTGACTCTCTGTCAACCTTGACAACGCAAGCAACTGTGGCTGGATCTAGTTGAACCAGATCCCAAAGCTCATACTGGCCTAGAGATGAAGCACCACCAGAGTCGCTGGCTTCCCGAAGGTCCTTACTGAACACTGTAATTTCAGAATTATTCTGATCGCTAAGAATTGTGACACGGTCTTCGGCGATTTTGACGACCATACCGACTTCATCGCGGTACCGACTGCCACCAATGACTTTGACGTGGTCACCCTCTCTGAATCTTTTCCGAAGTCCCTTCACCGGTACCTCAATCGTCTGCCCTCTGAGCGCGCCTTCTAGAACAGCCATAGTTACAATGTCGCCTTGAATTGACACCGCTTTACCTTTCACTCCTTTCTGCTCACCCTCGTACACCTCAACAATATCGCCGGGAAGATATGATGCATTAGCGGTGCTCGCCTTGAGACTCGCTGCCAAAGCGTTCAGATCGATATTTTCCGTCCCGTCATCCCCTCCAGATGAAAATCTCGTCACTTCCTCCAAAGTTGGGGTGACATCCGCGACCTGGATGGCTTGGATTTTGATATCTTTTTCACAGAAGCCATTGACGTACTCATCTCCATAGTATGTCCAAGTTTTGGTTTGAGGGTTTCCAGTAAGATATTTTGCGTGCCGCTTTTTAGCTTCGACCTCAGAGAAGAACCGTGATGGTGGCCGAGGACCTGCTGGTGCTCGCTTCCGTTTGCCATTTGGTCCATCCAGTGGTGCATTCAAATCTTCGTGCAATCCATAATCTAATCTGGGCACATATCTGACTCGGAGCTCTAGACCAGTATCCGTCACATCAATAACCTGAGCAAGATCCCCAGCATACTTAGGAGGTCGCTTCAACCGCACATAGGCTCCAGGCTCAAGCGGTGGAGTTTTATGAACCCTCAAAAGATCGGGCATTTCCTTAATCGCAATCATTTGCATTTTAGTCCGCGGATAGACGTTCATTAGGCCGTCGAGGGCCGCCATGATATCGGAAGCGCGCTGCGCTTCGACATAAATGAAGCCTTTCATCACCGATTGTGTCCCACCGCGTTCGAAAGCAGATGTTATAGCCAGTTCGTCCTTGGTGCCGATTCTTTCCTCGATACGTTTGATAATAGAGAAGACTGCCTCTCTCTCTTTGCCCTCCTTGCAGCGAACAGCCCAAATGCTTGGATCATTGATACTTGGTAGAAGAAGCCTCCTCGGGACAATATCTGACTCTCCAAGACCGCGACTAGATCGTCCTTTGTTTGCATATCGTTGCCGTAGAATTTCCGCCTGCTTCTCTGCGTCCATGCTCGCCTCCATCTCCCGCCGCCTGTCCAACTCTCGATGTCGTCTGTCATCGGTCTCGCCGCCGGCTGGCAAATCCGCAAGATCATCTGGATGTGTATCTGCAATAAAGTTCTTGCCCTCTCCGAGTTCATCATCATCATCTTCATCCTCGTCTTCATCCTCGTCAACTTCGGCTTCAACATCAAGGAATACATTGCGACGGTCTCGCTTGACACGTTTTCTCTTTGGGCCCTGAGGAGGATTAGCAAGATCCTTGGTTTTAGGCAGACGCAAAATCAGAAATAAAATGTATCATAGGCATCTACCAAGAACTGGTAGTCGAGGAGGATAAAATACGCACTGCTATTTCCTCTTCATCTTCGTCTTCTTCATCGTCTTCTTCGTCATCATCGCCAGGCTCCTCTTCATCTTCCTCCCCGTCATTTGGCGCCCGGGTATTAACATCTCCTTCATCACCCGAACCGTTGTCTTCTTCTACGCGCCTTTTTGAGGCTTCATCGCGGATTTGCGCGCTCGGGTCTTCGTCTTCACCACCATCCTCGCCATCGGAGGCATCTTGTGGTTGAGGATTGAAGTCCTCTTCGTCAGACTCATCTTCGAAATTGGTATTGAGCAGATTCGCGGTCGACATTTTGCGGGTTCGTAGAGCAATGCGATCCGGGAGAGTTAGTGAAGCTCCTTGCCCGTGAGATTAAGGATACCGATTCCAACAGCACCTCTTTCTTTGATGCTTTTCGCGATTATTCTATCGAGGAACGGTAAGTCCGATGGAAGGAAGAACGGTTGGATGCGGTTGGCAGTCGAACGCCTTTGTGCTTCTGAGAAAGACAGAAGGACAATCACTGGAATTTGGTCTAGCGCCGAATCCGGTTAGCTCAGCCTTGTCTTGGCCAACTCCCGAGCTCCGACGACCAACCCAATGGTAGAAAAGTAGATGTGATCCCTTCTATCCTTTGGAAAGTGGTGGTGCGAGTATGGACGCAGTCAGGATAGACAAGTTTGTTCATGTTCGTTATGGAATTAGTTTTACATTGAGGCGCTAATCAGTTATAGACATACAATGAGATCAAGGTATCAAATGTCGCCATTCCGCAGCGGAAAAACGACGAAGTCCTAGTGACTATTTTCGCTGCTGGTGTTAACTTCGTGGACCTTTTATATGTAAGTTTTCATTAATGACGGAGCCGTTGCAACTGCTTCTTATTTTTGCTGCTTATATTTCAGACCGGCGTTTCTCAACTGTCTTCCAAGTTTCACCTGAAATGCCTTTGTTTCTATTGAGCTCTCACAATTACTCCATGTTCAAAAAGGCAACAATTTGCAAGGCGGCTTTCAATTTTGATCGATATCTTGGTACCCATTTTGACTACCTAGGTCTCGTTAGATGATAAATGCCTATTTTGGAAGATATACAGAATTCGCTTTTGCCCTATCTCAACCACCTTATGTACATCTCTTGGGTTCTGAGGCCATCACAATGTACGGGAGATTTAATGGGGTTTGTGCTTTGCCTTAACGGGTGGAATCTGCTCTTGAAATCTCTTCTAGAAGCATCGAACTTGGTACATGATGCGCCTTTGCATTCTTCCACCTGATTTCCGTTTGCTATTGGTCACTGTCATCTTAACAGTACTTACATACCAGCAATAACAGCAGGAGGGAGCTTCTTCTAAAAGCGAGCCTAGTATATACTTCATTTGTTCCAAGTACTGTTGGAAAATGTCACCCACTGCATATCATTAGTTTGCTACACAAACTCTAATGTACATAGAGACGTTCTGTTTTTCCAGTTGTTCCAGGGTAAGCGTTTCAGGTATATTATCCCTATCATTGTAAATTCGATTGCGTTGGACCAGCGAAATGTAACTTTGTCTTGTCGCTTAGATAAAGAACCACGCTCTGACAGTTTGTAGTCTAGGGGCAAGCACCAAAATAATAGGTCACTTGTCTTGCCACCTTTTACACTTGGTTTAGAGTTTGCCGGCGTAGTGGACAGTTCACCTCCAGGCTGTTCCTTCAAACCTGGGGATCATGTCTTTGGTGGTTCTCTAGGATCTTACGCCTCCCGTATTTCCGTCAAACCATCAGTGCTCCACCACATCCCTTCAAAATGGTCTTTTGCTGAAGCCGCAGGCCTCGCTGCTACTGTGCCGGTTTCCTACGGCGCTCTTATAATGCGTGGCAACATTCGACCAGGAGAGACGGTGCTTATCCATGCTGCAGCTGGTGGTCTGGGGTTGATGGCCGTGCAGATTGCAAAGGCCAGAGGATGTACAGTCATTGCTACTGCTGGATGTGGTTTTAAACTTGAAGTTGCTCGGAAATATGGCGCCGACCATACTTTCAACTACAAAGACCCCGTGTGGTTCAAGCATGTCTTAGACGTGACGAATGGAAATGGAGTGGACGCAGTATTTGATCCAGTGGGACTTGTGGATAAAAGCCTGAAATGTTTAAAGCAAAAGGGCAGGATATTGATTGTAGGGTTTGCAGGGAACATAGAGCAGATTGGCACAAACAGGGTGCTCTTGAAACAAGCGGTCTTAATTGGTTATGTAAGTTTCTTACTCATGACATTTTACCTTTTCAACGTCCCTTTGAAATTCTAATTTGGAAGTAGCGATTCGGAGAAACAGAACGACAAGACCCAGCCGAGACTGTAGGAATCTGGAAAGGGTTGAGGGAGATGATTGACAAGGACCTCATCAAACCAACCGTTTATGATAAGGAATATACAGGGCTTGAAAGTGTCCCGGAGGCGATGACGGATTTGAGTGATAGAAAAGTGTGGGGTAAAGCGATCATTAAAGTCACGCATGATGTGAAGGCTAGGATGTAAAGCGCTGATATTATGTGTGTAATGTCTAATCCGCTATATACACATTTTCAGCGTAAGCAACCCGTTAGAATGATATTGCTATCCTCCATAAACCAGTATGGTCGGCTTTATACAGCATGCCAAGCTACATCATCAGACCATACTATATAGAATGATGTTCTCCTCTCTTCCGCACAGTATACTCATTGTATCCTCATACTTCTCGTCTCAGCCATAAAGCTATCATCGTCGCTCTCCTCACTGTCTAAAATTGATTGAATCATCTTTTTACTGTACACCGGTGCCCGTAGTTGATCGTCTTCGCGTTTGATGTATGCGTCCTGACTAGCTACAGTGACGTTATGTGAGTGGATCCGAAAGGTTGTGCTTTGGGCTAAGACGCCCGTTTTTGTTTGAAAGATGCGACCTGAGCTCACATTAGCTATCAAAATCAATTTTGTCGCTGAAAGGGACATACACCAGATGCAAATGCAACATAAGAAGAGCAAGACAGTAGAGTAGCCGCACATCAAGACGACAGACTTGGCCGATAAGAAAGTTTTCTGCTCTAGGTTATCAAATGACAACAGAGTAGTACAGGAATAAAGGCCAACCTTTTCCGCCTCAATGAATAGATGGATATTCGAGGTGTTGCCAAGATTTTGCGCGTGAGGCGTAAGGAAGCTGCGGTCCTCCATCTTAATATAAATGACGGTCGAATTATAATACCAACGAATGAGATATCTCTAGAATATGGATGGAAGCATTATTGGGCTTCAAGCTGAGCTGTTGGCCGGAGATGCAAAATTTGGGAATCAAGAAGGAATCGCGAGAGGTCGCTTTTTGATTTGGAGTTCATCTCTTTCCACTAACTTGATGGGGTACATTTACTTATGACAGAATATATACAATCTTAACAATGGCGCAGTTTCTAGAAGGCGTATCTCATATCAAGCCCGCCCTAGTGCCTTACTATAAGTTTGGGCCAGATTTAGACTGCATAGTCTGGTGGTTTTAGCAGGCCTTGTCTAGATCTTTTGGCCCAAGTTTTTCTTTCCGTCAGAACTAACTAGAAAAACGACATACAAATTACATCAGCCACTTTCGCAGTAAGCGCGAAGCACAGATATCAGCTTTCGTCTGCAAGTTGCATTGTCGAAAACCTGGGCGTGGTCAAGGTCTTTGTGCCACATAACCTCAATGCCGGTCCCTTTCCAAGTTCTATATTTCCAATCATCATGCGGTTCGACAGAATCCGCGCCGCCGCCTCTTAATCTGAGCAATGAGGGTTCACTGTCGGAGCGATCAAGACTGACCGGCTCGGGTTCTTCGTCTGTGTAGCCACTAAAGGTCGATTCCGAGCGGCCACCTAGATATCTGCCCACAGCCAATGTGTCTACAATGAGATCTTTTCCACTAAGGCTGGCCGTCACCTTCCGGCCCTCAAGGTCTTTCTTCCATATAATGTTTTCATTCCAGAAGAAGTGTCGACTTAAGGTATGGCTAACACCTATGTCCATACTCGCAAAGTAGTATAGTTGATGTTCATTTGCGTGTTTGGGTTGCCGGCGGGTAAAATTGTATGCGACGTCTGGTAAGTGTAAAAGGAACGAGACCGGGTCTACCAATAAGATGGGGCCAATCCGCTTTGCTATAGAAGGAGTTTTCAATAAATGGGTTGAGATCACGGTTCCATACGAGTGGCTCGCAAGGACGAACTTCTGACTCGGACTGAAATGCTGGAGGAGAATTTGATCAATCTCGGCGCATAGCTCATCTTTAGACAAGGCGTGATGTGTAATTCTAAAAGCGACAGGCATGATCTCGATTGCTATTATTCCTATTTGCTCGTTTGGATCGTTGGAACCCAACCCAGCAGTTGAATTAATCTCATTAAGAAAATTGGTGTATGGATAATAGCCAATTCCTATACCATGGACGAAAACTACGGGGAGTCTCGTCGTTGATGTGTGAGGACGATGCCAATATGTGGTATGCTTCGCCGGAGAGTGGTACTTTGTGAAGAGAGATTGCCATCGAAACGGGAACAGAGTGAAAAATCGTGTCAGTTTCGTGCGGTGAAAGTGGAAGCCGTGGTAGAGCAATTTCATATATGTAAGGAAATCAACAAACCCAACACACTACATAATGTCAGTGTGTAGATTCATTTCGGGCGCGTTTAAGGACCTTACCATATACCAGACCAGGCTTCGATGTAGCATTTTCACCTCATCCAATGTCAATCGCAAGCACTTTGCGCTTCCTCTACCATCCTCTATCGGCTGCCCAAGGAGTGTTTCTGTCGCGGAGACCATCTCGTCCAATTCATCCTCGTCATCTCCTGGTGGACCCCCACGGTTGAAAAATGCCCATAAAAAGAACTCCTTCACATTGTCTTTTCGGATGTCTTCCAGTTCTGCCCCCAGAAACCACTTCCGCAAATAGACCTCAGGATCCGAGATGTTCTCGTTGCATAATCTGAACAGCTCCTCTCGCTCATCGCGACTTGGGGGGTTTGGATGCTTGGCTTCGCGCTGAAGGTAGGACTTGTATGGTAGGAAAACGCAGAGGAAGAACAAGGATTCGGCAACAGCTATAATTTCTATGATGAGTGGCACTCCGTATGCAGTTGCTTTGATATTGAAGCCATGAAGAATGAGATTTATTAGGGTATAAAGGAGGGCGATGGGAGCTAGGTAGTGTAATCCAATAATACACACCAGTATAAAGTAGTATTCGGGCTTCGAAGTCCCTATCATGGTGGCTTCGGCAGCAAGAGTATGTAAGGACGCGATATTGGCGCCAGTTTGGCGGTTCTGGCAGTCTTTGTAGGGAAGAAGGAGACGGTGACGCCTACGGAGATCTCAACAGAACGGAAAGCGCGTCAAGCAACACGGCTCTTTGACTACTTGTCGGTTCATTTGAGGTCGGAGAGCCTGAATTGGGTGCGCAGCATGCCAAACGGTTGAATGGAGTAGCAGCGCGTAAATGTGTTGAAATTGTTGAAATTGCATGTGGTAGTTCCAACCCAGCAGCTTTCCACGATCTTTCACGTGGAGTGCCTCGGTCAGAGTCGGTCTCAGGGAGCGGATTGCAAAGAACCTTGCATGTTACAACGCGTGTCGCGGTAGGTGTAACCACTTTTCCGGGAGCCTCCCGATGTCAACTGAAGCGACGATTTTATTAAGTCCGACAGGCCGCAATATATCCGAAAAGGCTGCTGTGAATTGTGCAAAGCCGCACAGAGCTTTCATGCCACACAATATCTCCTACGACGTCGCGACGTCTTCAAGATAACAGGCTTTCGATGTCGATCAAGGTGAGTGACTGTCTCGAAACCCTTATGCAGCACAGTTTCGTGGCTTTGTCACAACTCAAGCGCTCAGTTGTCACCCGGGAACTTTTTATTGGACTACCCATTTACATTCTTCGAGCAAGTGCTCATGTGCTCCACCGTTCAGAGCTTCCCCTACCACCGAATTCTACGAAGGTCCAATTTTGACTAAGGATTTGTAACGTTCGATCTCAGATCCACCACGATCGTTCTCCTCGTGTTTCTGAGAAGATGACATTTGCTAATGGTCAAGTCGTTAGAATGATTACACGCTCAGCCCTGTGACAGCACTTGCGTTTTACTCTTTCGACGGCGAGACGCTGCTCTTGGCCGGAGAAGGCTCCTTTCTCAAAGTATTCCACTCGAAGAGCTCAGACTGTCTTTCTCAAATTGAGTTGTTCCAGGAGCAGGCAATTCATGGCGTCTGCGTCAATCAAAGCGCGGTTCGTGACGATGAGGCTCAAGTAATAGTTTGGGGAGGCCGCAGCTTAGTGCTGCTGAGCAGAAAAGACATCATAGACATTCTAGATCAATCTTTCATCAGTAATGCGTCCAGGTCTATTATAATACCCGACTGGATTTTTGACGTAGCTGCGTCTAGTCATGAAAAGAGCAGCTGCCTCTTAGTCACTGCCCATAATGATTTGTTCAAGGCAGAAGCGACAGGACGAACAGTGTCCTATAAACATCTACCATCGCCTTCTGAGTCTATTCTCTATTCTGCTCATGTAATATGGGATACTCCAAGTCGGATCCTCGTGGCAGCTGGAACTGTTTTTGGCGAAATCATCGTATGGGATCTAACGGTCACAAAATTGGGCCACTGTGACAGCGCTAGAACCTTATTCACATTTTCAGGACACGAGGGGTCGATATTTGGTGTTAGTTTCTCGCCGCTTCTGGCTCTCTCGGACAACAAGAGTACGAGATTACTCGCAAGCTGTAGTGATGACCGTACCATTCGAGTTTGGGATTTGTCGGAAAATGAAGAAAAAGCAAAAGACGACACCAAAATACTCAACCCCAGAGAGACTGGTTTTGGTAGCACTGATACCATTACTGGAGCTGTAGTGTCTAATCGATGCCTGGCAACGGTTATGGGACATGCGTCGAGGATTTGGGGCGTCAAGTTTCTTGGTGGAATGTTTCCACCGCCCGCCGACTGCCATATAGACATTGTTTCTTTTGGGGAAGATTCAACAACACAGCAGTGGAGATTAGATGTAAGTCTGTTGAGTACTGTTCTGGGCCCTTACTGACTTAGGATCAGCTCAAAGAAAGTACACCTAGTGCAAACTTAACTCACGTCAAAACATACGCATTTCATAGCGGAAAACACATATGGTCAGCTGCTGCTAAAACCAAAGATGCCTACTATCATTCCTTAGCCACCGGTGGTGCGGATGGTAAAATCGTAGTTTATCATCTGGTCATGTCTGACATTTCTCGTGGGTCGTTCAAAACGAGGGACGATCAACTTACAACTTTTAAAGAATCTAGTGTGCGGGCAACCCAACCGAGACTAGGGGAGTGGGATTTAGAAAGTATTTTAAGCTGCCTCCCCTCTTCAGGTCCCAGTGTTACCGACGAGCTCAATGACCCGGAAGAGAAGCTGGCTAAGTCACCATTCGTCATGTCGTCAGGAACCATCAAAGAGCCAAGTAAGAAAAAGCCCAAGAAAATAGCTAAAGATGCTTTTAACAGATATGCTTTCACGGCAAGAGACGAGTTTATTGCGACAACCAATTTCGGTCGCGTTATACTTATTAAGATAGGCTCAACTTTGGAAATCTCGGAAATAAAATTTCCTCATCCCAACCAGGCAGATCTTAGATCCTACTCTATCGTTCAAGGGTTTCCGGAAATCTCAATGGCCTTTTTGGCAGGAGCAAATGGTAAAATCTACGCATTCGTATCCAATAGACTTGTTGAAATAGGTCAAGTCAATGGCAAACCTGCCGACATGTTCAAGATATACGACAAAGAAGCTGAGCGCTATGAACTTTTAGTCACTACCTTATCGGGAAATGTTGCGACGCTCTTCTTGAATCCATCGAGCTCAGTCAAGAATGATATCCCGGTCAAGTACATCAACTACACCTTGCCTGATGATTTTGTGGTAACAAGTAGTGGCATTTGCCAGAAACTGCTAGTTCTGGGCTCACGTAAAGGATCACTCGCGGTTTACTCAAACCCTTGTGGACCCGCTCTTCATTTGGAAGGCCATTATAGCATTGAAGGGGATGCCATCACATCGATTCTCCAACTTCCGGATTCTACGGAGTCTCAATGGAAGAGCTACTTTCTAACTACTGGGAGAAATGGAGTATACTCAATCTTCGCTTTGCATTTCGCGTACAACGATCAGAAAGTAGTACCGACTGATGTGTATCCAGTCCATCATGGAACACCACCCTTCGGGCCCATGATCGAGTCAGCATGGTTTGAAAGCTCCAATTTGATGCTATGTGGATTCAAAAGTAAGGACTTTGTGGTCTGGAATCAAACCACACAATCAGAAGTTATGCACGCTGAATGTGGTGGAGCTCATCGAAGTTATGCCTACTCGGCTTTGGAAAATGCTGGAGGCAGCGGACACTTCGTTTACACTAAAGCTTCTAAGCTATACATTTATTCGCAGTCATGTATATCCCATCGAGTAATCAAATCGGGGGGGCATGGGCGGGAAATCAAGTCGTGCGCAATTTCCTCTGATCAAAGATTCTTTGCAACTGGTGCTGAAGACACGACCATTCGGATCTGGCAGTATATCAATAACGGCTCCCAACAGAGTAAGGAATTTAGCTGTCTTTCGGTCATACAGCGGCACACAGCTGGTATACAGCATCTTCAATGGTATGGATCAAAGTACTTGCTCAGTAGCGGCGGAAATGAGGAGTTCTTTATCTGGGCTGTAGAAGAAATCCCAGGGTTTGGTATTGGTGTTGCCTGCGAAGCAATGTGCCCTGATCAAAGTGAAGACCGGGACTTGCGAATCATGAGCTTTGATGTCACCCAAGCTCCAGAAATTTTGGGCGGGAGAGGAGTCTCCGCACTCTTGATAAGCCTAGCATACTCTGACTCTACGATTCGTACTTATACGTACACTCGGTCATCGGGTTTCACTCTTATTGGAAGTGGCAAGTACACATCCTCGTGTCTTACGCAGATCAAACATATCTCTGTCATAGAGAACAAGCTATATATCCTTACAGGATCTACGGATGGCAGTCTTATCGTTTGGAAACTACTTATCGTTCCTCAGAGCCAGGATGAGGACGAAGAAAACAGCTACCACCCGTCTCCTCCACGGCTAGAGATGATGTCGAGTTCGAAGACTCATCAAAATACCATCAAGTGTTCAGGAATTTCACTTTCCTCTGATCACATGCTCCTTCTTGTTGTTACCGGCGGAGATGATAACGCTCTCGCATTCTCAATATATTCGATGGAAAACATAGCTGCGAAGTCAAAAAGATATTTACTTCGTTCTGCCCATGCTGCAGCCATAACAGGACTCTGCACATTGTCCGAGCCGTCCACAAGCCGTCGATCTTGCTCATTTAGAGTGATAACGTCAGGCAATGATCAGAGAGTGAAAGAATGGGTATTCAGCGTCCGCCAAGAGCCGGAAGAAGGTTACATAGTAGACATTGACAAAACTGGGGATATGTATACATCTGTAGCAGATGTGGGAGACGTCGCTATCTTCAAAGATGACGCTCCAGCGGGTGAGGTTAAAGTCCTTGTGGTAGGGAATGGTATGGAAGCCTGGGATATACAGATGGCGAAAGCATCTTTGGCGGACAGTACCTGCTAAGATATCTGGCCAGTCACGTCAGTTCTTTCTGGCAAAGACATTACTGCTGTAATACTTGGGTAAACATGACAGCCCAAGCATTCAACAACACTGATTCGGGATGTATTGCCACTGATACTAGCAGATCAAATCGTTTCTTACCACTCCAGACGTAGGTGCTTAGAAAATTGACAGTGACAATATCTGTTGCGGGCTGTATTCTTTGTGTTTTTACTCCGAGTCACGAGTCACTGCGACCAAGCTGACCCGAAAAGGACGAGACAAGCATCTCTTAAGAATTTTTCCTGTAGTTCTCTGTTTCTGTGAATTTTCGGAATTCGCAGCTATACGAGCTACGTATTCACTTCTACTTACGTCGTCCGGGTACTTATTCAGCAGTCTAGGGAAGAGTGAGTACCCCCCTATACTTCCAAGTTGTAGAAGGTGCCATTCACCACATGATACCCCTCCAACCCCACGTGGTCCGTGCATGAGAGAGAGCTGCTGATGAGCAAACTCCATGATAGCATGAGGAGCCTCTTAGTCCGTCTGTACTCAGCAACGCGCTTTGCAAAATCTGGAGCACAAAGAATCATTCTTCGCTTTCGAGTGGTTGTATCATCCGCGACTCAAATCGGCCCTTTCGAGCTTCGTTCCCTCCCAGCCTCACCACTTTGTTCGCCATGGACTTCAACGGCTCGTCGCCCTTCCCAGAGGGCGTTATCTCGTTCCTGGACACTGATCTTTACAAGCTGACGATGCAATGCGCTGTGCTGAAGTACTTCGCGGATGTACGAGTAACTTATGCGTTTCATAATAGAACACCTGAGAAAAAACTGTCAAGAGCAGCTTTCAAGTGGCTTCAAGCTCAGATAAACAGTGCGATTCTACAGCATATCCGTTTATTGTGGCTAACGATCGCTAGAACTGGGTAACATTGCGCTTTCAAACGATGAGCTTCGATTCCTCCAAACCACTTGTACATACTTGAACAAGCCATACCTTGATTTCCTAAAAGAATTCCGTCTAAATCCTCGCGAACAAATCGAAGCTTCCTTCTCTCCCGAGAATGACACCGGTAGTGACGAAGATATTGGCGAGTTCTGTCTCATAGTCTCCGGCTTATGGGTTGAGACCATTTTATACGAAATCCCCCTCCTTGCTCTCACTAGCGAAGCATATTTCCGATTCATGGATACAGATTGGACATATGATGGGCAAGAGGAGAAGGCCTACCAGAAAGGTATGCGCCTTCTTGAAGCCGGCTGCGTAGTATCTGAGTTTGGTACACGCCGGCGGAGAGACTATCATACCCAAGCGTTGGTGTTTCGTGGACTCGTCAAAGCTAAGAAAGAAGGAGAAAGAAAGGGCTTGCCTGGGAAGATATCTGGAACCAGCAATGTTCACTTAGCTATGCGATTCGGCATACCACCAATCGGTACAGTCGCTCATGAATGGTTCATGGGAGTCGCGGCTATCACTGGAGACTACAAAACAGCCACAACCACGGCGTTGCAATATTGGGTAGGATGTTTTGGGGAGGGGGTTCTTGGAATCGCTCTGACCGACACTTTTGGTACACCAATCTTTTTGAAGGCCTTCAGTCAACCGATGACAAAAATAGAGTCAGGAAGTTTGACCGAAGACACCTCAATTAGAGAGGTACCCTCGAGTACCCCATTGGATATGGTAAATGGAAAGTCTAAAACATTCGCAGAAGTGTTCGCCGGTGTGCGACAGGACTCAGGTGACCCAGAAAACTTTGTTAAGATGATGCGTGAGTTTTACGACGCACAGGGAATCAAGGAAAAGAAGACGATAGTCTTCTCAGACTCGTTAAATATTGATCTATGTCTGCATTACAAGACAATATCTGACGAAGCTGGCTTCAATACCTCATTCGGAGTTGGAACCTTCTTCACTAACGACTTTGTTCACACGAAAACTGGTACCAAGTCGACTCCTCTCAACATTGTCATCAAATTGGCCACTGCTGCCGGTAGATCTGCAATCAAAATCAGTGACAACATTGGGAAAAACACTGGCGATAAAGCTACAGTTGAGAAAGTCAAACAAGAGCTAGGTTATGTGGAGCGAGACTGGGCCCAGGGCGATGAAGCGACAAGATGGGGAAAGGAAAGTGAGAACGAAAAGAAATAATCAAGTTCCGTAGTAAGCCAGATATAAATTGGTCAGTCTATCCGGAATTTGGCGGCATATTTGGGTATGGATAGAGAAAGAATAGTGCAGGGCGTAGTACGTCGAGAGCATCGAACCCGGCGTTTCTAGCTTCATGATAATCCGGCATATTGGGCACGGGATTTATTTGGTAAACAGCAAAGCGGGCACTTTGTTTACAGTAAATTTCAATGGGCGTTGATCATAGATCTTTGGAAAGTATTTGCAGACTATGCAGATAATCCGTTGGAGAGGAGCTGCAACGACGTCTTTTAGCTTTCTTCACTCTTAGGAGGTGGTAGAGTGGAAAGTAGCTCAGACGAGTAAAAAGCAAAAACCCAATCACAACCTGCGAACCTAGACGGCTAGTGTAGCCTAAATCCATAACAAACGAAAAACCATTCTATTAATCTAGTTGATCAAGGGCCAACCACTATCCATTAACATACTTTTTGTCCAACACAAGAGGCGCTCAAGAACAGGGAAAATGTTTCCATATACAAGTCCACTTGGAAGGTCAAAAGCAGCTATTGAACTTCTTGGAAAGCTCATAAGCCTGGAAATGGAACTACCCAAAAGTCTCTAACCTTCTTTGAACATAGGCAGCAAGTCCTTTCACCACATCTTCACCAATAACATCTTCTTGCCAGGTATAAGCTACAACCATAGGCCCTTCACTGATACTGATAACACTTGCTTCAAAGGCTGGTCCTGTGACAGACGGACTTTGACTGAATACAAGTTTCTCCAACTTGACTTTGTCGTCACCGTCTCCATTGTTTGGTAGTTTGACCAAGCCGATGTTGGATATCTCGTACGTCTCATCAATCCGAGTCTTCTTGAGACCTACTTGACAGTAGGCGTCATAATCTGGGATAGTAGCAAATCCTATAAGGCCCGCAGAGTGAACAGTAGGAATCCCGGCAAGATCAGATGTTATTTCCTCCGTGAACTGCTGTGAGACCTCTTGAATAACCATTTTCTCTTCGTCAGAATCCTCCTCCGCGGCCCTAAGGGAATCAACCAAAGAAGACTTCCATTGTGTGACTATGAATGCGATGTGATTGACCATTTCGTCATCTGAAACCCCGGAGAATCTTCGCATAGAATAGGGTGTTGTAGCAGAAAATGCCTCAGCTGAGGAGATCGTTTTGGATAGATAAAGAAGGAACAGGGCGTGTAAAAGGGATGTCATTGTTATCTTGCGAGAACGACAAGCTGATAGAGCAGTAGAAAGGCTGTCTGCTGGAAGAATGAGCAGGTGTGTACGAGGAACGTACGGATCTAGACGGGGAGAATTTCCCGCCCATGGCTGTGGAGTTGGAGGTGTCGTTGAAGTTGTAGGCTTCGATGTTTTGGGGAAAGGAACGGCAACTTCGATGGGTATTGGGATGGCTGTAGTTGGAGGTATTAGATGCGGCCATGTCGAATTCATGTCAAGACTCTCGGTTCCCTCGGCAAGATATTGGAATAGCGATTTATGTAGGACGCGGACAGATCCTCCGTCAGCTATGCCGTCTAGATGAAATTAGAATCCGTTTTTCTCGACAAGACGTGAGCTGTGTTGAAGGATCAAGCTCGTCTGCGACCAGAATATGAGCTTATAAGAGAGAACAAATGGAGATGCTGCATACGGTGAACGGGTATAATGACATCAATTGTCGACTTTGAGCTCTCAACGAGGGTATCATACTTGATCGCCACAAGTTTCCATCCTGGTTTCTGAGTTTGGTCAGTCCAAAGGTGTTCGTGAACAATGCCTATTTCCTTTTCGAGAGTAGCATTCCGCTCTTCGATCGACGTTTTTATTGACTTGAGCTCAAAGACATCTTCCCAGTTGATATGTGGCAAGCGTGCAAAATGAGCATCTGATGTATCTGACTTCGGCACAAGTCCAAAACACAGAGCAGGGTGTCGAGTAATTGTTTTTGACACGGCGAACTTTAACAGACTTATCAATTGCGTTTCGTTGGAAAACTTCGCCGGGAGTGTATAGGTTGCTGAGCCAGCGAAAGAGCGATAAGTTCCATAAGTGTTGCGAGCGGCATAATACTTTGCTAAAAACCCTGGAAAATGTTAATGATGAGTTCCTTATATTTCGTGATACAGCCAAAGTCATTTCTCGCCCTCAATCAAATTCGATTCAATAGCGAGCCTATTCAGAGATCGTTTCCACGAACACTCATTGGGCTTGCTCTAACTTTGGAGCTTGCATGACGATGAGTCGATGGAATCCTGCTTACTGGCGAGCGCTTTGGAAACCCAGCAGATGGCATTTTTCAGTGCTGTGAAATTCCCTATCTTGAGTTTGTGTAAATGATCTTCCACCATCGAGACGAGCCACTGAAAAGAACATTCATCTTAATAAAGCTGTCACTGCTCTCAAAGCATGTCTTATGCCAAGCGAAGATCTTTTCAACTTCACTCCTTTCCTGTGATAGAATTGGGAAAACTGACGATCTAGTACGTACCTGCGGTCACCGAATTATCGGAACTATCCATTATCGAGTAGATTATAGTTCTCTAAACTAGTTATAGACCGAAAAAGTTCCCTACGAGTGATAGGAGTAATCTTTCGACTGCCCGATGTCGAGAAAGAAATTGTTGATATACAGTGATAGTTCCTTGATAACAAAAAGACGAAGGATATTCTTTAGGTGATGAAATTAATGAGCGTAACCTCAATATTTATACAAAACGTTCATAGAAATGCGGTACTCCAATTGGTATGACTCTAAATCGGAGGCTAATAATACCAGTAAAAAGTCGATATAAATGGGGGTCTGGTACACGTGACTATAGTCGATGAACGATTCCAGGCTGGTAAGCTTGGAGAATTGAGGAACCTGAGACTTGCGTCTCGTCCGGCTATCAAGAGATTCGTACTTGAAGTATTGACTGCAAGGCGTAAGCTCATTAAAGCCGCAAAATACACACTTCACATTTCCATGCTTTGGGGAAGATTTGGGAGGGTTGAGCTCGACTGTCTGTAAATGATGAGACTAATAAATCTCGGGCCGGCCCCAATCTTGGAAGCCTTTCAACTCTGCCCGTTGTCATCCCGATTACTTATCACTTAAGCTGTCAGTGACTCAACCCTCAACCTTCACAAACCAGCCGCGCCATTAGAACGAGAGAAGCCTTTTTAGACGCGGAGGAAGTTTGTGAAAGCGAGAGAATATTCATCCTGCTAGATTATTGTACGGTAGATGTGAATTAAAGTAGAGTTTACTGAGCCTCACCGCCACAATGAGTGTCGAAACCGTGGATCACCTCACCTCTGTTGGTGTCACCGAGATGGAGAAAGCCGAGCATACTGTCAAAGATCTTGATGCATCGAAGTTAACAATTGAGCTCACAAATACTCCCAGGCCTGTGCCCGAATTGAACTCAAAAGAAACTTGGTCTTGTCGAGCTTGTTCAGATCATAGTAAGTCTCTAACAGGTAGCATTAATACCAGCTTCCTCATAAGTATGATGTAATCAAATGTGCTGTTGCTAATGGAGAATTAGTGGTGACGGTAACTTGGTTGGAAGGAAAGGGCTGGCAAGCTCCTAAAATTGTACCGTATGGCCCTCTGACAATGATGCCTACCGCTTCTTGCTTGCATTATGCCACCCAATGCTTCGAGGGAATGAAAGTATATCGTGGATTCGATGGGAAGCTCCGACTATTTCGACCAGATAAGAATTGCCAGAGAATGGTGATAAGCTCCACCAGGGTTTCACTACCCGCTTTCGATCCTGTAGAGCTAGAGAAGCTAATCAAAGCATTGATGAAGGTCGACGGCGCAAGTAAGTGAAGCACGATAGTGTCAAATACGTGCTAAATTGTTGCAGAATGGTTGCCTAAGTCACAACCGGGCAATTTCCTCTACCTAAGACCCTCCATCATCGGAAATGGAGAAGAACTAGGAGTAAAAGCCCCGGCCGAAGTTTTGCTTTTCATAATAGCTGTGCCATGGCCTGATCTCTCGACAGGATGGAATCCATCTGGAGGAGGAGTTCCAGGGTTGAAGCTTCTTGCTTCTAAGAATGATACTCGAGCATGGCCAGGGGGTTTTGGATACGCAAAGGTCGGCGCAAATTATGGGCCTGCTTTCGTCGCAGCAATGGAGGGACGTAAAAAGGGCTACGACCAAATCTTGTGGTTGTTCGGCCCGGATTACCAGGTATGGTTGATCTTCGCAAGATAGAGGCAGAGAGCTAATTGTGTACTGCAGGTTACTGAGGCAGGAGCAAGTAACTTCTTCGTTGTTTGGCAATCAAAGGAAGGAACAAGAGAACTCATTACTGCTCCCTTGGATGACAAGATAATCCTCGATGGAGTAACTCGTAGAAGTGTTCTTGAGCTTGCTCGGACGAGATTTGTAGCCAAGTCGGCATATCTAAGCGATGCCATTAAAGAGCTTAATATCATTGAACGGACATACACTATAGCTGAAGTCGAGGAAGCTCAGAAGGAAGGTCGCCTCATTGAAGCTTTCGTTTCAGGTACTGCGTATTTCATTACTCCCGTTTCGGCAATTTCTGTCCATGACGAGGAGTTCCCGATCAACATGGACGCTGGCCACACTGGACATTATGCGGGTATGCTGAAAGAGTGGCTCATGGAGATCAAGTATGGCAAGGTTGACCACGAATGGGGTGTTGTTGTTGATGAAGATTAGAAGAATCCTACGACCACTTGAAAACAGAGTGGTGATACTGTAGTATCTTAGAAATAGAGAGAAATGCACTAGAGCACACTTCAGCTTCAACCTGATGACTCTATTTGGTGTTCAAAATGCAGGAATACTATTAGTGACGCTTTTGTGCAAGAAGCCAAGGATAATACTCAAATCTCCTACGAGGAAACAGATTCCATCTTGGAAGCAACCGGATCCGACGGTACAGAAGTTTTGGGAGCATAGATCTTTTTGCGAGCGGAAAGAAAATGCAAATACAGGTTTGTCTATAGCGATAGCTGCCAAAGCTTCGACGGGTTTCGCGTTTTTGTGAAAGTCGGATTTGTCGAAGTAAGAACAAACCAAACGCGTCAAGTTAAAGGGTCAAATGTGACAGCGTTGCGTGTGCACGTGGCAGCAAAATTGTGGGGTAATTCGGGGGTAGAGGATTACTGTGCTTGCTACCCCTCCAAAGTATTGACATTGACCGCCAAAATACAAGAGAATCTTGAACATTGTAGGATCACTTTACCACAGCGTTTAAGACGTTCTCCCCAGACAGTAAACATGGCAGCCTATCCACCTTTGGCAGAGCGCCCGATCAAGAACACAATTGTCCTCTTCGATGTCGACGAAACGCTCACACCAGCTCGCCGGGTATGTCTCACCCAACATAGCTCTTTTCACAATCTTCTGGCATCTTTTCTCAGTCTTCTTATGCCTCCCAAAGTCTGCTTAGTTTGTTCCAGCTGACAGTGATTTAGATGGCCTCTCCGGAAATGCTCATTCTCCTGCAGCAATTACGCCAAAAAGTAGCGATTGGATACGTTGGCGGTTCGGACCTTGCGAAACAGCAGGAACAACTGGGGACGGCCGAGATCTCAGTCACTTCCCTCTTCGATTACTGCTTCCCCGAGAACGGCCTTACGGCACGTAAAAGCATATCCCAGATACATACCATTCATGCTGACTTGCCATCTAGGCATTCAAATCGGGCCTTCCACTGCCGTCAACAAGCTTCATTAAATGGCTAGGCGAGGACAAATATAAGGAGTTGGTGAAATTCGTTCTCCACTATATAGCTGACCTTGACATTCCGGTCAAACGTGGGACTTTCATGGAGTTTCGCAGTAAGTTGCTCAGAGGCTTTGAGTTGATGTGGAATACATGCTGAATTGACGTATAGATGGGATGGTAAACATTTCACCCATCGGGAGGAACGCAAGTGTGACGGAAAGAAACGCATACAACGAGTATGACTTGGAGCACAAGGTTCGAGAAAAGATGGTAGCTGCTTTGAGAGAGAAGTTCCCAGAGTTTGGTTTAACGTAAGACTATCCAAAGCCTCTGTACGCATCAAGCTAACCAGTTACTAGATATTCGATTGGTGGACAAATATCTTTTGACGTGTTTCCTAAGGGCTGGGATAAGACATTCTGTCTCAACCACCTTGAGAGAGGAGCCAAAGAACCAGGAGGAATTGAGTACACAACTATACATTTCTTTGGAGACAAAACGGCGCTGGGCGGCAACGACTACGAGATTTACAATGATCCACGTACTATTGGGCACGCAGTAGACTCGCCAGCGGATACAGCTAGAATAGTGAAGGAGCTGTTCGACCTTTGAGATGGTGTTGGTTTGATTTGGGAAGCATGCTTTGAATATAGATACCTTAGGTAGAACCCATTGAGTTCGGCGTAAATAAATGGAAAAGCGGAATTTAAAGACGAGTAGCTGAAAACAGTAGACCATCCAATTACAGCCACGGCGACGACGGAAAGTGTCATGCTATCATGTTGCCATGCCCAAAAGAATTCGAACATCATTCTAGAGCCTACAAGGGCTTTGTGGTTGGTCGTTTCAAACTCATCTGGATTGAATTGACTCATTGCATTCATTCATTACATATTATGCTATTCTATTTCTTTACACCACTGGTATTTATGCAGTTGATCAATGCGTCCTGTCCTGTACCCAAACACCTCGCTATGCCAAACAAGTTGTATACAAAAGACAATAATCAATCAAGTCCTTCCCCATTTAGGATGCTGTTCAAAATTCCTGCCCCAAGGCCCTCAACCGCCTGGGCAACTTCCTTCTCACCAACACAGCTGCCGATTCTCTTCTCGTCACCGCTGCCAATTCCAGCTCCGAACTTTCGTGATCTGCTTGGCGTTCTCATTCCGGCAAAAGAGCCATTCCTGCCATCTACCGCACTAACCAAGGATAGAGTTTCTAAGTTGCCGATAACATCTCGGAATTCGGTGCTGGTGAGAGGGTGCAAGATCGAATCGCGCGTGCATAGCATGCAATAAACATCGTACAAAGCTTTGATTGTAGGAGCCACATTGTTGGACTTAGACGGTGTCGCCATAACATTTGCTGCTGCTGTTCTTTTGCGCTTCTCCAGGGCGACCAATGCACATAAGGCTGCCTTTTGCTGAAGATTCAAGGTCTTGAGCCTTTGATTGGCTCCATTGCCAAAGGTCGAAGCCGTGATCTTGTTGACGTGTGCGATGGAAGCTCTGGGAGCAGTCTCAGGTGTGAGTGTTGAAAGTGACTGAGCTAAATTGGTTATTTGCGTTGCGGGCATTGGTGAGGTACCAACTGGAGACGAGAAGTTGACGTTCTCTTCGAGCGGTCTCTTTGATGGACTGCCCAAGAGTGTCTGCTCCTTTAATGCGAGTTCATGCTTTTGCTTCACCTCTGCTTCTATCACATCAATCGCCCGTCGGCAAATATCGAAGGCTTTCCGCAGATCCCCCGACTGGCTTGAAACCTTTCTAGAGCATAACTCGATGGCCGCTGGATGAAGGAAAGGCAGGTAATCTGGCGAGGGGCCATCCTTGACAAGAGACTTGAGCTTGGCAATTATGACAGCTTTGATCTGGGCTGCGGTGTATGGGAGAAATGGGAGAAGATGAGGCTTCATGTTACGTGCCTTCAGTCGAGGAAGGAAACGATCCGTGAGGTCTAAGGCATTGGCGATTCCAATCAAGACCAGGTGAGATGACTTTTGAAGCGACCACTCGAACAGCTTGTACAGGATTTCCAGGTCCAAATTGAGAACGTGGTCGATTTCGTCGAGTGTGATAATGTATACGTTTTTGGATTTCTTTTTCGGAATAAAGATGCCTTCAAGAGCCTTTGTTTCTTCGCCTTCCATAACGTCAATGCCTTCACACAATGTTTCTAACAGCATCTCATACAGGTCTTTTGATGTTTTGAGACTCATACAATTTACATAAGCTTTCTTCAGATGAGTCGATTCGGCGGTTTCGTTGGTAGTCTCGTTCACCATAGCACTCTTACCTGTGCCTGGAGGCCCACTGACATAAATGCATCCGCCCGACGTTTCTTCGATGTGCGTTTTGATGAAAGTGGCTAGTTCTTGCTTCTCCGATTCTCTGCCAACGAGTTTCCCCGGTTCGGAACTTCTAATAAATAGTTGACGAGCCCGGCTGTATACTGTTGACATTGATCCACTTGATGTCGAAGGCGTTCGTGGAGTTCGTGGAGTAAGTGCTTTACTTCCAATGGTGATTCGGTGCCGCGGGGTGACGGGCAGCTTCTTGGAGAGCGCGTCCCGATGTCTAGGGGTTTGAGGGGTTGGAATTTGAATGCACGAATTTTCATCTGGAAATGATCAGCTCAGTTTGCACCAGTGATGCATACAAAATCTTGTGGACATGTGTGTTGGTGTAGCATACCATTTGATGGAGATAAATCTGCTCGTTTCCCCTTAATCTTGAACTCGCCGCGTTTCGATCGGGTAGAAACGGTGCTGTAGACCTCGTCCATGTCTATGGAGTCGCCGTTGCGTCCAGTTGAAACAAAGGGATTCTCGTTCTCATCGTTGTATATCTCTTCTCGTGCTTGACGCTTTACGATTGGGCTCTTTGAAGCTTTTTGCACGTTAGTAGTTACTTTGCAAACTGCTCCGAGAAAGGCGTACCTGAATTTGTTGAGCTTCTAGTACGTTTCCCCAAAACTGTAGAAGTCATGATGTCGATGGGGTTCTTCCGTGATGTCAAACGGGAGAATGCTGTGGTGTTGGGGAAGGCGTGGTGGAAGAGAGATTGGTTACATGGGAAAGTGCAAAGCGGGAGATGAAGCTTTTGACGGTTCGGCACGCACGCGTCGAGTCGCGACTTTCCGCGCGTGCATAGACCAGCGCTGCCAAAAAGTGGCAGGAAGGTGAAACCACTTAAGCTCGTGTCACGGGATGTCGCTTGGAAAGACTCCGACGATGCGGCCCGACCCCTGGATTGACCTCGGAGATATGCTTAGGGGTCGCGATTGAATCATCAACGAGCGACGAAGAGTACCAATACAGCTGAATATTTTGATAAGAATGACGGGAATGTATAAAATACAGAGCATATCTGCGAAGCTTCTCTTCGGACTCCCACATCAATCTTGTGCAGTCAATTCGATCACTCGTCCTGACTGACGAGAATCCCAGACCACTGCACGGATGGTGGGGTGGAAGCAGCTGTCAGCGCCAAGAAGGACTCGTCCTACGGATATTCATGGCGAGGAGATCAAGAGGCTATTCGCAAGTGGTTTTGCAGACGAATCTCACGTAAAGCTGTATGCATATTGTCTTCATTGTCTTGGTTATCGCGATGTGCAATCATATCTAGATTGAACATGCTCATACCTCGAGAGCTCTAATTGCCAACTCAGTCTAATGTCGTAGCGGCCGCCGTGAAGCTATTATGCGCCGGCGTACTCGAGTAAAACGAACTATCCTTTGGTGCCTTTCTTGGTGTCTCCTTCGGCGGCAAGGAAATATATCGACTTTGCCCTCCTATCACTGGCCTCATCGTGCTCCCGACCTGTCCATGCTGCAGATATTGCATTCTAGCCGCCGGCATGTCGTGGACTTTCGAGGTGCCTCCCGCAGCCGCCCTCCCTCATCCCACCTATCATGGCCATCTCACCCGCCCAGCAAGCTGGCTCACTCGCCCCTCCCCCTCGCTTATCATCACCGACCAAGCAAAGCATGGAAATCTCGTCCAGTCTCCATCCAGCCCCAGTCGGTCGTCGTGGCTCGAACTCTGGTCAGGCCAAATCCGAAACCAGCCTGATTGCTGAGATATTTCCCTGCTCGCCCATCTTTCACGAAACTCTTTCAGAAATCTGACCCGACTCTCGCAGCCTCCAAGCTCTGTCTTTCGCAACCTTTGGCTTCTGTAGCTGGCCTCGCTCGCGGTCGCATACACCCCAGCATCACGACACATGAGTTGTACATCCCTCTGATCCGATAACAGTCTCCCCGCATCGATCTGTACCTCCGTGCCTCCTCCCCACGACTCAGTAGCTTACCCGTCAACATCGCCCAAAATAACACTTGGTGCGTCACTTAGCGAATCCTTCATTGGATACTTCGACCTTGTACCTGGCCATGGCAGGTCGTCAAGGAAAACCAGACGAGGAGCTTTTTCTCTCGAGACCTAATAATGGCGGGGACAGTCCCACCGTCGAGCCTTTGAGGATTCATAAACCAAACAGTCCGCAACCGCAGACCGGTCGAAGCAAAGTGCCTCAACCCGCGACCAAGATGTTATTTCCACTGCCTCCGGGCGCCTCAAGCTCAGCCAGTCCACTTCCATATCCTGACGACGAAGACGATGACGACGAGGAGGACATGTTTCCTCCACCCGCCAAGTCGCAGACTTATCGAACACCATATCCCGAAGAGAGAAGGCCTTCAGGACAAGGAGGTTTTGCTGGACCTGGCAAGGAACAATCGCGGCCAGCGACTGGTGGGAGAAAAGCATCGAATGATACTGCGCCGAGGTTGATGACCAGCCCGATTGACAAGAGAGGTCCTGGGCTGGCAGAAAGACGAGGAACAGCCCCAAAGCCTCTCCCGGAGTCTCCAGGCCCAGACCTTCCAGACAAAGAAGAATTGTTTGCGATGCCGCTGAGAAAAAACACCGCACCTGTCGCAGCACCAGCACCTCCAGCTGGCAGACGTCCATCAGAGACAGGCCCAAACCCATACCCCGAGTACCATCAACAATATTTCCCCCCCTCCACTGCCGCCCCTCCCCAATCGAATGCTGCTCCTTCGAGAGAAAACTTGGTCGCGCCCACTCCAAACGCCATGAACAGATTCTCCTCGACTGCATCTACCTCTACTACAAGAGCCACAAGAGGTTCGCCGCCCCCTCCCGAGACGCCAATTCTAGGGCCCGGTGACCCAGGAGCAGGTGGTGGAATTGAAGCTAGATACGCGGCAGCGGGAATTTCTGGAACTGCCACGCTAAGCAATCTTCACGGTCGAAACGCTGCTGCTGCTCAGCGTCAAAATCAGTATGGCCCACCTCCCGTCCCTCAACTACCACAAACACCTGGACTTCCCGCGCAGCAGCAGCATGCGCCGCGGCCATGGACTCCCCCTGATTCCCATGATGCTAACCAATACGGACCTCCCATTGTTTATCAAGGTGTGACTGAAGTTACAACCCAATCAGCAGCCTCTCCGCCTCCAGCAACAATCCAGCAAAGTGGCCCACAATCCACCGTGATACCTCAAGCACCAAACTCATTTGAGCAAGACTTTCAGAGAATGAACGTATCTCCGCAAGATCCTCCTCCAGCGTATTCTAGTGTCACACCAAATGGTGCTGCTAGCTCTTCATCGTATCCTGCAGAGAAAGGAGGGCGAGCCCCAGCGCCAGCCGCAATTAGCACAACTTCGAAACAGAACATAGCTCCTCCTCTTATGTCCCCAGAGTTGCAACATCCCGGCCATCCCGCATTTGCTAATGACGCCCAGCAACCGATTGGACACCCTCAGCAGGTTACACAACCTATTGCTCAACAGCAACAACAACCTCAAGTACAGCAGCAACCACAACCGCAAGCAGTGGCAAACTCGTCACCTTTCGGTGGAGCAGGTCCATCGTCGCCTCCACCTCTTCCAGAAGGATGGATCGCTCATTTGGATCAGAATTCTGGTCAATACTATTATATCCACTTGCCAACCCAAGCGACACAGTGGGAATTTCCTAAAGGACCGACCCCTCTCAATCATGATATTGCACCTTTGTCTCCAGTGATGTCAACCTATGGACACCATCCTCTCATGTCCCCTGGTCTAATGTCCCCGGGTTTAAGTGCTTTTGGCAAACAACCTCTGATGTCTCCTGGTTTTCCGCCTCACACTCCAGGCTATGCAGAAAGTATTATGAGCATGGCTTCACAAACTACCACGGCTGGAGGATTTTCCGGGCCACCACCAAGTGCTGGCGTTGATATGTACAAAATTGCCCCTACTAATGGAGTTTATTTTGGGCCTTATCTGCGATATGTAAACATGGATATGGAACGAGGATTGTGGTTGGGTACCATCATGCTTGTGACCGACGGACCTCAGCCGCCTACGATTCATATACACCAAAGTGTTGATTTATCACCCGATCCGCGGCAACTGAAGGCAAACCCGATTTTCACACATCAACGATGGACGTTTTACCGATATGATGTGGACTTACAGATGGGCGAAGGGCCTGGCGACAAATGGACATACGCCATTACCTCGCATCTGGGTTGCACACGGTATGAGTTTCTGGTTGCTGGACGTTACGAAACGAATTGGAGATTCATTGCGCATTCTGGTAATGATTTTGCCATGAATACTAGCGCTGCTGAGCGGTCCAAGCTTGGAGGAATAGGTTTTATGTGGAAAGACATTTTGCAGAAAAATGTCGAATGCGGTGGATTTCACGTCCAGTTAGGTTTGGGTGATCAAATCTATGGGGATCGTTTATGGAAAGAAATTCCACTACTGAAGCAGTGGCTTGCTATGAGTGGTAAAGATAATCGCAAGAGTGCTGCGTGGACGGCAAGACATGAGGAAGATGTGTCTCATTCATATTTTCACTACTACACCAGTCACTTCGATCAGCCATATCTGAGAGAGGCTTTTGCCCAAATCCCGCACGTCCTTCAGATTGACGATCATGATATGTAAGTAAGAACTGCCGTAATGTTCTCCTAAGCTAACAATCGTAGTTTCGATGGTTTCGGCTCATATCCTGAATATATGCAGTCATCCAACATGTTCAAAAACATTGGCCGTATCGGAATCGAGATGTATCTGCTATTTCAACACCACACGACGCTGGAAATTCTTCGTAATGTGAGCAGTGATGTTGATCTGTTTACAATCACCGGCTCTGGCTGGCATTTCGTCAAATATCTCGGCCCAGCCGTTGTGGTTGTGGGTCCAGATTGCCGCTCGGAACGAAACCAACGGCAGGTTCTTGCGGGCCCGACGTACCAAGGCTTGTTCCCGAAGGTTGCAACATTACCACCAAGTGTACAGCACTGTATTTGGATGATCTCGGTTCCTGTGGTCTATCCACGTCTAGACACTGTCGAGAGCTTAGCTCACACCATGGCTACTGGTAAGAAAGCAGTAACAGGGACATACAATCTCCTTGGTAAGGTGACAAGTTCGGCTGCTGGTCTTGTTGGTGGCCGTGAGGCGGTTGCTTCTGGTTTCTCCCAGGTGAAAAAAGCAGTTGGCAAATCAGGTCTCATGGGCGGAGTTCTCAATACATTTGGAGACATCGATATCGCCGACGAATTACGAGACATGTGGACTCATGAATCCAAAGATCTTGAGCGCACGTACCTAATACGTACTCTTCAAGGCATAGCCAACCAAAAAGGAATACGAATGACTTTCCTTTCTGGAGGTTTGTGCTAGCCTATACCCTTGTACAATATGAGCTAACATTCGAAATTAGACGTAAACTGCTGCGGTGCAGGCCTGGTGCACGATCCTTCTCACCCTTCGGACCATAAGACAATGTATCAAATAATTAGTTCCGCCGTTGTCGCTGCGCCGCCTCCATCTTATGTCCTTAAGATGCTCCACAATAATAAACCACTCTACGTCCCAGCTAATGGTCAGAAGACGACCAATCAAATATCTGATACTAAAGAAGACATGATGGAAATCTTCCAGACCGATACCAACGGTGGTCCTCGAGAGATGAAGAAGCTAATGGGCAGGAGGAATTATGTCGCGTTTGTGGCCTATGATCCTGAGAGCATCAACGGCGGCGCAATGGGGAATGGAAGTATGCACAGTGGTCAGAATGGGCTGCAGAAGTTGAGTCTCGCTGTGGACTTCGTTGTTCAAGGTGATGGTGGGTTCAGTCCTCCTACCAAGTACGGGCCGGTGATTGTTCCAAGTTTGGAGTTTGGCAGATGATGGGATTGCTTGGAGATGAAGAGGAACGACGAATGATGAATTAAGTGTAAATTGGTGGTTATTTGTGAGGTTGGAAATTTCGACACATAATACGTGGGGGCTTGATTTATGACATGATGAAGATGCTTGAGCATATTTTGGGCGTGGAGTTGTTGGATCACGTTGGATTTTTGCCTTCTACTGGTGGTTGAGCCGTGCTGGAAGATAGTGATTGATTCCCATTTTAGAAGCGACATATCTAGCGGTCTAGGGACAAAGTGAATATAAGACACCTTTTCGATACGAGTCGGATGACATATACTCTCGTGCGCGTCAAAATGTGATGGTAAGGTATTCACGGAGGATGAAACGTTTGTGCAATTGTTTTATTAATATTTGCTCAACTCATAGAATGGTGCATTTCGAAGGCAATCCACAAGGACCCTCCTTATCCTTCTCCGGTTCCACTTCTGGTATCTTAGTCTCCTTCTTTCCACTCTCAGCTTTCTCTGGCTTCACCGCCTCTTCCTTCTTCCCATTGCTCTCTGGGCCGGCTAGTCAGGCGAAAGTGACCTTGCTAACAGCGGTTCCAAAGCTCTCTCCCTGGGTGGTAGCAAGCTCCAACTCCAGAGGAGAAGGTTGACGGCTGCCGTCTGGACCGGCAAAGGTACCAGCTCCCCATGGTGAACCACCACGGACCTCAGACAAGTTGGCGAGGATTGGGAAGGCGGTCTTGTAGCCGAGTGGGACGTAGATGATGCCGTGGTGGGCGAGAGTGGACATGGCTGCGATGACGGTTGACTCTTGACCTCCACCTGGGGTTCCGGTGGAAACGAAGACACCGGCGTATTTACCCCAGTAGGTACCATTCGCCCACTGTATACGTGGTTAATCATGGTTTAATAATAGTAAAAGGAGCTCTGAAGGGAGCTTACTTGGCCACCAGTGGTATCCCAGAAGGCCTTCCATTGTGCTGGGAAGTTACCGTATCTGGTTGGGACACCGAAGAGGAAAGCGTCGTACTCCTCGAGCGTCTTTGCGGTAGCAATTGGGTAGTCTGGCTTTGGAGGAGCGTGCATCTGAAAAGGATTGATATCAGTTTCAGGGTCCAAAATGCATGTAGGGTCTTTTTAGTGCGTACCTTGGTCAAGACCTCAGCTGGGAGCGTCTCGGCGATTTGGTAGATGTCGGCATCGATGCCAGCTTTCTTCAAACCCTCCTTTTCAGCTTCAGCGAGCTTGGCGATGTGGCCATACATAGAATACTGTTTTGGTTCATTGTTAGCAATTGATGACTTGTGGTCATGTTGAGTTGGCTCGGTGTTGTTGAGGTTGTTGTTTGCGTCGCTCAGGAACGAGAGTCCAGTGCGGGGTCTAGTGGGATAGTTTGGCTTGTACTTACAAAAACGATTGCGACTTTTGGTGCCATGTTGACGGATCGTTGTATGAAAATGGGAAATTGGGTATCTTGGTATGGTCTTATAAGGAGAAGAGGAAGTATGATGAGTAAATGAATACGAAGTGGTGGATGAGGGGAAGCTGTTTATAAGTCTTGTCGCAGCTGCTTAACATTCCACTTCACGCCAGACCCTAGTTAAGTTGCACAGGGACAAGCGAGTTCAGCGGCCCCGATGGGGATTGATTATGCGATCGTTACTCATCATTTGTGCTGCACTTAGCGAAAAGGCATAGGAAAGATTAGATTCGTCTGTCATCTACCCCGGCGCGCTGACGGGGTCCACCAGATGATAACGTGATGATTGCGAAGCAATGCCCAAGCGGCGGTGATTTCTATTTGCTCCGTCACCATCAGTCAAGAACCAACAAGCCAATAAGTCAGCGCAAACAAACAGCGGGGCGTCGCAAAGTCAATCTTTGCCATGGACATATGCTTCTTCTCCCTTTCCAATTTTCCCTTTGCGTTCTGCACCCACCGGTGGACATGCACGCCGGCTGAATAACGAAATGACAACGCTACCTGCTTGACCGTCCGTCAGATATGGCGATGTGAGCTTGCAATGGTTGGAGACAGATTATGCTTGTTTGATGCAGAGTCGCTCCTCGTTGCCTGTCTTGGGACGGGTGAGTACATAACGACCGATCGCAAGCGCATGCAAGGGACGTCAGTCTTAGTCCGGTCTACTTCATGAACATCGTGACGGGACCTGCTTCACAAAGTTGCGCAACTCGGGATATATAACTCTATCTTGGGTCATCCAGTGAAGCGTTGCTCGAATGGGCAACGAGCATGTTTCCACGACAGGATAAACTTCGACGGACCAGGTCAAAGATGCTTCCGCACAGATCTTCTATTAACCAATAGCACCATTGAGCAAAAGGCCGTTGCCGTTCTGTCAGACCATGGCATATGAGCGAGTTCACCGGAGTCGTTGAGAAGCAGAAATGTGCACGCAGATCAACATGCCGCCAATACCACCACATGGAACTAACAACAAGTAAGGTTGGAAAGATGAAACTCCAAAAGCATGAAGTTTGGAAGTCTGCCTTGAGGCGGCCCACTCGAATTACACCACCACTGATGCAGTACCTAGGTAGCTGGTAGTGAGGTCTGTACGATCAAGTGAAATGTTGATCAAACACTGATTGGAGATTGAAAAAGCTTCTAGAAGGAGAACACTTAAAGCTCTGCCTCAAGTTTGTACTCTCTTACCTGCATAGACAACATCTACGAAGAAGTACCTTGTGCCTGAGGCGACCAATCTATTTATTCAGCCGTGCGCTAGGAACCATCTGTGCTATTTTGATGTCCTGAGATTCAAGGGCGCGGTTCCCAGTCCAAGGCGATTCTGCCTGGGCGTCAAGCGTCAGAAACCAAGAGCAGCGCGAACGAGATAAACTCACCCACCACAGACGACAACTTGCTCTCTTCATCTCCACCCAGCAAGTCTTTACTTTCACAACACTCGAGTACCGTTCGCGACTCACGTCTTTCACCCTCCACTGCAACCGCTGCGCGAACTACTGCCGACAGCCGCCCACCATCGACTGCGCCAGCATATCGAGCATCGTCCTCGACACTCCAATTATCCTTACGCGGATCGGGCGACCCAGCAACATCGGCCGAGTCAAAATCGTACACTTCTTGACCCCAACAAAGACGAAATTAACACCTTCACCTCCGCTCAGGCTCAGGCACACGCTCAGGTAAGCGCACAGATGGTGAGGGGGAGTTGAGAGACTCTGCCCACTCTCCCGAATCTGCCCAACTCGAGGACCAGCCCTACCCGTCGATGCGACGGTTGAGAAGCTCCCTTCAAAGACGACCTCTGCACATATCCAACACATTCACTACATTATTCACGGGCCCTTCTCAATAACGACTCTAATGCTGACACATTTCGGCGCTTTAGGTTCGCACCAACATCTTTCCTGCAAGGTTCGTTTTACGTACCGCGTCGTACCTTGACATCGCGAATCTCTCAACATAATAATTCCTCCTCCTCGGCGCTTACCTTCCCTTCGAAACTTTCAACACGAGCAGAGAAGCTTCCGCACATCAATCTCGAACAAAGCGGTGCTACACACAAGGTTCACGATAACAGATCGCTGTCACTCCGGATTGCGGGGATCTATCTTTGCGACCGCTTCTCGCCGCCTGCGCTTTCTCCTGGGGTAGGTTGCAGCTAGAACATCAGCAACGACGTCAAGCTACACGACAAATTGGGCTATTTCGACTTCTAAGGTTAGAGTCAATTCCGAAACAAAGGCATACAATTTCATATCGACTTGTCGTTGGTCGAGGTCGGTGGATATATCCGTTTCGCATAGCCTCTGGACTCAGCCACAGTCCTGTAAGGCTCTCGCCAACCGGTCCAAACCAAAACAACCTCGTAGTGTTCTAAGAATAATCATTACAACAAAAGTCTGACATGGATCAACAACGTGGAAGGTCTCCCTCTGCGGGGCATCAACAGAATCATATAAGTCGAGGTCCGTCACCGGCGCCGCAATTTCAAGATAATGCAGTTTCGGTAGGATTGGGACTTGCTCTGGATCCAGCACTATCAGATCCAAATCAAACCTTCCTTAATAGCAATTTCAACAACGGATTCATGGGACAGCAACAGAATCAGCAATTCTCGTCAGGTAGCTTGTCCGATCCCGCGTACGCTACCTCGCAGGATTTCACAAATCAAGCCCAATTCGTCAAGCAAGAAGAGCCCTCACCATTTGCTCCTCCACAGCGCAGCTTTACCCAAGAACTGCTTTCCTCAAACTTTAACGAAGGTGATTTTTCTTTATACTCAACGCCAGGCCAAAGTGATCAGTTCGGCGAGCAATCCTTTTTTATGAACGACCCATCACAAGCAGCAGGCAACATCAACCCCGCGGAGCTTGAAATGTCTTCCCCACCGAATCATTCCGCTACTCCCCCGGGACTTCTCCCACCTGGCACTCGAACCCCATCATCGGCACACCAGTCCCCAAGTTTCAACCAAGGCGCCTTCCAACCCTCTCCCGGGCACTCAAGAAATGCTTCTCTCGGTCCAGAGAGCGCAGCCTTTCCACAGGGGCACCAGCAAGAATGGAGTATGATGGCACCTCAATTTACAACGCACCGAAGATCGCCATCCGAGTTTTCTGATGTATCGGTACATTCCGCGAGTCACTCTCCAAATTTAGGGCACCATGACACGTTTGAATCAATAGAGCAGCAGCGATCACCTATGCAGCAGCCTCAAGATCATCTTTATCAAGAGGTACTTGGTATCCAGAACTTTTCTTTGTCGGACCAAATTCCTAGTCCACATCGGGGGCTAAGTCCTGCTCACAGTCCTGCGATCTCACCAAGACTTGTTCCACAGCAGATGGCAGGTCCTAACAATAACTTTATGCTTGGATTGAATAATGGATTTGGACAACCACAGGGCATGTATGGGCAGTCTGGCCAGGAGTCCTTTCCGCAGATGCATGGAAACGGTATGGACATGGGCCAGGCGCCGCTGATGGCTCCTCCTACAATCGAGGTTGAATTTGCGCCCGCATCTCGTCAAAATAGCTTCGAGCCACCCAAACCTTCCTTGGACCAAGATGCGTTAACCCCACCTGATAGAGGTATGTCAAACACAAAACAGAATATGCATATTATACTAACGAAATAGGTCGCAACCGTCGAAGAGCTGTCTCAGACACCGGTTACAGCAATCCTTCAGGCATGGTTCGCCAACACTCCCCAGGAGCTGGAATGGCAGCCGGTCTTGGTTCAAATCTTACCCCTCATATGACCGACTCACATCGATCACTGTCACCAAATGACAGGTCTGGAACTGCTTCACCCAGTAGCAGACGTCGTCAATCAACTTCTGCCCTTCCAAACCGAGACTACATTTTAGGACTTGCAGATCCTGACTACCAGGCGGCCGCGCCTGACAATAACCCTAAACGCGTACAGAAACATCCAGCTACATTTCAGTGCACGTTATGTCCTAAGCGATTCACTCGCGCTTATAACCTCAGGTCACACTTGCGTACTCATACAGATGAACGACCCTTTGTGTGCACAGTTTGTGGGAAAGCATTTGCACGCCAACACGACCGGAAACGGCATGAAGGCCTCCACTCTGGAGAGAAGAAGTTTGTTTGCAAGGGCGAGCTCAAGCAAGGTGGCCAATGGGGTTGTGGTCGTCGATTTGCTCGAGCCGATGCTTTAGGAAGACACTTCAGGTCAGAAGCGGGTCGGATTTGCATAAAACCGCTATTAGATGAAGAAGCCATTGAGAGGCAACGATTGTGGCAGGAGCAGCGTATGCAGCACAACATGCAACAGCCAATAGCCGTTGATGCGAATGGCTTCCCTATGGACGCGAGTGGGAACTACACGCTCCCAGCAGCCCTGCTAGCTCAGTACCCCGCTCTGGCGAATCTGAGTTGGACGGATATGTCGCAAGGGGACGTCGGGTTGGACGATGATCCAAGCGGCAGAAGCAGTTTCGACGCTAGCGGTTCAGAGTACTACGACGAAGGTGATGAAGGAGGATATGTTAGTAGTGGACCGGGACCGCAACAAGGCTACCACCACCAGCCACAAATGAACAATGCGTACAATGGATACTCAAGCGATATTGGAGCTCGGTAGAACATAGCGTTGAGTAATTTTGGTTAGAACTTTATATTCAGGAAATGGCGGATGATAAATACCCGTAATTTGGAGGAAAGAAAGGAGTTTTGGGGGGCCATATGTGATACTATTCTATATCGTATGATCGGGCGCAACTTAGATACCACTCGAATCGCTTTTATCATTTATTCTATTTATCTCAAATATCCATTAGGATGAACCACATTTGAAGATCATATTAAAGACCATTTGGATATACCGTAGCTAATCACATAGGATATTTAGAGTTATGCAATTTTCTGTTCATCTTGAAAGATTCCTTTAGTTGCTGCCGTTCAAGTCTCCATTAGTTATTTTCGTATAACTGGATCTGTCTTTCCAAGTGTGAATTCGCCCAAAACAAAAGTCAATCTGCCAACTAAAAGGAGACTTCTACTTCGTTAACCCTCACTTCTTATAGCGCACCAAACTGACCGAAGAACGCCGTACAATCAATGCACACACTTGAACATAATTTCTTCATATATACAAAACTCATACCTTCCTCCATAAAAAAGCCATCCAAATCAAACAACCTCGCTAATCGACTCCGTCCCCACATAACGCTATTTTATGATGCCATGCAGTCGAACCCATCCAGCGAAAGTCTTACAGCATCGCGACCCCCAAAAACGCCACCATGACCCTTTCCGTGGCGAATCCAAGGACCCAGAGCCGTCCGATTCAAGCCCATTCGTTCCCCCGCAATATAAAATCGCTTTTTCGTTCCTTCGTTATCCATACTTCGTTTCGAGGGTATCCGCAAATTCAAACGCTCCGCTATGCACCAAATACGCAAATCGAACAGGTCGCATTTGACAAGGGGTCACTCTCATTCGATGTTGTAGATCCCCGAGACGATATTCCAGCACCATGTCGCTATCGGATCGCTACTTTTCAAGTCCCGTATATAATCAATCATCAGCGCGATACTTTCTTCGACTTCCGTCTCGAAATTCTCTCCGCACATTGTTGCCCGGATGTCGCGCAGCATGGGATTGTGTCGCGTCATGTGTAAAATGAGGAGGATACCGAGGAAGTTCTGCGACCAGCAGAATAAGTATGGGATTAGCCGTTTGCGACGTGATGTGGGCGAAAGCGTGATGGGCCATTTCAAGCATGTCTATGAGTAAGCGTTAGCTTTTTCGTTGGTTCAGAGTGAAGGACAAACGAACCCGCAAACATTCAGCAACACCTTCCGCATCTTGATGCGACATCATCTCTGGGTAATGTAGAGCCTTGAAAATGAAAGGTCGGTAGACCATGTACTTGGCGTAATAATACCGCGTTCGCAATAAGGCCACTTGAATGTCATAAACGTACATGTAATGTACAGGCTCACGATCCAAATCGGTAGTGAATAAAGATCGTCCAGCGCGACTGATTCGTTGTGGGGAGAGTTCGGGGTCCAGGGAATGATTGGCCTGCGGATTTTCCTTCTGAGGGCCAGGAAAGGCAGCTGAATCTTGGTCAGACCATTGAAGATCGGATGGAAGCATTCCTCGCCACTGCGTCAATCTTGAATTTAATTGCTTCAAGACACTGGGAGTGGCGCCAACAAAGTCCTCGCTATTCGAATTTGAGGATGTCTCGGGGTTTCTCATCGCTGAATTGGTTAGCATCGACGAATGTACATATCCTATTCCATTACAAGTTAACTCACAATCATTAATAGCGTTGTGGAGATCAGCGCATAATCTTCTAAGCGCAAGTTGCGACGCATAGTGAGCTTCGAAATGCGAGGCCTGGTTCCCACGATGATCTGCTTCGCAGTATGCAGCATCAAAACTAGGCAAAGGAACGTTGGGCTCTAGAGCCATAATACCAGTGAGTGGCAGATCGAGCTCAAGATGCAACCCCCTGTTGATGTTAAGCCACAATCACCACTGTCGAAAAACATCAGGTTGAACTTACGTTTCCATCAATACGCAATGCCAATAGGCACGCTTGGTAAGATCGCCTCGAGGAGAATTCCAATCGATCGTGTTACTACTGTACCCGTTAGAAGAGGTTACGATATAGCAATCAGACGACTTACCACGTGACCATGATTTGACAGGCTTGTGACGCGGACACGGTCAGTCTCCAGAAGTCCTGTTTGATGTTCAGTATGCAAATTAGGCAAGTGAGTCCAAATGGTGGCACGTACGAGGTGTCGAGAGCAATTCTCATAGTAAAGCCTGTAAAAACATCGTAAGTCACTTCCTCAAGGCTTATGGAGCGAGTATGCAGGAGACTTACGCTGCCAGGGAAAAGATTTGGACATTTTCGAGATCACACTTCGTGAGCACGAAGCCAAGACGTTTCCTAGCCTCGTTGAATAGCGAAAGGCCAGGGGGTTTGTGTTGAGAGCCTCCCCTAACGCCACTAGGCCTGCCTTTATATGTTTCAACGGGTATTCCTGTAGCGCCCTCGATAGCCAGCTCGCCAAGTGCAAATACCAATAACGCCAACACCGATTCAGTCTCGCCATCGAACCCTTCCGTCTGGACCATTGCGAGAATATCTGCCATAAAATTCTGTCTGTCCATGAAGGGGTATAACATATTGAAAGAATCGAAGTATGCATTCGCTAAACGCTGCATCACGTCCCGGGTCAAGTCGGGAAAGGTGACTCTGGGACCGCCAGTAGCCCTCGTTGCTGGTGTTTGCATCCCAAGAAACGCGGTTTCTTCCAAACATTCGTCCATGGGCATAGGGCCCTGGCCCTGATGCATGCGCACTATGAACGCAGAGCCCTCTTGTTCCAAACTCCTCATGTCTCCAACATTGGCTGGCACGGCTTGTATCAAAAGCTGCTGAATAGCGGGCCATGTGAGCATTTTATGAGCGGCAGAGGCATGTCGGTATGGCTGACTTCTGGTTCCACGGCCGGGACTTGGTTGGTAAGAGGGTAGACGATTAGTATTAGGGTAGGAATATGAATTTGGATCGGCATCGACGGCAGAAGAGTGCTGACTTGAAGGAGATTGTTGTGTAGGTCCAGAAATAGAAGCATGTGAATCTCGAATGGGAATTCGGTCAAGTTTGCCTTCCAGGCTCTTCAGCCGGTCCAGGATTTCAACAAGAGTCTTGTCCTTTCTGCAGATTTACCAGTAAGTCCCATTCAGTGCGCAAATGTAAAGAACGTCAATCGGAACGATGGGCATGGTGTGAATCCGAGGGTCCTATGTCGCACTTACTTGGTCGGTTGAGGCTCTCTGTACCTACATTCCAACTTCATCCGCTGGCACAGGCTACATTTGGGGCGTTGCTCATCACATTTCTGCTTCCTCTGCCGGCAAGTTTCACAAGCCTTATCAAAACGTCAGTGTCTTGCAGCCGGTATTCGTTGAAATGGTCGCAAATACGCGCACTAGAGCTCCTAGAGGCGGCTTGCAATGTTGTGAAAGAGACTCGATGCTTACTTGAGTTGCAATAGCTCCCCGTTGTTGTCGAGAGACATTTTGGTTGTTAGAAGATGCCGCGCTTGACCCCCCCGACTCCATGATTCATGGCTGGTTCCTCCACAGGCGCCTACAGAGTTGGAGACAACGAGTATTCTTCTTGGGCGTGAGCTTTAAAAGAGAGCAAAAAACCGCGATTGTCGGTGTACACGAGTGAGTTCTGACACGTCTCCAGCGGCTGGGAATGCTACCGTGGTGGAAGCTCGACGATACTTCTTCTGCAACCGTTCTTATTGTAAACTTATCGGTTTGCTTGTCGGGCCGGGAAAGTGAGGCACGAGTGGAAAAAGTCTTTGATGTCGGAGGCGGAATGAACAGTTGCGAAATGGTACGTCTGGTCTGGTGCAGAACAGCTCCGGCGCATTGCCGCTGTCGCGAGGCCCGTCTCGTCACGATTTAAAAGCGTCAGATCCAAAAACGTTGCTGGTTGGCTTTTCCATCAAGCAGAGCAAACACGCAGGTCTAGACAGTCAACGGTACTGGGTCTTGGGGGTGGCGACAGCGAGAGTGTGTTGTGTGGTGGGCGAAGCGATTTGGCGATGAAGGGTGCTTTTTCCACGCGAAATATGCAAGAGTTGGAATCGAGGTGAGATCTGGAGATGGGCTTGTGGATTTTTGCCTAGGGAGACATGGCAGAAATGCTCCTGTCAAATCAGAATGGATGAACTGGCGGAGTGTACGTCCGCTTCCGATCATAGAGACACGGTCAAATGCTTCGCCCAGAGCCTTTCGTCAACGACAAAGACTCGTCCGTGGCCCTCTCAACCTTCTCCGACTCCAGTTGTCTGACAAATTGATCAATCGCCTCATTCAAAGCCCGTTGGGAGGAGGGAGCTGCTGTTAGCCAGATGCCCGCGACCGCCGACCAAACCCTTCGACGAAGGTGTAAGTGCGATCGTGACGAGAGCGAACGAGAGCGAACAAGCACTAGCTTTCAAGCTGCTGGCGATGGTCCACCAGGCTTGTCATTGAAGATTGGGAGCTGGTGATGGTCAGCTTGGTGAGGTGTGTCGCTTCCTTCTGGCTTTCTACCACCGACAGCCTCGACCTCAGTCCAGTCTCCATCCACAGGTATGACAGGCCAACGAAGGTCGTCTGTGGATCGAGCGGTACCTAGGTAGGACCTAGGTAGGTACTCGTGGACAGACGTCAGAAGAGGACAAGCTAGTCGCGGCGGAGATCACTTGACTATTGAGAACGCAACAGCCATTATTGACCACGGACGGCGTCTAATTGTCACTCGCTTCGTGGTGCTGGACCTACTTCGAAGTACATGTGGGTCACATTGGCAACAACCATTTCTACTGGCGAATTCGCGCGAATGTCAAGAGTCAATCCCCGGTACCTGGCTCGCCGATAGAAAGGCTCGTTCAAGGAACGGTAGGTGTGGTCACGTTTGCGACGGCGACACTCACGCGCACGCACAAGCACCGCGGAGACAGCGTCCGCAATCCGCAAGACTGTACCAGCAATACTTTGCCGCTCCATGTGATGTGTCGATTGCAGCAACGTCATTCTCGATCATGTGAAGGCGGAGAGCAGCTGGTAAGATTCCTATCTTGAGTGTTGAGGATGGTCGGTTGTCGGTGCTGGCTAGGTTGGCAATTATTGGGAGGCAGAGGCAGAATCGGATTTGGGGCAACCGCAACGAATTGTAGGGTTACCTCGTGCGAAGTGATGGCTTCGGAAGGTCGAGTTCTCCTACCAACCAGAGCAAATTATTGGTCTTATCTGCCTATCCAGTGATTAAAACAAACAGTTGAACCTTATTTAATGGGCGACGTTGGCAATTAAGGGTCCTACGGATCAGAGACCCGTGCAAATCACGTCGAGCTCTGGTCGATCGAGCCTAAGGTGGGCCAGCAGTCTCGAGCGCTCCCGCCAAAACTTCTGTATCAACCATACGAATACGCAATTTAACTACAGAGAGCAAGAGGGAGAGTAATGAATTGAATACTCCTCGACTCGTGGCAAATGGCTGTTACATACATCATCATGTCTCTCGTCTGTGCTGGAATTCAACTTCCCACTACGTCATATGTTGTACGTGTTAACCACAATCTTCTCATCCATGGCCCGAATCTCCTACAGATTTGCTGTGCTAGCACCCAAGGGAGACACTTGAGGTCAGATTGGTAACATCGAGTTAATCTCGCTCTCCCACGACACCCTTTATGGGGGTCATATGGCGTCTTCCACCCCCAATCACCTAGCTTACTGGCTCGGCTCGAACGGTGCCTTTAACTAAATCATAATAGGTTGGAGTAATCATGCGCAGCTCTTTTTTGATTGGGCAATCACCGGTACGCAATCCTATTGAAGGAGACCTTGATCATTTTTGGGAATTGGGTGTAACCGTAGTACATGATACATCAGACGCAATCTTTGTCGCTTACGAAACTTCCAACCCAATTGCTTCCGCAGATTCGACCAGATGGACTTTCCAGATGGACTTTGGCAATGACCATGGCCGGCTTCTGGCTCATTGTTTGCTGTGGTTGAGATTGGGGGCTCACCAGCACATACAACAACGATGGGATACCTCCTTGCCTGAGAAAAAGGATATATTCTCTCTGGAACCGATTCTTGCTTGATACATTAAGTAGATACACTACACCACGTTGTCTCTTCTAATAAGTCTAAATTCGCGTGGTGGACAAGGAGTATTCGAAATTCGTTTCCTATCTTTGTTGTATTCGGAGACTGCCCCGTCAGTCTTGTAACGTATCGATGGCTCTTAGCAATGATTCGTAATGCAACAAACGCTATGCAGCAGTTTCTCGAGCACCACGCCCATCCATATACATGATACAATTTTTTTTCAAGCATGAAGAGCATTCACCGTTAAAGAGTTTTATAAAGTTACTCTATAAGGACTTCTCCGGGTACGCTTAGTGAAACAGAGTCAATTGCAGACTCTGACAACCCAATCAAACTAGCCAACCTCTCTGAGTGTCTTTAAAACTCACAAAGTAGGAGGTTCAAAGCAGATACTTTAAACCCCTAGTCAAAGATGCATCAACTTCAAATCGACTTGTTCTAAACAATCAAACTCACAGATACGATTTCTGTTCTATCGAAAACTCAGCTGAGCACTCATTCAACCTTCATTAATTACATTCAAGCCAAACTAGCCCTCATCGCCGCATTAGAAGACAAAAATCACCTTTCTGTCCACAAAGAAATACCTGGCTTATAGGCTATGCCGATATGCCTACGTGTCTCCTCACCTGCTGGTTTTCTCATCTGATATTTCAATTCTTTCCCCATCTTCTTTAATACTCTTAGCAAGAGAAACAGACAAGAAAAAACATCCATGCTCTTCGCTTTTTGAATAATAGAAAGTTGCGTTTAAAGATATGCTGTTATATTTATTATGCAAAGGCTGAAGATATAATATATTTTGGCATCAAAGTTAAATTGTTCTGATATAACCCAAATATCATACCTAGAAAATGCAAATATTTAGACCTAAATGGCCCAGAAATAGACCGAATATTATCGCGATAGAGAAAAACGAAAATCCTTGCGAGCGAATGGGGGCCAAGGTATTTAATAGCTACCACCATTGTTGAGTCTATCGAAGACTTATCTAAGCAACCTCATTTAACCATCATTACTTACAGAGGGGCTAGACTAGATATAATCGTTCACTTCTCAGGCACATAAAGTAGAGTTAGAAGATATATACCAACTCCAGGTCGACCTTTTCCAAAGACTCGGATTCACGAACACAGAGGTAAACTCTACCAAATGCAACGACGTGCCACTTTTGCCCATAGCAACAGCGCCCAAATGATGTGTTTACTATATGAATTCCTAATTTCCTAGAATTTTCTATAGAAAATGCCAGTCTTCAGAATATCATACACGAAATCAAAATACCTACTACCCCATCAACCATCGTGATCAACTACTAGACATCACTATTTCTAGGCGATACCTCCACAACAATTTTATAATTTTCTTGTGAACCCAATCTTTCACTCTCTACAGTTATACAGCCATAAATCCATCCCAACAATCTCTTAAACAAAACAAATCTCCTTCCCATTTCAGTTTCTCACCCTCAACTCCAACATCCAGTCGCCAATCCAAACCCCAACCCGAATCCCCTCTTCCCCCTTCCATCTCCACTACCCAATTCATATTTTCCATCCCTCACATCTACCTGACAAGCTCGGTATCACCTCTTCCTCCGACTCGAAGCCGAATATGGATTTGTGTCATTCATTTCAATGGAAATGTAAAAGAAAAAAGCCTCATGAATTTCCACACCCGTTGTCGCTCAGCAGTAAATCTACCCGCGCTCACAGGTGGCCAAAACTCAGGACATCGTATCAGCGCTGATGTTTCAATATGAGGAAATCTTGGTGACTAGGAAACTGATGTTTTCCAGGAGGATGTGATAGCCTTTCGCGATAATGAGATGGAGACTTGTGATTTGAGAGGATGTTAGGAAAGAGCTCAGAAAGATTGAAGATATGTTTCAAACCTAGGAAGATGTTTTCTCACGACAACCGTCATCTAATACCGTAACTAGATCGTTTTCAAGTTAGCTTTCAAGGTTAGAAGAGCAGTGGTTTGCCGTAAGGGACGGTGTTTATGAATTACATTGCGGATCTAAGGATGTTTTGAGGGTCGCCTGAATGATCAGATGAGGTATAGAATGGAAGATGGCTAAGTGTGAGAAATTGTGATGATTGTTATGATGAGATTGTCAAAAATCCTTAGCACACTGATTCATATTCTTCATGTTTATCATATGTTGTTACCTGCGCATATTTCAGCGCCACACCTCCAGCTATCCGAATCCAAACCCATCGATCCTCATATTTCATTAAATCGAACTTCCATGCACCCACATATCAAACTCGCAACCATCCACCATCAATACCCCTGCGCCCTCCGCCACTTCTCCTCCCACCCCTCAAAATACGGACTCTCATCCAACGTCGCGACTTCCCAATCCGCCTTCACCACCCCCTTCTCAACCTGTTCCCTCGCCCACTCCTCAAGTGCAGGAAGTACCATATGCTCCACATGCCACGTATTCTTATACTCCATCAGACTCCTCTTCCCCTCCCTCAAAATCTTAATCAGCAGCGCAGGAATCTTAGGTTCATCTCTGAATTCCGTGACAGGCGTGAAGAGCGCTGTGAAATTGAAGACGATGGCACCGCTGAGAGGCATACGACGGAGGGTTTGCCAGTCTACTCTCAGATTACAGTCCTCGATTTTGAGATCTGGGCTTTGGACTTCTCGGAGCTTCTCGTGCGGGTCGCCTGGAGGCATGAATAATGGGCAACCGACCTCCAAGCCCCAGGATCCGCGCTGGATTGGGGCGTTGGTGGGCATTTTAGAGAAATAACGGTCCATGGAGAATTGCATCTTTTCTTTGTAATCTGGAATTGAGCCGTGGATATCGCGGAGTTGGAGACCGAGTTTGGTGGATACGTTCCAGCCCAGTGAGGAACAGATGACACCGGCGCGCATGTAATACATGCCATCAACTTCGTTTCGGAGGACGATGGCGAAATCCTCAGGCACGTTGTTGAGAAGGATATGGAGGGGAGGCTGGCTCTTGATTTCGGTTGTAGTGTTTAGTAAGTTATTGGTAAATATCTTTCTGTCCTTTGATAGCGAGAAATGAAGCGGAAAGCGGTGACAGTAGAAGAGTAAACATTGCTCCATCAATTCTTTACAAGCGAGTTCGGATCCTGGTAGAAAATCGAGAACTTTGTTGCCGTGAAGACGGAAGAGCTTCTGGCGCTCCGCAATCATGGAAGGATATGTTTTATCAATTTCTAACCACCAGTCCGGCTCCATTTTCGTGAGAGCTGAAGGATGTTAGTGGAAGACCGACGCAGTCAATTGGGCATACCCACACATTGTCTGGTGATAATTCCATCTTAGAGGACGATATGGCCGTGTAACAGCCGTAAGAGGATTGAATTCTTTGAACGGTGAGGGGTTTGGAACACCAGTCAGGATATCATAGGCTGGAAAGTCACCCAATGCTATGATCTCTTCAGTAGACAAGCCAGTAGGGGTGTATTTGGGAGAGCGAGTGTCCATATATGAGGTAGTCATCGGCAGCAGATCCTTGACAAACGATCCAGCCGCAGGTTCAGGAGATAATAAAATCTTCTTCTTCACTGCTGGCAAAGACTTTGCAAGCTGAGGGAGAGTTGATCGCAGGGAAGGCGGAAAGGTTTCGACAAAGTCCAGCGCTGCAGGGGCAGCTTTCTTCTCTGTGTTGCCTGGCGAAATAGAACGTGGTGGTGTTGAAGCTCCAGAAGCACGCCGCCGAGGGAAGCGAAATCGATCCAGGACGGAGACTCTTTGACGACGGCTGAGAGCTATCAGAGAAGAAACGAGAAATACAGCACCAAAGCCGAAGACCCAATAACTGGGAAATGACTGGATGAACGCCATGGCGCAGCTATACTTGGAATCGAAAGGCGGTAGAGGTTGGCGTTAGAGGTCTTCCTAAAGATATGAGTGTGACTTGTGAATTAGTATATCAACTCTCGATCGTCAGACTGCCCGAAATCTGAGTCGCGAACATCCAAACAAGTTGCCAAAAATCGAGATACAGCGTCTTCGACTTCGAGGAATATATGGCAACGGGAGGAATAGATCTCAGCTTTGAGTAGCCACCCGTTACCACAGATGTAAGTCGCTAGACCCCCACTTCGCATGTAGACTGGGCGATGATGCAGGTTAAACAGCCCAGAAACCACTTGTACCGAAGAGGTAAAAGAATCAGGAAACAGTCGTAGAGGTCTTCGCGCGCGCTTGAGACCCGGCAGCTTGCATGTGAGGCATTTTTTTGAGCGTAGAAGCAGTGAAAGGAAAGGTGATGAGAAGGGATGGGACAACTGTGAATACCACCTGGGCACCCCGAGAAGGAACCAAGTCCTGTGTATCATTCACGGTCGTTTGTAATGTGTCCAACAAACAACCTGAAGTGAATAATTGACGACTCACCCCACTGCATCTCTTCAGCTCCCCTCGGCCATCCGCCCACCCTCGAACGACAGCCACCTGCCGGTCTGAAGCAGTGAAGATCCAAAGCTGTCCCAATGCGGTCGACAGCGGCCGTTCCCCCAGCAAGCCCACCGCCTCTTCCCATATACATCCGGTCACGTTGCCGATTCGTAGTGCGCACCATACCCAGCGGGCATCGTATCAAATGCGTCCTGGGTCGCGCCCCTCGAATCCCATCCGTCCATGTCGACGAGACCAAGGGACAACTGGACCGCTTCTGGTAGGCCGCTGCATCGGAATCGTAGGGCAGGACGGAGTGGTGGGCAGACCCAAAACATGTCGTGCGTGGTCCACCCAGCTCGTCTTCGTTATCGCTGGGAGACTTTTGCCCCATTAGGCTTGGACATGTTTAGGGATCACGTGTTGGCCATGGGACGGCTAACAGCTATATCAAGATATTTATAGAATACAAAAAATATAACGCTGGTAAACTGGTATATTATGTTGCAGTAGATTGAAGGGTATATATAGTCAACTCAAACGCGCCCACCATAGCTCTAACAAGTCATCGAGACCACACCCCGCGCCGTCTTTCCTATGCAGATACACTACGATACAATGCTCCGTCTCCCAAAATAAATATAGTGAAACGAACAACCCTGGGGTATGAATACATCCTAACACGTAAATCCCACCAAATCATTCGCTAAACTCCGGCAAAATGCTGCATTCGCTAAACCCCAGCTATCTTCTTCCAACGACTGAAGAGACCGCCAGATGCAGACGGACCTCGAGACGGTGTGGTTTCGACAAAGCCAGAGTCGCGTCTACTGGATCTACGTTCTCCTTGGCTGCCCTCACCACTTCTCACGGTTGCCTTATCACCGCCGCGTCGAGATTCGCGTCTTCTCCGACGTTCCTCTGGATCCTCATCGCCATACTTAGACTGCCGTCTTGACTTGCGACGTCTGGCATTGTCATCTCCATCTTTCTCTTCGCCCTCCGCAGATGGAGTGGCTTCCGGTGGCGGCGGCGCATCAGAGTGATCTTTAACCCACGAGTCTGTGCCAGAATGCGGCCATCCAGGCTTCTCCTTCTTACGTTTGGCATCCTTATAAACAGGGCCATCCGCAGGCATGAACTCGGCATCTCGTGATTTGCTGCCATTGCGAGAGTCAAAGTAATCTTCTGGAACTGGAGCCGACTTCCGTCGACTGGTCCTTGGGGTGCTGCCGCCAGCTTTAGCAGCGCGTCGCTCTTCTCGTCTTTTCCTGCGCTCTTCGTCCTCGGCGGGCGGATCCATATGTGATCTTCTTCGGTCAGACTTTCGTCGGCGTTCAGGATCTTCTGTTAACGGTTCACCATCAGTTTGTGCAGATTCCTTTTCAGCCTTACGAGCACGACGTCGTTGTCGGTCTGCTTCTTTTGCCTCAGCGGCTTGTCGATCGGCCTCCTCGCGAGCTTTCTGTTCACGTCGTGCAGCGCGTCTCGCTTCCCTGTCCTCTTGCTTACGAGCTTCCTCTTGCTCCTCTTGCTTCTTGCGACGATCTCGCCTCTCTTCATCCTTGGCCCTTCGAGACTCTTCAGCAGCTTTGTCTATAGCTTCCCTCTCAGCTCTCCTCGCGTGTCGAGCGGCCCTACGAGCCTCTTGGTCCTCGTCGGCTGCTCCACCAGACATGGTCATATCGCGATCCACCGTATTAGATCTCTCTCTGGTAGGACGTTTGATTTTTCGATCCTCACGCCTCAATCCACGTACGCCTTCGTCATCCGTAACAGCCGTGCTTCGTCGTTTGTTATCGGGTCGAGATTTGGAGCTTAAAAGACCACCGAACATGCCACCAAGACTAGCCCTCTTCGCGCTTGAATCAGCTCTCTTCAATCCAGGTATGTTTTCGGACGGGCCTCCGGCGTCGACCATAACAATATCATCTTCTTGTTTCCCCTGTTTGTAACCTCTTGCATTAGCATAATCCCTTGAGAATGACGGCGGCTCTCTGGACCGGTACGGCATGTCGTCCATTCCAGGTGGCATTGGCACTGCTGGTGGCGGGGCGCCTCGGAAGATTGGGTCTGAAATTACCTTCGATTTTCCTTTTCGTTCCCGACTGGATCGCTCAGGGGCTGGTTCTTCGACCATCACAATGTCATCATCATCATCAATGATACCTGAAACAGTCGTGTTAGCTATGTCAAAAGGTGAGGTGAGATTTGTTTATGTGACTTACCACGTGATTTGCTCTGCTTTTCTGACTTGCTTCTCGAAAGTTTGCCAGGGGTGATTCCCAGCATCCTTGCGGCCTTTGCTGACATCTCAGGCGGATCTTCTGGAGGTGGAGAAGGCATGCCTGATTCATCGAGGACTGCAGAGTGGCGACGACTTGTGCGGCCGCTACTTGGCCGTTTCTCAGAGGTCGACTTGGATCGTGACAAAGTGGGTGTCGCGCCAAACATGCTCGATATCCCCCTCGAGACTGGTGGGCGATCGGCTTTTTCAGACGAAGAGTCTTTCGAAGATGTTTTCTCTTCCTTCTCAGGTGATTTTCTAGAAGACTTGGAACGTTTCACGTCGGAGTCCTTTGCTTTCTCCCTAGAAGATTTCTTTTCCTTCTCGTCTTTGCGTGGAGTTGCACCCCATGCGCCCCACGAGGAAGTGCCATCGCGAACTACTCTAGGACGCTCTTTCTTGGATGATGATTTGGGCTCGGGTGGTGGAGTTGGCGGTCTTGAGATGGCGACCTCTTCCTTGGGCTCCTTGACTTCCTTGGGCTCTTTTGCTGCTTTCTTTTCTTTGCTAGATGACTTACTCTTGCTAGACGCTTTGGGCTCAACGGGCATCTCAAGGTCAAGCAAATCGTCGTCGAAATTATCAGACGGGAAACTACCGGGGACGTCTTTAGATACTGATTTGGGTGGAGGTGGTGGGCTGGTCTCCTTAGACGCGGATTTTTCCTTCTCCTTTTCTTTCGAGGACTTGGACTTCTTCTTATCCTCCTTAGTCTCCTTTGGTGGCGCTGGAGGCGGGGGAGGCGGCGGGGGGGCGAGATCTTCTACTTCCTTCGCCGGCTCGAATGCTTTCAATCGATCAGCAATCTTTCCTCCGGAGACTGGTTTCTTGGTAACGGTTGATGCCCTCATCAAAGCTGCAGCTGCAGCAGCAGCACGAACACCAGACGAGGACGATGTGTCCTTGGACGTGCGGGTGGCTTCTGGAAGGTTCGCTTTGTCAGCACCCGCACTTGCAAGATTCGCAATCTCGTCTCGCGGCGTAGCGGCGGCACCCTTGCTCGACTTTTTGGCACCCCAGAAACTAAAGACCTCGGACTTGTCCTCGATTTTGTCGACCCCGGAATCCAGATCGATGAGCAGATCCGCTTCAGGCGCAGCCTCCACTTCGATTTCCGGCTCGGGGTCTTTGCTGGCCTTCCCCTTCTTCCCCTTTGCGGAGGCCTTGGTATCCTTTTTGGAGGACTTCTTGGCATCTAGAGCCGCTTGTTCTTCAGCCTCCTGATCCTTGAGAGCCTGCTCCTCCGCTTCTTTGGCAAGCTTCGCTTCGAGCTCGTCCGCGTCTTTCTTCTTTGCAGCATCATCCAATTTCTTCTGCTCCTTCTTGGAGAGCACCTTCTTTGGTTTCGCTGCCTCGAGCGCGGCGAGCTTTTCCTCGGCCTCCTTTTGACCGGCCTCCTCTTTGGCTTTCCGCTCTTCTTCGGCCTCTTCTTCCTCTTTTCTGATACGATCTGCCTCCTCCTGCTCCTCTTTCTCTTTCTTTGCTTTCGCATCAGCTTCTGCCTGCTCCTCCTTTTTCTTCTTCTTGTCGAACTCCTTCTTCTGTTTACTGGACATCTTTTTGTAGGCAGCTTCCTCCTCCTCCTTAGCTTTCTTCTCATCCCTCTTCTCCTCCTCTTTAGATTTCACCTTGGCGGCAGGGCTTCCAAAATCTCCCCACATATCTGCTTCAGGTTCGGTAAGATCCATTGCTGGGGGTGTCGGGGCAGGAGGTGGGGGATCGTCGACCTTCTTGGACTTTGACTTTTTGTCCTTCTTAGTGACCGCTCCCCAGCTGGAACCCCAATTGTCTTCGGCAGGTTTGGGTTCATCAACAGGCTCTGGTTCTGGAGTCGCAATCTCCTCGACCATCTCGAAAGGACTCTTAGTCTTCTTACCCTTCTTGCCTGTCTTGGAAGCGGAAAAGCCCCATGAATCTTCTGCTGTTGGTTCCTCAACTATATCGGGTTTGATAGGCTCGTCTAAGTCTTTCGTCTTTTTCTTTTTATCCTTGCTCTTAGAATTGGTAAATGACGAGAAGAAATCGTCGCCACCGGCGTCGCCAACTTCAGGGACGACTGGAGGTACATCTTCTTCGATAATGGACTTATCCCCCTTGCCGTTCTTGTCGGTTGATTTTTGACCCCAGTTCATCCAGTCATCATTGCCGGAAGATTCGATGGCTTTGATGATAGGCACAGGCTCTGGAGATGTCTCCTTTTTCCCTGCCTTCTTTTTGTCCTTTTTACCTGTGATGCCCCAAGACGAGCCCCAACTCGATGCTTCTTCAACCTTTTCTGGTTCAGGAGGAGGAGGTGGAGGCTCGATTTTGGATTCTGCGACGGTCTTGTCCTTCTTACCTTTCTTGTCCTTCTTACTCCCGAACATACCCCAGCCGTCATCAGCGGTTTCCTCTACATTAGGCTCTGGTTCAGGATCGGGCGCAATCTCAATCGGAGCAGGAGGTTCTTCGGTGGCTTTGCCTTTCTTGTTCTTCTTGTCTTTCTTAGAAGTGGCAAAAGAGCCCCAACCACCACCATCATCAGGCTCTTCCTGAGCTGGTTCCGGAACGACTGCTTCGACCTTAGGAGGCTCCTCGACGTCAAAGGCGTTCTTTCCCTTCTTCTTTTTCTCTTTCTTTGATGTTGGAACAGAACCCCAAGCATCGGCTTCGGGCTCTGGCTCTGGTGCAGGAGGTGGAGGAGGTGGGACTTCTTCAATTTTGATCGGCTCGTCTTTCGTTTTCTTCTTCTTGCTATTTTTCGTAGAGAAGGATCCCCAACCGTCATCCGCAGGTTCTTCAACGATAGGATCTGCTATGACAGGCTCTTCCGCTTTGACCGGCTCATCGATCGTGTTCTTGCCTTTCTTCTTCTTGTCTTTTTTAGATGTCGTCGAAAACCCCCAACCAGAATCAGCTTCCACCTCTGGCTCTGGTGCAGGAGGCGGAGGAGGTGGTATTTCTTCTTTGATTTCTTCAATGGCGCCCTTGCCCTTCTTCTTCTTGTCCTTTTTGGAGGTCGCAACAGAGCCCCATCCATCGTCGAGGGGCGCGGCTTCGATTTCAGGAGGTTCGACAACTTCGGCAATCTTCACAGGTTCCTCGACCACGGCTTTACTTTTCTTTTTCTTACCTTTTGCAGCACCGAAAGATCCCCAGCCGTCATCAGCAGGCTCTTCAGCTACGGGATCCGCAATGACAACGGGCTCCTCTTTGATTTCCTCGGGCTCGTCAAAAGAGCCAAACCCAAATGATGCCTTCCCCTTTTTTGCTTTCTTGTCCTTCTTGGAGCTAGAAAATCCCCAACCGTCATCGGCGGGTGCCTCTGGTTCTGCTGGTGGTGGCGGGGGAACCTCTTCTGGCTTAACTACATCGTCCACGATATTCTTACCTTTCTTTTTCTTGTCCTTTTTGGAGGTCGCGACAGAGCCCCATCCATCGTCAACAGCGGCCTCCTCTTCCACTGGCGGCGGCGGCGGCGGTGGTGTAATGTCATCTTCTTTTGCAGGTTCGTCCCAGACGTTAAACGTAGCTTTCTTCTTTTTCTTATCCTTCTTATTACCGGCCGGAGCCCATTCGTCTTCGACAGGGGGCGGTGGATCTACAGGCTTGGGCTCTTCTGCGGGAGGTTCCGGCTCGCCCTTCTTACCCTTCTTCTTTGTGGTTTTGGCAGCTCCCCATCCTCCCCCCCAGTCGTCTTCAACCGGCGGCTCTTCAGCTATAGCAGGAGTCTCATCCTTGGTTTCTTCAAAATCCATAAAGCCCCCTTTTTTCTTCTTCTTATCCTTTTTGGAAGCAGCGGTGAATCCGAAATCGAAGGTATCATCTTTTTTGTCTGGCGCATCAGGGTTGTCAGTCTTCTCTTCGTCAAGGGACCCAAAGGTAAATCCAGTATTCTTCTTCTTAGGCTTCCCTCGATCTATACTCCAGGATGTATCACCTTCAGCTTCTTTGTCCTTCGTTTCCGTTGCATTAGTAGCAGAGAAATCCCATGTACTAATTAAAGTCAGCATCTCTATAATCGACAGTGATACTCAGTCCATTCCCGTAAGTCTCCAGAGTAACATCCTCGTCATGCAATTTGTACAGATATACCTTTGGGTTTGTAGATGGACGCTCATGTCTCTGGTCTTTATTTGCAGGTAATGAAGTGCAGAATAGGGTTTCTGCAAAAGTACAGATGAGTAGCTTACCTTGATGTTTTGGCAGTTTTGGAATCCCCTGTGGCCCAACTTGAGCCCCATGTTCCCACTCCAGAAGCACTTGATTTCGAACCTGCACCAGAAAACCCTGTATCAAAACTTAGATCTAACCCCGGACCGTCGTCTAACTTAATCTCATGAAACGCATCAAACTTTTCCACGGGTGGATCTGGAGCCGCCGCCGGTGTAGGCTCTTCTGCCTTTGCTCCTTTCTTTCCCTTCTTCTTACCTTTGGCTGGCATAAAACTCCCCCAGTCGTCGTCAGCTGGAGGATCACCGCCACCAGCGTCACCATCTCCATTCGTATCGTCCTTTTTATCCCCAAATGCGTCGCCGGCGCCAGCACCGGTATCTCCAGCACCCTTATCAGCACCATTCTTGTCCTCGCCAGCCCCTTCCTCCTTCTTCTTCTCATCGTCATCCCAACCACCTTGGGCTGCACCACCCTTCTTCTTCTTATTTTTTGCCGCCTGGGTGAAACCTTGATTAGAGTTGAAGTCCACTTTTGAGGCCATCGCGGGGTCGTGGAATAGGGAGGGCTCGTCTTGTTTTTGCGGCGTATCCGTAAGAATGAGGTGGTCGGTCTGGAGTGAGGGGTGCTTTTCGGCACGAGCTTCGGTATCGTGGAAAACGGTAACCTCTGCGGTCTGTTGTGGAGAATCATCACCACCTCTCGGCGAGCAGTCTAGCCTCGTTTTTGGAGTTTTGAGGGGTTCGACGTCCTTTCTGCACCGCCACGTAAGTGCTAGATCCGGAAATATATCCTATAAGTTCGTCAGCGATCTGAGCTGTTCACGATCCACACCGCTGTCCTGCGGCGGGCTTCGGCCACTACTGCACTGCACGACAGCAGCAGCAGCAGCCATGTCGAAGCATAGACGTATATAAGAACATGAAAATTATTGAATAAGATCGCATTTGGTCGTACCAGTCTTGTTGATTCAGGTTTCTGGGTCCGCAATTCAACCCATGCCTTGGCCAGAAAGCTCAATCGAATGCGCGTGTCCTCCGCAGTCCAATTCCCATCATCCAATCCAGTCGTCCAAGAATGAGTCGTCCGTAATCCATAATCGTTCTCTGGGCGACAGTCGCCACACTTTAAGACCTCGACAGCTGCCATTCTGATTTCTCAAACTGGTGTATTTACTGTTTCGCGTCAGACTCATCGAGGCTATCTGGCCGTGGAGCGCAAAAAGAAGGCTGTTCGGGATCGTAAATGTCGACACGAAAAAGTTCTTTTCTCTTGCAGATTTGAGAAAAGCTCGCAGCCCTTGGGTCGTCTAGAGCGAAGCGTGTAAAATATGAGGTCGGAAAGGCGACAAATTCCTCACAATGAAGGAATGGAGATTCTCCTGAATCAAGTTGTCGGCAAAAGAAGTGGTACTGTGCAATGAAGGATGGTCACACGGATTCTCGTGTTGCAGCCACTCGCAGTCGCGCAAGGGCTCAAGGGATGGTCAGGATGGTGGAGGGTGGGAGGTGGTTGGATGGTTCTGACCCTGGCTGGCTTGTTGTGAGACAGCTTACCAGCAGTTTCTCGGGGAGCTGTGCACGACGACGAGGAAACCCTTATCATGCGCGTCCGTGCTTGTGATACACAATTGCCGGAAGAAATAATTCTGTAGATGATGATGATGATTGCATGGTGTTGATGCAGCAAACACGCTGCACGCGAGAGACAGAGGAGATGGCGGCTCTGTTCTGGATCTTATCTGCCAGCACCAGGTGACGAGATCTTCGCAGCGACGGGTAGGTTGACTCTGGCGCAGACACCATGGGTCGGCGCGCATTGTTCAGTGATTTTTTTTCACGCCGGCCATTTTGACATTGGCGGGGAAAGTTCGAGGTGGATTCTGGTGGAGAGAGGGAAGCGGACTGGGGATGGGCTGGATGGGGACCGGCCAAGTAAACAAACACAGTACAACAAACATCAAGGGCAAGTACTCATACAGTAGTGTAGGGCAGCTGTGCATCATCGTTATTGCATGTCGTTTCCCGACGATTTGTATTTTAAAGTACGAGGTATCAGAAGATCAAGGGCCGCATCTGGTGCATCCCGGAGTCCTTTTCAGGAAATACCTTCGAGTAGCGATGAGGCACAACTCCTGTCCCAGCCAAAGGTAGTCGAGTACTCGAGTATTGGTCTGAAATCTTAATCCGAGTATTATTCCTTCGCATCACCAAACCCGAGCTCCAAGACGACCTTCTCACCACCTCATCACCTCTCCACCTCCCTCCCCACTTCATACTCGGAGTCCGTCCTCCTTCCACAATCATCCTTCGCCGCCTCTCACCGCAACTTTGAACTCATCTCTCAAGCAACGCGCCAAACAAATCAACAAATCGCGACAGGCAATTGGATTGATGCATAAATACCTTATTTCGCGCGCCTTTCTGGTTGGCTCAGGCGCATGGCGACGAGGGCACATGTGCGGAACACGCTGCCAGGAACGGCATGGCATCGTTGCCTCCCAACCATTCGGGCATTCGTACACCATCTGCAAGTCGTGATAGGTCTGCCTTGCAGCGTCCGGTTGAACAGCTAGAGTCTCGTACGTGATTGCGGGTTCATTACTTAAGATTCCTCGAACAGAACGTCGACTCGAAGAGTAAAGTGGAATTGTTCTTTTAACTTCTATGCGGAAGCCTTCTAAGAACCACAATTAAAGCCACGAACCTGCTTTTACTCAATTATTCTTGATGGTTCCTCAACGCATATCCAATAGTTAGGGGACAACTCACACGCCGGACGTCCACAGAATCCTCTTTGGGTTGTTTCTGCTTCAGATATGGAGAACAATTCCACGATGCATACCTAGGTAAACATCATAAACTGCAGCTTAGTAGCAATTCATTGTTTATTAACCCACTCTATGAGTTGTTTGAAGACTTTGCGAAGCATTCATACCTAATAGAGGGGCACCCAGTCTCGTGGTGGACGAAATAAGTGGGAGTCGAAACACGACATATGTTCAATTACCTACAGTAAGGTTGACGAAATATTGTACATTTAGCGGATCAACTTGGAACAATGTCACATATTCCGTCAATTATTTCTAGGTAAATGAGACTTCCAAGCTCTATTCGAAGTCCTCTTAATCAGTCCAAGATCAATGGGTAGATTGATGATTAACACTTATTTTATCCCCCGCGAAGGTAGCCAAAGACTTTACAGATTTCTTGTGTGACACAACCCCCACCTCAACCCGAATGCAGATTTCTAAAAACTAACGATCACAGAACTTCACCAATGCTTCTAAGCCAAGTGCGACCCAGACCTACGTTACGAAGGGAAGATTTTCACGTCGAAACAATCTATTCATGTGCCCCTTTTCTCCTCGTCTTATTTACCGTTTTCATACACCTTGATTTCCTGGAAAAGCTGGGGTTTGCTTCGTACCCGAGGTACTCGACCATGGATGGTAACGAATAACACCGCTCCAAGCAGCGCAGCCAAGGTCGAACGTAGGGTTCAGTCGTCGGGGTTAAGTATGCCCTCATCACACGCTCCTTAAGACGAGGGGGCTCTCGAATAACGCCGACGATTAAGTCATGTTGATACTGGATTATCGGAGGTCCACGGTCTCCATTTCACTAAGCAATAATTAACTCTGCACTTGACGAAATGTACTATCCCCCCCCCCTTATTAAAGGTAATACGGTGGGTAATGTGGAGCTTGACGGACGAGTAGAATTTGTCGGATCGAGGAAGACTTACGCATAGTTTATGTGGTAAAGATGAAAACTTAGTA